CTAACTTTCCCCAGGATGAATATCCAAAGTTATAAATATCTTACTCCTCCTTATTTCAGTGATCTGAAAAGATACAGGTACTTTCAATAAACACATGTGATATATTCTGGTCAAGGTTGTTTTAAAATATTCAAGCATTTTGTGCTCTGTGCTCCATCAATGTTTGCTGTATATGCAAATACTTATATATATATTTTTTATATATATAATAAGTCCTCCGTATGTATCGTATACAAATCACCAAAAGCAATTACGTGGTATAGTAATTTAAATGTTTTATAAGTGATTGGTTTGTCGTGAACCATTTAAAGGCAAATATATAAAAATAATGGCTGGTATACAATAGTTGAATGGCGCTTGGAGTTTTCTTTGTTCAAAGGGCATATCGAAACCTTGTGTTATATTTATTGATGATTGTTGATCTATAATAAATTATAGGCAAACTCATAATTTAAGAGATGTCACTTTGTTAATGTAAGTACCCAATTAAATACACTATTGATTTAAGCAAGTCTTTCTTTTTATATCCATATAAGCATCCATATTTTGTACTTGTAAGTGGTGGCGTATGAAGGGTCCAGTTGTTGAGGAGTGACGGGGGGGGGGGGGGTCAGCCTTAATAGGTAAAAGTAGAAGAAATGTGAAAGAAGGAAAGCTTCATGTGATGGGATGGAGTGTTACATGTTACATACATTTACATTCTCCAACAAATAATTTAACATGCTTTCTATAATCATCATTTTTACGACACATGCATTTGATCTGAAACCAATGTCCCTGTTAACTCATCTGTTATATGTATGATATTGTATTTATTTATACAGGTTTTCAAGTAAAGCGTTAATATTATGCAGATCTACTGATGCACTAAAACTGAACAACTCAACAATAACCATTGTTATAAAAGGGAATTCATTAAATAAATACATTAAACAGAGTTTGATACACCACTAAAAACCATCTGCATGTTGTATGTACAAGGTGAAAACAGCAGCTGGTAAATGAACTAATGAATATCCAAAGTTATAAATATCTTACTCCTCCTTATTTCAGTGATCTGAAAAGATACAGGTACTTTCAATAAACACATGTGATATATCCTGATCACGGTTGTTTTAAAATATTCAAGCATTTTGCACTCTGTGCTCCATCAATGTTTGCTGTATATGCAAATACTTTTGTATTTTTTTTATATATATATATTTTTTAATTTGACTTTATAATTCTGTATAAGTCCTCCGTATGTATCGTATACAAATCACCAATAGCAATTACGTGGTATAGTAATTTAAATGTTTTATAAGTGAATGGTTTGTCGTGAACTAGTCAAAGGCAAATATATATTTGTTCAAAGGGCATATTTAAACCTTGTGTTATATTTATTGATGATTAGTGACTGACCCCGAGTGGAGGCCAGACTTTGTACTCAGTTTGAGGACAGACTCTGCCCTTTAGCTCGAGGTCGGGTCGTATCCTTGCTGGATGGTTGTCCGGCTAGAAAACAGTATAAATATAGCTCCCTATATAAAGCCAGGGATATCTAAAATCGAGAGACAGACTTCTTCTTGAGACTTCTCCTCGGGACTCCTTTCTGCCGCTTTTCAAATCTGCAGGCGTTATGATAATTCACTGTACATGACTATATTTAGCGCCAGTTTAGAGAGCACGATTTCTACCGAGTTGTCATTATTGAAAGTAATAAACGACGAATAGACTGAAAGTCAGTCACGTTCGACCTACTCCATTTCTTCTGTCGCATTTGTTTTGCATACACGCATGAGTGAGAGAGATACTGAGCGAGAACTAAGAAGAGACAATTAAAGGTAATACAACGTTTTGGGAAATTTGAAAATTAGCTGGATAGTGATTCTTTACAATTTTGATATACTTGATTGCTCCTGTGGATGCATTATAAGCACTAAACAAATTAGCCTCTAAAACACTTCTGCTTTCGAGTTAAATTGAATATAAAAATTGTACCGGTGCTCCCGGTAAATTTTGATACATTTCAAATGGCGCCTACGGCCGTAAAATGGTACTACTGAGCTGCGACCATGAAAATCTCAGAATATGTAGTTGTGATATATAATTTCCAAACGGGAATAACTATTCGGTCAATTTTAGTCAAGAAACATTGTTTTATAGGTTAATTAATATCTTGACCTTGAGAGGGAGCTATACAACATAAAGAGTTTATTATTTACAATTTCATAACTTTATACTCGATATTAACCGCGACAACGATCACTAAAAATTGTAGGATCGCATATGGCACTGTTTTTTGTTTAACTTATACCAAATGTGCCACAAATGGGTCCAAAATGAAATTATGTTTACTCACTTCAAACTTGTATTTTTAGGATCAGGACTAATCATATTTTTGAGAAATGCAAATTCTGGACCTTAATCTATCTCCTTATTTATTCACCAGATATGAATACTTTGAGTTTTTACAATTTTATTGTGAACTATAGCATATCTAATAACTGTGTTATAAAACTCATTTGCTATTAACTACACCTTTAAATATGTTGGGTCTTTAAGAATATGTTTCAGAGATTATTTATGCAAATTGTTGAGTTTCTATCTTGAAAAATACAGATTTTGTATCCCTTGAAAGTGAAAAATAGCTCTAAATTAGGGTTTTGACAATAACAAGTTTTTATTTCAATAGGTAAAATGCTTTTTTTCTTAGGTCAAACCTTTTTTATTATAACAACTGATGATATAAGGTAAATACATGCAAAAAAATTGGGAACCAGTGCATTGCCTAATAATTTTCATATGACACACCACTGATGTTTCGGACGTTACACACTGTTAACATTATAACTTTATTCAAGTTATTTGCTTTTCTTTAGGTATTATTGACCTCAGTTACATTAATTGTTTGCAGAAAAATACTTACATGTATACCAAGTTTGTCTTCATCGACCACTCAATTTATGTAAGGTATATTATTCATTTTAAGAACGTGTACCGGTAGTTAAAAATGCTTATGTGATCTAACAGAGTGAAATATGAAGCTAATAGCAATTGTAGTCATCAAAACTCCTTAGAAAATTCACTTAGAAACATACTCTTTATTGCATGTTATGAACAACAGTGTGAAATGTATACTATGGTTTGTTTCGGATGTTACACGATGTTAACATTTCAATGAGATCATCAATTTCTACAAACTCTACAATATAGATGTTTAATCAGCTTGCTAATGTTCTTTGCCTATATAGTGTGTGACTGTGTCAGTCAATAATATCACTAACACATACATGTATGTAAGCAAAACATTGACAAATCTTTAAAAAAAATAAAGCTATAAAAAAAGTACCCCCAGTCATGGAAGTACGGTAATAAGAAATAAGTGAATCCTAATTTATGTACATCTCGAGAATGAGACATTTTAGATGTATTTTAAAATTGTGTATGTTTTAGGTTATAATACTACTGTAGTAACAATCATCCTTTACCACTATTTGTATTAGGGGGCTGTTTCAAACGATAACATTTTGTAAAGCTCTTAAATAAGTATTTATTAATTTATTTAATTGATGACCGATTGATAAATGGATGGATTGATTGGTTGGTCGGTTGGTTGGTTGATAGATCTTAACTCTTGCTGTGCCTATATCACAGGTGACAAACAATATACAGTGTAGGTTAAACCATGTACCGTATTTGCCGGCGATAAGGCCGCAGCGCCGCACCCCCAACTTTGACATTTCGTTAGAGGAAAAAAACGAAAAAAAACGGACAGCCCATTTATATTTCACACTAGTGTAGGGTTGCGGTTCTAACAGATAATTCCTAGCACTCTTAACACAGAGGCAGCCCAGCAGACATGTTGTAGGATTGATAACTACTGGCTAACTGACCAGGTTTTAATGTGTAAAAGCATTACAGCATTCTATGTAGCATTCCACATACATTCCATGCAAAGTAGAATAAATCAATACATATTCATATAGTTTTTTCTTTTAATTTAATGACTTGGAGTAACTAATAAGCTTATTCAAAACTATAAACAATCTCATTAAATGATTGTTCTAGTGGGTTAAATGAGGGCATACATTAATTGTTTACGGAAAATGTAACGTCCGAAACACCATTTTCAATTGCACTGTTCCATCAAAATACAGGAGTTAATTCAGATTACTGTTAACTTTCTTTAAGATCCACCCATGCTCATTAATCATCAATAGAAAAAAAACATATTGCTTGTGGGTATATATTTTTTTTGGCTCCAACCAAAAAGGTATGTCAATTTTGTTACAAAATTCCGTAAACAATTGGCTGTTCAGGGATACCTCATGCACATAAAGCAACGCTGACATTTTTTGTTAAGCTATGGGAGGTTAGCCTAGGTCCATGCTACAAGAAAAAGTTGTAACTGATTTCTAATTCTTTATCTTTGTAAAGTTTCAGGCTGTCAAAGGGTCATTAAGCTATTTGGTCATAGTTTTAAAAAAACAGTGCCATATGCTTCCAATATGTTCATTTGAACCAAATTAATGACCCTATAAATACCAAAACTTTGTATTACCTTTAAGAGTTCGAGAACGAGAGCAGTCTGTATTAAACAGTTGAAATAAATTTCATTACAATATATTTAGGCCAACCTAAGAACTTCACAAATCCTTGGCACCAAGAGAAATTTTCATTTTCAGGGAGATTGTCCGACACATTCTATGGTGGCATTGTTCTGCATCGATATCCTGAACCAAATTGTTATCTTCAACCTTTCCTCCAAAATACACACATAACAAATACCAAAGGGGGGGGGGTTAACCCCAACCCCCCCCCCCCCTGCGTACGCGTCTGCCCCTTACTGTAACCCTAACTCTAAGCCTAAATCTACCACAAACACAATTTCAACCATAACTCTAACCTTATTTCTTTAGCAAAAAAAAGCCTGGAGCAATTGGTGTCTGAGCATATGTCGCAGCATCCTTTGAAATATCGATCTGCCCATTAAGCAGGACTATTTTCATCCGATATCTGTTTTTCTTGTTTTGGTAGGGACCTTTGAGGGACTGATTTCATCATCATGATTGACCTGCTAGGAGATTCGAGCCTGGCACAGGTCAACGGTTTGACCATCACAGTCACACTAGGTGTAGTGGCTATCTCCCTGGCCCTTTGGACAATGGTCAGACCTAGGAACTTCCCTCCTGGACCGAAAGGACTTCCTATTGTTGGAAGCCTCTTCTGTAAGTTTATTCAACCCTTCAAGTAAATTATGTATAATATAAGGCTCAGTGGTAGAGAAATGGTGGCGTTACCAGGAGGTCCTGGGCTCAAAACTAAGTCAGAGTACCCTGGAACATTAAAAAGAGCACTTGCAAGAAAAAAAAGAAATACAATGAAATCTCACTTTTAAAGAAGTACCACAAATATTTAACTTTAGATGTTGAATAAATTTGTTTTGAAGGTGAACTCTTTGTAGGGACATTCTATGTAAATGGTTATTGATCACTTCACACATATGGTTCCTATGGATGACACTTTGAGTCAGGTTTGAATGCATAGTTTTTAACAATGAATTCATTTGAAATGAATAAATTTGAATATTTCAGCATTGGACGAAAGCCTGGAGAAGATTTTTACTGGCTGGATCAAACAGTACGGTGATATCTTTGGTTTTAAGCTTGGTGAACACTGGATGGTCGTCTTAAATCATCAAGAGATCATCAAGAAAGCTCTTCTCAAGCAAAGTGTCCAATTTGCAGGTCGTCCAAGATCCCCGTCAGGTGTGTACATGTAGACTCTGCAGTTGTCTACCATATTAATGGAGAGGAACAGTCAAATCATAATGATAATGAATTCACATTTATTTATATAGTACTTTATTAACATATTGTTTCTATTAAAGCACTTTACACACTCAACTTACTATTGAATGAAGAAAACTTTATGCAGTCAAAATGGCAATGGGAAAATATGGAAATAAAATACAAAAATATATGTTGGAATTTTACATAGTAAAAATGACAAATTACAAACTTTATAATTACAGGAGAAATATTTTGAAAACTTCTATTGGAAAAATATGGAAAAAAATGAAGAAAAAGAAACATGTACAGGCAGTATGTAGAAAAAGAAATCATCCACATTTTAGCCAGCATTCTGTGGGTTAAAATTAAAGGAGTATGAAGAAAATAAAGGAGAACTTAAAACTCCCATAAACGGAACACAAGTCGGACTTGGATTCTGTTACACACACCCTTTCCTGTGCGGGTGCTTACACGCTTGTATGAATGCATTGACTAATCTGTTCACCCGTCATTTTCATATTTATTGAGAGTGTATTTCAACGTTTAGAATATATATTTTCAGAAGTCAAATTTGAAGCGGGTGACTTAGAATTAGAATGTTCATATTTATTGAGAGTGTATTTCAACATTTAGAATATATATTTTCAGAAGTCAAATTTGAAGCGGGTGACTTAGAATTAGAATTTTCATATTTATTGAGAGTGTATTTCAACATTTAGAATATATATTTTCAGAAGTCAAATTTGAAGCGGGTTACTTAGAATGTAGTACAGCAAACCTACAAAACACAATTAAGTTCTTCTTTTTTCTAACATGTATGTCATAAGGGTCGAATTTGCCAAAGAGTATTTCATCTGTACGAGAAATTTGTAATGTTATCATAAAAATGTTCTTCTCTTTAAAAAAAATCCAGCTGCATTGTTGACTGACGGGTACAAAGACATTGGTTTTGGAATGTACGACGAAACTTTGAAACTCCTCCGTAAACTAGCTCACTCGGCCTTGAGGTCAGTATGTCATAAGCATTCCGTACATTTATACAAACATTTTCAAAGGCATAATTTTATATAGTTTAAGTTGATCATTTGTACGGTTATTAGCTTGACTTTGTATACATCTAAAAAATTGAACAGCATTAATTATGTTCCCGATAGTATGCCTGGAACGGGTAAACAACCCCTGGGCTTGAATTCGTGCATTAGATTTACAGGTGTTCATTTCCGATAAATACATTAGACAAAAGTCTATTGTGCTTTGTCATTGGTTATATTTAATTAAATGTATAACTCCTCTCTTAATTGGTAGAGTGAACATGTCTACAGGTCGGATGACCTAAGGGTCATTTTATTTATCCTATCTTGTAATTGGTTGTCTTCGTTAAGGTCCTCCTGATTGGATTTGGTGCGGGATTTTGAAGCTTAGTTTATTTCGTTCCGTTACTATTTTATGGATGTGCTGCTAAATTCGCTCAATCTATAGGGCCGCTCAGCGTCTGAGAGAATAAGTTATTTTAAAATGTCCTTAAATAAATAATCTTTGTTTGAACTACTGGAGCTTTGGCTGAGTTTATAAATAATAAAGTGGACCTCAACTGTATTTCCGAGCTTCTTCCGTTTTCATTTTGTTTCTGAACTCGTCGTCACCAACCCATTATGGGTCCATTACAATTGAAAGAAGATGCATTATTTTTCTTTGAGTCGACCAATGTTATAATGATTGAGGTAGGGGTGGGGAATTTTTTACTTCGTGTACTCCCTCTCACTTTTTTGTGTGTTGGATTTTAAGTAAAATCTATATTATTCTTTATTTGTACGTAAGCTCTTAACCAAAATGTGTTTTTTTTCCCCTTTTTTTGTGATTCTTCTACAATTGTATTTATGGGTTGCCTTGCTTATTTGATAGTTGAATGGACATGGTACATGCATGTATACAATCTGTGCAAATTTCTCCAAAATATGTCTATTGTACCATATAATACCAAAGGACACCAGTGCATTGACTTGGATTCAAACCTTTGACGTACCTCTGTAGATTGATATCTTGTCAAAAACGTGACTTATGTGCGGGGACTTGAACCCTGTACCCTGTGACTCATCCACTATATAGACCAACACAACTCTATCTTGTTGTTTCAGGCACTTTGCTACAGGGGAAGCTCTTCAGAAGCTCTTCTCAACCACCGTTCCCAAGCTGGAAGTTGAGGTTGCCAAGACAGCAGGCAAGCCAGTGGACCCTAAGGACCTAATCTCGCTGCTCTTGTACAACACCTTCTCTGAGATGTGCTTCGGAAAGAGGTTTGCTATCAATATATATTGTCTTTAAATAATTGAAATGAATTGAGAGTATCCATATTTTAGGGGAGAGCAGCACAAACCAGTTTTCTTTTAATGTAGGTTTGTTGCAGTAATTGAATTACTGTAACTAATTCATTGATTTGTATTGTAGCTATTATGCTGATAATTACGGAAGCCCATAAGGGCCACAATTAACTGGCGGCTACCAGCTTATTATCTGGCAACCGCCATTAATTATCTGGCGGCTGCCACTTAATTATATGTCGGCCACCATATAGTTTGTGAACACATTTCATTTAGCACTTGATGCAAATTCTTTATGTGATGCTCATTTAATGATGTGACACTGCAGTTTTTTCCTCATAATTCAGCACCGGAGAAGATGTGTGTGTGTGTGTGTGTGCGTGTGCACGTGTGTGTGTGTGTGTGTGTGTGTGTTGGAGGGGGGGGGGGTCTACGCAGATACGTTATTATCCCCTCGCCGACGAAGCCGGAGATGAGTAACGCTGCCGTCCGTCCTTCTGTAACAAATCATGTTTCCTATCGATAACTTTAGTAATGTTTGACGAATTTTAATGAAATTTCATATGAAAGTACATGGTATCAAAATACAGCCTAAGTTCGATTTCAGAGAATGTAGGTCAAAGGTAATAGCTCATTAAATATGCGAAAAAATACAAATCTGGTTTCCGTTCGATAACTAATTAATTAATGTTTGACGGATTGTAATGAAATTTGATATGAAGGTACATGGTATCAAAACACAGCGTAAGTTCTATTTTGGATTTTGTAGGTCAAAGGTCAAAGGTCATTAAATATTGCGAATCTGGTTTCCGGCCGCCATTCGATAACTTTAGTAATGTTTGACGGATTTTAATGAAATTTGATATGAAGGTACATGGTATCAAAACACATTTTGTTAGTCAAAGGTCAAAGCTCATTAAATATTGCGAATCTGGTTTCCTATCGATAACTTTATGAATATTTGACGAATTTTAATGAAATTTCATATGAAAGTACATGGTATCAAAATACAGCCTAAGTTCGATTTCAGAGAATGTAGGTCAAAGGTAATAGCTCATTAAATATGCGAAAAAATACAAATCTGGTTTCCGTTCGATAACTAATTAATTAATGTTTGACGGATTGTAATGAAATTTGATATGAAGGTACATGGTATCAAAACACAGCGTAAGTTCTATTTTGGATTTTGTAGGTCAAAGGTCAAAGGCCATTAAATATTGCGAATCTGGTTTCCGGCCGCCATTCGATAACTTTAGTAATGTTTGACGGATTTTAATGAAATTTGATATGAAGGTACATGGTATCAAAACACATTTTGTTAGTCAAAGGTCAAAGCTCATTAAATATTGCAAATCTGGTTTCCTATCGATAACTTTATGAATATTTGACGAATTTTAATGAAATTTCATATGAAAGTACATGGTATCAAAATACAGCCTAAGTTCGATTTCAGAGAATGTAGGTCAAAGGTAATAGCTCATTAAATATGCGAAAAAATACAAATCTGGTTTCCGTTCGATAACTAATTAATTAATAATGTTTGACGGATTTTAATGAAATTTGATATGAAGGTACATGGTATCAAAACACAGCGTAAGTTCTATTTTGGATTATGAAATAACATCTCTATGCGCTTCCAAAGAGCTTTGGACTTTATTACTCTAGCTTTAGCTCCGGCAGCCTTATCAGCGCACAGTCCATTTCAAGGAATAATCCTACCAGCTACCCATTTACTAGTTCACCTGGGTTGAGTGTGGAAAATGTAGATCAATGTCTTGCCAAAGGAGTATGTAGGTGAAAGGTCAAAGGTGAAAGGTCATAGCTCATTAAATATGCTTTAAAAATACCTAATTATACTATGCGAAAATGTGGTTAACTTCCTTGCCTATATGTAATAGTATAGTCTAATGGAGGTAACTTGTTCTGACGTATATAAGCCATTTGTGGGATGCTACGCTTTGCGTTGACTTGTTATTCTTATGCCTCCGCTTCAAAGTAGCTGGAGGCGTTATGTTTTTGGGTTGTCCGTCTGATTGTCCGTAAGTCGTCCCGTTCTTGTGATCGCATTATCTCAAGAACCGATAAATGGATTCCCACCAAACTTGTGTCATGTATGTATATTGCAGAGCCAGAGACATTTGTATTAAGCGCTATATACAAATTAAATATTATTATTATTATTATTAATGAAATTATTAGATTTTGGCGTCACAAGGTCAAAGGTCACAGGGCTCATTATGTATGCAAAAATAGCTTGTGATCGCGTTATCTCAAGAACCGATAAATGGAATTCCGCCAAACCTGGGCCATGTATGTATTTTGCAGAAGAAATGAGCTGATTAGATTTCGGGTCACGAGGTTAAAGATCAAAGGGTCATAGGGCTCATTATGTATGCAAAAATAGCTCGTGATCACATTATCATTAGAACCGATGGATGGATTAATTGCCATCAAAATCAAGACATGTGTGTATCTTACAGAGTCAATGAACTGATTAGATTTGGGGTCATGAGGTTGAAAGTCAAAGGTCATGGGGCTCATTATGTATGCGAAAATAGCATGTGATCACATTATCATTAGAACCGACAGATGGACTATTATCAAACTCAGGACATGTATGTATCTTGCAGAGCCAGTGGACTGATTAGATTTTAGGGTCATGAGGTCAAAGATCAAAGGGTCGTACATGTATATGAAAAAAAGCTTGTAATCACGATATTCTGAGAACCTGTTAATTGATTACAATCAAACTTGAATTTTTAAAAATTGCTCGTTTTGGTTTGTAAAATCGCTCTATGGTGGAGGAATCATTTTCGACAGTTCGAAGTTCCATCTAGTTTATCTTCCCTCTGCCCATTGTCCAGTCGCTCTCCCCCCAATGAGGGCAACCAAGCGGAAACCTAGTCCTGTCTTCATTTTTTGAGCGTACCACTTACATTTGGTTTCTTTTCTCTTCTTAAATTGTCTATTAGGTTTGACATGCATGACCCTAAAGTCCTGCAGTCTATGAAGCTGATTGACGAGTTGGGCCAAAACATAGGCCTAGGACTCCCTGAGGATGTATTCTCCATTCTGCGGTATGTACCTTACAAAAAGCGTGATATCATCCGTGAAACTATTAAAAATAAGGAGTTCTTCATGGAGCAGATAGGAGATCATAAAGATACGCATATACAAGGTAATCCTCATCTCAATTCTCGCTACCACATATAGCAATATACATTCCCATAATGCATTGCCCCTCCGATACCTCAGTGATTTCATCAGTCATTTTAAAGAATTTCTTTCCATAATAAACATCAGGTCACATATTTGAAGATACCGAAGGGCTACATTTTTATTAAATTTATACATCATAAGAGATTTAGGCAGAAATATTTTCTCATGTTTAGTCTAGCTGTTGACAGCGAAGTGTGAGTCCAATACTTTGTGGCCCGTTTTGGTCCTCTTCAACTCTCTTGCTCTGTCGGCATCTTCATCGTACAAAAACGTATTTCAAGTACCTAATTATCCAACTTAATTAAGCTGTAATGAATTAGTTTATCATTACTGTAAATGTCTATGATTATGATTATTTCTTTTTTTGTAAATTGATCTCTGTAAATTTCTTCCAATGAAAAACAAATTTCTGAATGGACAAACACTTACTTGACTTAGATGCAAAGAATGGTGTGTCCCCTTGCTCCCATACGAGAAATCCTGCTCCATTGGACAATAAATAATAACTTCCAATTTATTTTATATTGCAGGTGAAATGACCGATATCTTTCATATGTTTCTGAATGCACAAGAGAAAGCCATGGCAGAGGATAACAACATGGAGAAACTAAGTGATGAACATCTCCTCTGGACTATTATCGATATGTTCGGTGGTAAGTGTGATCAAAGTGTGCTCAATGATTGCCATGCATGATAGTCTTTATGTATTACGCTTTCCTCTCAATTCAGAACCTTCGGTGATTCTTTTTCTCCTTTTTTTTTAACCATTAACCAAGTGAGTGGATATCCCATTGAATTGTGGGTCATTAAATCGCTAAGTTTTGTAATGGATGTTGTTGTCGTTTTAGTTGATGTACTCTTTAACTCTTGTACCACTTGGTACACGGAACAACAATTTCCGATTACAAGCCAGAACTGCACATCTATTTTCCATGATTTAGGCGAGTAATTATCTTCTGCGCATGTAGATTAACATGTGTAAAATCACTATCTTGATTCTCTACCGGCTTTTTGCCGGCGACCATGATGAGACCAAAGGGAAGAAACATGTACGGAATGTTATTGAGACGACATTGACGGCAGTGGCGGATCCAGGGGGGGGGGGCCCGGGGGGCCCGGGCCCCCCCCCCTTGAGAAAAAAATCATGTAAAATCACGTGATTTTTTACCTTTTTTGGGGGTTGGGCCCCCCCCTGGCGCTCAAGGGGGGGGGTGCAAATTGAAATTTTTTTGAGGATCAAAAAAAAAAAAAATGTGCTCACTAACCCCCCCCCCCCCCCCCCCCCCCCCCCCCCCCCCCCCCCCCCCCCCCCCCCCCCCACTGAGCGAATTTTAGGCCGGCGCGTTTTTCAAATTTTCGGGAGCAAAAAAAAAAAAAAAAAAAAAAAAAAAAAAAAAAAATTGTGCTCTGTACCCTCCCCCCCCCCCCCCCCCCCCCCACTGAGCGACTTTTCGGTCGGCGCGATTTTCAAATTTTCGGGAGCAAAAAAAAAAAAGTTGGGCCCCCTCCCCTAAGAAATCCTGGATCCGCGCCTGATTGACGGAGACAATCACAATGAATTCGTTAAGAAAACGATGAATGTCCATCCGTAATAGGTCCATGCTGTAGGCAATGGGTTACTCTCTCAATGGATCACAGATTATCTACTCTTGTTTTTTAAAACATTGACAAGAATTACAGGGACCTCAGGAAGAAAAGTTTAAATTCTGGTGAGGCTACCGTGTGTATTTAAAATCATATTGCTATTATTACTAGTAGTAGAAGTAGTAGCAGCAGCAGTCGTAGTATCTTTTCTTAAAGGGCTGGTTTCCGATTTGGACTTTTCCCTTCAGCTAGTATCCAAACCTCAACAGAAACTATCTACTGGGCGTTGGCGTTAATGACCGAACACCCTGAGATCGCAGATCGGGTCAGGAAGGAAATTGACGATGTGATCGGACGTGACCGCATCCCCGTCATCGAAGATCGCAGGAGCGTGCCGTACGCCGAAGCCACGCTATATGAGGTGTTGCGTTATGCTTCCATAGCACCTGTCCTTCTCCCACATGCTACTACGTGTGATACTACCTTGAGTGAGTACTGTACCGGTATTTCATTTTTTCTTAAAGGACTGTTCGTTTTTTCAAATACAAGTGAAGTCAAACAACTAACTGAACAGACTAGACAATCAGTGGGAATGGGAGTGGGAATGGGAGTCGGAGTCGGAGTAGGAGTAGGAGTGGGAGTGGGAGGGGGAGTGGGAGTGTGAGTGTGAGTGGGAGTGGGAGTGTGAGTGGGAGTGGGAGTCGGAGTGGGAGTGGGAGTCAGAGTCGGAGTCGGAGTGGGAGTGTGAGTGGGAGTAGGAGTAGGGGTAGTAGTAGTAGTAGTAGTAGTAGTAGTAGTAGTCAATTTACCAATCAATCACTTGATTCATGAATTTTTCTTAATCTTTCTCTTGATCACAGGGGGTCATGTCATCCCTAAAGGTACAACGGTCATAATGAATGTTTACTCCATGCACTTTGATCCTCGAGAGTGGAAAGATCCAGAGAACTTCTGCCCAGGTAGGTCCTAAAAACTCCCCTTCTCTCCCTTCCTAGCTACCACCACACACCACACTTTGACACTAATTGATCCTCGAGAGTGGAAAATCCAGAGAACTTCTGCCCAGGTAGGTCCTAAAAACTCCCCTTCTCTCCCTTCCCTACCACCACACACCACACTTTGACACTCCAGAATGGAAAGGCTTCTTGAACTGCCAAGACATTTTGCCTTAGCATCGGCCAGGGACATTCCCCATTCTCTTCTACAACCACGATATGTACACGTGTATCAATTCACTTCCATACCATGACCTTTAATGTACTTTAACAGCAGCTATACTCTGCCCCCCCCCTTCCCTCTCAATCAGGTTTCTTTTTCATTATTCATTAGAGAGTGCTGTAAGCAGTTAGTTTGTTATTTTAAAATGGTAGAAATGCAATTCCAGAAATCATTCATTCTTTTTTATCTTTTTTCTCCAGAGCATTTCCTTGCTGAAAATGGCACAGTGCGTGATCATCCTCCCAGCTTCCTTCCATTTGGAGCTGGCCGTCGTGGCTGTCTGGGTGAAGCCGTTGGCAAGGCTATTCTCTTCCTTATCTTCACCTGGTTCATGCAGAACTACACCTTCAGCAAGGTGACCTTATAACCTCCGACTCTTGACCACTTTTATGTTTGCTTTTGAAACTTAGATTAATTAGCAATATTCCCAATTTTGGTCAGCATGCATTGTGAATTTTCCCAAAAAGACATAGACAGCAGAAAAAGGGCACATTTCTCTTTAAATGCAAAAAGATCATTACTTTGTTTGAAACTTTTCAGTATTTGTATTTCGATCACTCATTCCATATCCAAAAAAATATCATGCAAGCGTAAGTTTGTTAGCTGGACGGCATAAGGAACCTCAAACTATAATACATTCATTCTTTTTGCTCCAAATTCTGTTTTCCAATATCTCCTTGTAGTAGGTAATAAATAGTAGAAGTAGTAGACGTATTTGCTAACTTGTTGAGCTTAAGGCTAATAACACGAGGTCATCATTGCAACCACCGTTATGAAGAAAGATAACCTGTAGTAACTGACTACAAAGCTGTCGTTCTAGCTGTGTCGTTCATTGATTATTCTCCATCTTCTGTTCCAATTCCATGTTGCCTCTGCAGGTTCCTGGCAAGGAAAGTGAGAGTCTGACCAACATGATCACCAAGGTTAATGCAGGAAGGCTTCTGGTACCCTACGAGATCATGATCAACAAGCGAGAGTAGACATCGGGATGCATCATTGTTTGGACATCCCATGCTCTTCTGATAATTTTTCATATGGCAATTTACACACAACTATAGCACTGTTATGCTATACTTAATAATTAATTCCAGCTTCTAGTCTGTTCTTCATCACCTAAAGCACCTGAAATTATAAGCATCAAAGAGTAAATGTTTTTCAAGAGTGCGGGTTTGTGTATTTGAATGTGTGTGTGCGTGTGTGTGTTGTTGCTTTTTTGTCTGTCCGGCAGCCTTTGTTCAAAACACTATTTTATTCCTCACCTAGCAACTTGGCGCAAGTGAGATCTGGCAGTCTTGTAAAGAATGTCTGATGTTCAGTCATGCATGCAGAGATTTGTAGCGACAAATGTTACAGTGCATTCATTTATAATTCACTGGTATACATATTGTGTTTTTAATCCAAAATGGCCGCTTTAGAAGTCATTGAGAGTTCGAGGATTTGGTATTACGCCATGTCCTCAGAACTGGTTTTAACTCGATTTATTACTGCACGATGTTTATTCATTAGTATGTTGATCACATGACCAATTAACATAGATGTACGCGTATTTATTCATAAGTATTTAGATCACGTGCCTTATTAACATACATGTGCGCTTGTTTTGAACCAATCGCGCTGTAGTTGATTGGCGCTCTTCTGATTTTCCTGTGCGGGAATCAGTGAGCTGTTTGAATATTGGTATACACACATGCTGTTATTGTGTTGATATTTGTACCTAGAAAATTGTATCCAACGAGGATTGAACTGCTACGTCCCCGGACCATTCCCGGTGGACGTGCTCACCTATTTACATTTTGTACGTTTTGCAAGATATATTTTGACTCTCTCGATGTTCAGCATTGACGACACTTTAATTCACCAGCAGTGAGAATAGAACATTTAATATGATCTAACGTTTTTCTCACCTGCATTATTGTTTGACAACCTTTTATCATCGACTTCATATATATTGTCTCGACATTTGATTCTTCGACCTGCATCGCAAGTCACTGAAGTTGATCTATTGACATTGACTGCATCATCATTGTATTCATCTGTTAACTGATTCATCATCGTTGTCTTCATCACCGTTGTCTTCATCATCGCTGTCTTCACCAGCGTCGTCTTCATCATTGTTGTCATCATCGTTGTCTTCAACATCGTCTTCATCATCGTGGTATTCACCTAGCGTCGATCATCGTCTGCATATCCTACGCGATCGACAACCAGCTCGTCGACCACTGTTTTTGACTAGCTAGTTTCTACATCTACCTAGAACTTGAAGAAGATCTACTTTGAATTCAACTCCAATGACTCACGTAACGTTAATTATATTGTGATTTATGCTTTGCATTGTTTATCATTGTGAGGCCTTATTTTGACTGACTGAGTGCCTGTTGTTGAGTGCGTACGCTTACTAACACATATTTTACATGTTTATAATTGCACTAGTTCTAGGCCTATGCCTGGTCTACTGATCTAGATCTGCTATAGTCTAGATCCACCGATATATTGTTGTATTCTCGTGTTGTGCATTCCGTACACATACACAAGTAGAGATTTGTTTAGCGGTTTCTTGAACCACAATATTTCGTGCCTATGTAAGTAAATCTAAACGCTGTCTAGCTTAGATTTGAGTAGTATTTTCTTGACTGTTATTATTCATGCAGTGGGAATGATATTTAACTGACTTGTTTTAGTACTGTTTTAAGTTGTACTGAACAGCTAGACTCCTGATATTTCGAGACTTGTATTCAGCGGTAATCATTAATACCATAGTGACTAAGTTGAGTCTCCTTTACATTAATGTGCTGTTGGAAGTTATCTATGTTTGATTATTAATAGTAACTACCAAGGGCCTAGTGATAGTTTAATTGTCTGTCACTGTTGAGATAGACAGAAGAGGTTTCTGATAATTCTGTAATCATTGTATCTTATGTGAAATTATAGAATATAGAACCAGTTTTTAACCATAATCAATTTGTCTGGATGTGATCATTTATTAAGTGTTTTCTTGTCTGGAGGGATACTGCTTTTTAGTAGTTTAATTAAAAAAGGGAATTATGTGGGATTACTAGTTAACACGCAACATAGTCCATACCCCATGTAGTTTTCTAAAGATTCAAATGAAAATGGTACCTAAATGTACTGGGAGGATAACTCTATCAAGACATATCACGAAACCCCACGATTAAATATTCATACTTCAAACAATACAACTTTAAAAAAGTGGTAGATTTTTTCTGACTCACTCTGTATATTAGTGCATCTACACAAAAACATATTACTGTCAATCTAACCTGGATGCTGGTGTGAAGAAATAAGATTCATAGGGGGAAAATAGAAAATTTATATTATCAATGTATAGTTTTATCATCATTCTATCCTGTATAAAATTTGTTAGTTTTTATGTTCCTGGGAAAAAATGCATTTTGATGATTGTAAAATGATTTTGGTCGTACTGACCAGTATAATCAAGCATTAGAAGAAAATCGGTTCACTTTGAAAGGATTTTCATTGAAATGATATGTACGAATGGTGTAAATTTTATATTTCTATATTTTATATGTGTGCAGATGTTATATTCCTTTGAAAAAAACAAGGTATGTGCCTAGATATAATATTACACAGGGTAAAGTGAGCGGTTGGCTTTCTTGTTAATTGTTCCTATATGTACATGTATGAATCGGTTTTAATTAAAAAGTTCTTTTCTGAAGTAAAATGTATACAAGTGCAGTAATGTGTCTTTCTTCCTTTATTGCAATCATTCCTTTGTTTTTTATGCATGTATTATGGTAATTTAAATGTGACAGAATTATTCACTTGTAATTGGTATATTTTCTATTGATATTACAGATTTATGTGAACATGACGATTTTTTTTTGGGGGGGGGGGGGCAGGGAGGCATAATTGGTTTGAATTTTTTAATTTAAGTACTTTAAATTGCTCAACACAAACATGCATAATCATCATCAGCATCATATAAACAACAAGAATAACGACAACACATTTTAAAAAAATGAATGGATATAATGAAGGAATTGTTTTGGGAAAGGTAGATAAGTACTGGATGAACCAGACCGTTTTCTTTTCATCAAGCTTTTATTTCTCTGTATGCTTAAACACTAGCATTATGAAGCATGGATTATTTCACTAAACAAATATTTGTAACGATTGATGAGCCTTATCCCTTCGTTGATTGTTTAATATATTTTTACTCATTTACTCTTTGATGGCATATCTAACTGTAAACGGCACATTTCCCCCACACTCTAGCAATAAAGTGTATCAGTTTACAGATGTAATACAATTCATATGCTTCTCCACAATGCTCCTTGCCAGGAATTTCCAATCAACAGTAATATGTCATATTAAAGCATTTTCATGGATAGAATTATACCCGAGTCACACCAACAGACCAACACCAGACTGACCAAATAAATTACATTATCCCTTCGGCAAAAAAATTATATATTACATCAGTCTATGGAGACTCAACTAATTACACGTTATGAAACGATGGATTGTTTAACTGGGTTGGATGCAGTCTGAGGTTGGTTTGGCGATGTGAATGGGGTAGTACATTATATACAGTGTGTGTCGCTACGTCAGTAAGCCCCTCGCAAGCTTACAGATGTAGTTTACAAGAGATTTTCTTTGTGGTAAATATCACATTTGAATATAGTTACTGTTTATTCATATTTCAGTACTATTTACAACTGCTGTCATTATTGACATTTTGGCGAAAAAACAAAATATAAATTCTATAAATTCTAAGATCACTTTCATAAAGACTCTGAGGCACACAATTTCATGTGAAACATTTTGAATGTAAATACACGTTACTCATAATTACCACATAAAAGACAAATGCTGATGGTTAAAAGGATTCTCGACAATGATTTCATTAATGCATGTACAGTTTAGAACTATGCAATACATAACAAGAACAATGAAATCTCACTCGGAATACATTGACGAAACCATAACTTCAGTATATTACTTGACAGAGACGAATCAGAGGAAAGGGGAGGGGGGGATCATACATGTAGATTTAATGTATTGGACTTGAATTCCCATCCCCTTTAAAAAAAAACACCTATATTTCCTTGTTTTTTAAAGATTTAAGGTACATGTAATTGGATCCTCTCTTTACAAGTATTAACAGTTTTCTGTGATCTGAGTTATCTTATTTCAAGGCTTAAATTAGGGTTCGTTCAGATATTACTCGATAAAACACAGGGTTTTTTTAACACTTTAAAATGAATGGCAATTGCGAGCAACAAAAGTCCTACGCAACTATTTACTAAGCTATGTGTTATAAGATAAAGAATTTTAAAGCATATTCCATGTAACGTCATAAAAACAACCTCTGCGGTATTGCGGTTCCATATCTGAACAAGGATTCCAAGCACTGCAAGCAGACAATTCATACTCTTAAAGTTTTCGTGTACATATATTTGTTGCGAAACAAAGTTATTCAAACGAGACGCTTTTCTAAACTAGCAACAACTAATAATGTGGTACTGACTGTACTTTAGTAACAAGGGCAAATATTACATGTAGGTTCTGATTGTGATGAGGCACTTGGTGAAGAAATACCTAATCTGTTCACAGCCAGGGTGTTGATGCCCTCCTGTCTCAAGACAGAAAGCATTTAAAGAATGACTGGTTTTAATCATGACCTTCAATAACCAAATAGTACAGAGCTAGCAGCAAAAATGAATCCATTTTCATGACATTTGTAACAAGAACATCATAACCATCATATAACATAGAATCATAGCACATTATATGACCAAAGACTGTAGCAGGTATATGTATGACAATTGCAATCTGAGTACTGTTGGCTAAATATAGTAAACACTTGTTAAATTTTTATTTTACTAAAATCGTCCTGAATATAACAAAAAGAGCTAGCAAAGTGCAGTCACATGTCAATAATAACAATATCAATAAAATGGGTCTGACTGTAAAATATCTGCTCCCAACCGTGACCTAATTCATTTTCCTCTGCAGTATGCATATTTCTTCTGCTTTTTTTCAAGATTAATAGCTGGCAAAAAAACAAAAAAACATTAAAAACAATGCATACCAAGCACATCACTTCAAATTTAAAGCGATACTGAACTGATGAACATTTAGTGCACCGTTAATTGCCAACCCAATACCTAATTTCTGCTTCGCAGTTTGAGGACTCAAGCAGCGAGTTACGAGACCATACTGCTACAGCTAGCTCACCTAAGATGGCGCTAAAGGGTACTTTGCAGCAGAGCCATCTATATACACAGAGTTTGGCCAACTTGGTTTCACTGGGTCACAACATGGCGTATATTCTTTTGTTTTTGTCCTATAACAAAGCAGTAGTCGCCATATTGTGCCGTACTCCGACCGGGTTGGTCAAAATCTTTGTATAAATGGCTCTGCTTTGCAGTAGTTCTTCCAGTACAGTATAGCTGTAAGTGTATCAAATATACTAGCTATATGGATAATCTTTCATTATGATTAACAAATTTATGGAAGGTTATTTTTAGAGAAATAATCAAGATTTATTGTACAACACTTGTATTTAAAAGTACATGTAGACTGTTACTGCAAAAATCATACAGTCAAAGTATTTTTTTATAAACAAAATAGCAGAATTTGTCTGAAAAAAAATTACAAATGGTTTTTTTACAATACAATTTGAAGAAGGTTGCATATATGCTAAAACAAATGACATACCTTTAATAGTCTATCATTATCCTAAGTGAAGCTACTTGAAAATGAGTTGAAAATGCAAGCTATTTCAGGACACAATTACTTCACAATAAAGCGACAATTTAAAAAAGCTACAAATATATGGAAATACATGTATCTACATGTGATCTAATCACACATATATTGGATTTTTATCATCAGTTCTTCTATCTTTCATCATCAGCCATATCATTTATGTGTTAACAATACAAGTAGACATTCTGGGGCCATATTCATAAAACGGTATTATTTGTTATCATAGGTAAAATGATGGTTATTATCATTACAAAATTAAAATGCTATAAATGCTTGAAAATAATAGCATTTGGTGCTTGCACATGTTAAAGTCTCTTTCAATGTTATGTGAATGCAGCCAGCTTTACAAGGACATTAACCATGATTTGTCCTAATTTTGATTTGTTATGACAATTATGACATTGTATTACTAATGTAGAAGATAACTTTGTTTTTCTGAATAGCACCCCATATCTTAAATCATGTAAAAACAAATTCAACCTTTTGCTATAACTTATCCAAATATGGGAAGGCTATAAGAATGAGAAAATTCAGCAATCAACAGGTTAAGGCAAATTAGATTAAAATTAGAGCACTAATGACTTCTTACGAGAAGATTTGATTTGCCGTCAAGAAGTTGTACATTTACATTTACATCATATTGACTGGCTTTGAATGGCAATCTATGAGAGTACACTAGTATAGCCCAAGAATATTCATAGGGCAATGTGGATATATCGAGAGCAATAACTTATAACCCAAACAGTTTTGTATTACCCCCAAAATGAGCCAGTCATTATTATTATCAATATGTTTTTTTTTTTATAAATCACAGGCGATTTCCAGAATGGTATACTAAGGTAATTAACCCATTGCCTACAGGGATCAGGTGTTCCCTGTATTAAGGCTATGGGGATAAGAGAACTCAGTAGTCAACGTGTTAATGTGATTTCATACAGTCCACTCCTGTATGACAGGTGCACAATGGAAAAGATACATGTACGTTCACATGATAACCCATAAGAGTTGATTCATTAGCTGATTTCTAATGGGGTCCAAAGAAAATTATTAAAAGTTGTTATACATCAGACATGTAGATATTCTGGTTCGATTCTCCAGGATCAAAGCCAAGGTTCACACCGGTATTTTTCTCGTATGTATCTAGGACAGCGGCAAGAAGTTTGTCATTGCCTTCTCCGTTGGTTTCATTGTTGAGTTCCGCATCAAAGTCGAGTTCCACCTCTTGGAATTCTTCTTCTTTGGGTCCGGGACTTTCCACAGCTTCATTGCCTGCTTCATCCCTGCACATTCAATATCAGCAAATGATGGAAGAAAAAAAAGGAGAAGAAGAAGAAGAATAAGGAGAAGAAAAAAATGAAGAAAATGAAGGAGAAGAAGAAGGAGAAGAAGAAGAAGAAGAAGAAGAAGAAGAAGAAGAAGAAGAAGAGGAAGAAGAAGAAGAAGGAGAAGCAGAAGATGAAAAACAAGAGGGAGAAGAAGATAAAGAAGAAGAAGAAGAAGAAGAAGATGAAGAACAAGAAGGAGAAGAAGATGAAGAACAAGAAGGAAGACATGAAGAAAGAGAAGAAAAATAAAATAAAAATAATAAAGGAGTTCTTTAACCCCCCCCCCCCCTCCTCAAAAGGAACATGTAAAATGGGTCTTTCTTTTATAGATAAATACATCAGCATGTTACAGTTGAGTATTGTTTAAATTTTGCTACATCCCTGCACATTTACTTTAAATCATTTAATCAAATAATAATAAAAGATTTCTTAAAAACATCATCCCTCCCCCTTATGGATGAATATATACATTTAAAATGGATATTTTTACTGATACATCTAGAGGGGAAAAACCCAGTATAAACAGTGGTGTATTTTGTTGTCTATTTCTGCACATTCAATGAAAGCATTGGATGAAATAATATTTTTTTTAAGATTTCTAAACAAAAATAATTCCCCTGGAAAGAGTGAATATGTAAAATGGACATCATGTATATCATTCATACATAAATAATTAAATAATGATAATAAATTGGTAAAAAAAGGAGAGTCGACATAAAAAGTTGTGTATTTTGTTTCTAGTTTTCTTCTCCTCTCATCGGTTCAACAACAACAGAATTCATACATGACTAAACTGCAATTTCAAATGTACTGTTTTGTATTCAATGATTTTCTTTGTTTTTGCCAAATAAATAATAATAATAATAATAAAACTGCATTACCAAAGTACAATATCCTCATGAAAATAAAATTATCCTAATACAGGATCCTTCTCACTGTTGTTCGCCATCTAGTGGACGTACAATGTACATCTTCCAGTCTTGCAGGGAACTAATATACATTCAGCTACATTATAATAAGGAGGTATATCATAAAACAAAAATGGACTTACACATCAATGTAAAGTGGCTCCTTCACATCAGCAGCGTTGAGATTGTATATAGGGTTTCTGGCAGAGTAAACAAAACCTTATTAATTCTATATTTCATTTGGTTGCAAAAATTAGTCTACAATATGTGCTAAAGAATATTTTTCTTCTACAACATCAATTCAGTAGCATACTTGCAGAATATGAAAGAATGTTATAGTAGACATGATGAATTAGCTCATGCTGAATACATTAGTTATAATGATGACAATTTTCTTTTAAATGTCATTATTTCCATTTCATTTCGCTTATTGATACATTTTCACAAATGAATGAGGAAAAGAAAGAACAAGTATGATCATGACATAAACATTATGAAAGAACACTGATTGAAAAACAAAGCCCTACCAATATCAACATTGCGGAATAATCGAAAGCAAACTTATCGGAATACCAATGCCCTGGCATAGTTAGGAAATGTGTATCACAAGGTATTTTAAACAATGCAATTCAAAGAGTTAAACTGACCATGGACATGTAAAATTGGTTTGCATTATGCTATTAAACCAGCTCTTGTCATCGCATGTATAGCCTGTATTTTGATTTTACCGTGAAACATTGTTTCTCATTGTTAAAGGAAGCATAAGTTTAAAGGCCACCTGCCTGTAAAGGCCACTTTCTCCATTCAGTGAACTTTCTGTACAGGTTTCAAGGTTTATAAGATGGCAACTTTAGGCTTCTCTGTCCCATACGCCACAGATCCCATTTCAGATTTTACTATCTGATCATTCTATTAACCCTTACTGTACTGGGGGGGGGGGCCTGGGAGGCCCCCCCTCGACATTTTCAGAGATTGCGCCGCAACCGCTTGGAATTTTGAATTGTCGTTTCATGACTTTTTTCCCTCAAGTCTTACGCACATTTTGATACCATTTTCGTCGAAATCGGATATACCTGTAAGGCGTTACATAACAATTAGTATGCCCATGTCATCAAAAAAATAAAAAATAAAATAAAAATTACATCAAAATTTGCATAAATTATCATTATTAATTACATTAAAATAACTTTTTTGTGTTAGAAAAGAAGTTTCATATGAATAATGAGTTTCAACATTCAAAAAGTGGAGTTTGACACGTTTTCTGTAAAATGCATAAGATTAGCGCATTTTGCATAATTAATTAGGCTAACGACAAAAATGTGCATATTCTGAAAAAACGAATTATACCATCTTGTTCCTTACGTAAATATCTACAAACATGCAAATTTTCGTGTTCATCGGACAATCGACGGCCGAGATCATAGGGGGGGGGGCCTCCCAGGCCCCCCCCCCCCCAGTCAGTGGGTGCTCAAAATAGCCCAGTACAGAAAGGGTTAAGGTGATACCCCTACTAGAGCTTTAATCAGACCAGGGCCCTATTTCATAATACACAAAACATAATAAATGCTAAAATTCTATGAAAAATTAGCTATCAACCAATCAGAAGCCACAATTTCAGTAGCTTATAACAGTCATTGTAACTTGTTATTGATAACAAGTTTTATGAAACAGGGCCCAGATATATATGAAGTAAAAAGGCACATTTGATTTCAATTAATGTTCACGGCCTGTCTTACAACGATTTACAATTGATTCAAATCAATCGCAAGTCCTCAAATCAATCACAAGTTTGCAGTCTCCTATCTTATACGTATATATCAACTCTTTGTAAAACTTTAAAATCTTATGACGTACAGGACACCAAATCGCATACCATGGACTTGCCAAAAGATTGATATAAGGATCTTCTTACTTGTTCTCTGCAAACTTGTTAGTACCGGGTGCAGGGGCTTCCTTCTTTTCAACTTTTTCAAATGCTTCTAATGCTCTTATCCGCCTTCTATACCTGGTGATGCAGAAAGATAAAAGACGATAATTTTTCATCCAAGTGTTTCAAGTTCAGGGGGGTAAGAGCACTATATATATTTTTTTTTTGCCTAATTCATGATTTTTTTATGATATAAAAAAATCATGAATTCTTTCTTTTTTTGCCCCGGGGGGGGGGGGGGGGGGGGAGGGGGCAGTCCCCCCCCCCCTGTGGTGGATCCACACTTGGCACCAGTCATATAGGTAAATTTGGCAAAGGCACTTTTGATTCCCAAACTAATACAATGGGTCAAGGTCTAGAACTGGAGAGTCCGACAGAAAGTGCAGTTTCGGAACCAATAAACTTTAGGTAACAGATTATGATGGTGTCTATATAGAGTTCATCAAATCATTGGGGGAGTCCATGAAACCTGAACAATAGTATAGTAAAATAAGGAATTACATTCTCTATAGAAGTGGAAATGTTGCCATCTACTGTTGGACATTGTATCTGCTGTAGGGTCAATTGTTATTATCTCTTATGATTCCACAATGTTACAATCCGCAATGTTGTCCGCTGATTAGACTGTCCTTTCATGACATGCTTATCACACGACCAGTAGTCATCTTAAAGCGCAATACTTACCCGGCGACAATCCAGTAAAAAGCCACTAGGATGAAGACGAGGAGGAGGAACATCAAAAACGCGAGAGAGAAACTGGCGGTCTGTAAGGCTGACAGAACATCAGCCTCTACTTGCTTGGTTTTAAACTGCAGACATGACAAAAAAAAAAAAGAACAGTCAACTCATTTGGAGTGAAGATTGGGTACATCTAAATCATACTCACCATTTGGAACCTAATAAACATATAGTGCTAGAAGACAGTTCAACAATTACACTACAGTCAAACATGGATCACTAATAATATTTTGTGAGATAAGTGGTAATTTTGATATGGTTTATCCTGATACAAAAAGAGTTTTTTATCTAACTTTGGAATTTCTTTATTTAACTTTGAAATTTATCAAATCATAGTCGAATTCAATCAAGAAAAGACACACCTTTCTTGGTCCCAATATACAAATAAATTGGCTTTAAAAAGTACATTTACCTTCAAAAATGAAAGTGTTAACGCCTCATTGTTTTGGGATACACCATCCATCCATCAGTAGCTCTTACTTACTTACTTAGTTATGTCACAAAATACTTTTTGGATTTCAATGTTTTTTTTCTCTTCACAAACCGTAGTTTTTATCAATTGAGTAAAATGTCATTTTTCAACAATTATCTCAGGCTTTTCTTCTCCAATGGGTAAAGATTATTTCACAAACTATAAGCCTCTCAAATTTTTTTGGAAATTCAAGTTTGATTGAATATAACTCTTTTTATATGGCATATCAATTGCTATGTTTAGTATCAACTAGTTCGGCTGTGCATTTAATTCTTGTTTCCTTCAAGAGCATATAGGGCTTCTGTGTAAAGCACTGCATAGCAATGCTAATGCTTACCAGCAAATTTTGCAACTTTGATTTCAAAGAGAAATAAACATATTCTTATGATACTAAACAAAGCAATAATTATCCCATGACAAAAAAATTACAATCAATCAAACTTGAGTTTGAAGAAAATAAACATATTTTCTAATGATACTCCACAAAGCAATAACTATCCCATGATAAAAGAGATATAATCAGTCAAACTTGAGTTTCCACACTTTGTTTAGGGGTTCATATTCATTAGACTCTCTCACATTCACTTTTTAAAACATATGATAATATAAGATAAACTTATATATTCTCATTTTAGGAACAGTTTTTAAGAATAGCCCAAATGCCAGGACTGTTAAAACAAGACCTGGGGGATGTTTCACAAAGACAAAGATCGACTTTAAGTTGGACTTTAGTATGGCAGGCCGTTCATGCCACTGTTTGCTCTTACCGTTTACTGGTATTGGTCTCTGAAGGGAGTATAAATTGACGTCACAAATCTACAGAATTTACATTTTCTGATAGTTCATTATTGAAGGAAAATATATTATCTAAAGATCATAATGGAGAGACCAATGGTGAAAGCAACCAGTGGCAAAAATGGCCTGCCCTAGTGAAGTCCAACTTAAAGTCGATTTTAGTCTTTGTTAAACATCCCCCCCCCCCCCCGCCCAGGACTATATGCCCAAAACAATAAATCACATCTACCTCTACTTCATACAGATGGTAAGAAAGCAGCTCCTCTGTGTATCCGTATGCATGATCAATAATGCTGTAACAAATGTAGAAACATATCATATAAGAATAATTTTCCAACATATAATTAGAAATTGAATACAATCCATCAAAGAGATGACAGTACCATGGGTTCTCATCATCAGAAATATTTCTAAATCTTTTTTGAGGTGTTGACAAAGCACGTGGAGGCCTGACAGTCGATGCGTACTTAAATATACAATTTCATGTTTGAATAGTGGGCTCTGATAAGAAAGAACTCATTCTTTTTCAGGACTACACACACTCAAGATAGAAAGATTACCAAAAGTCCTTTTCAGGACCCTCCAACCCTCCCCCTCTCTCACATAATGCAACCGCAAGCCTACTCTACAACTCATTACTAGTTTTCATTATAGGAAAAGAATGTTCAGTTTCCCAGCATTCCTTAAATGCAAATGTACTTCCTAAATGTACTTCATTATGAGGAATGACTAAATTTATTTTCGCTCTTTTTCAAAACAACATCTCAACACATTGACTGAATGCATATTAAAAAAGTCATTGACAAAGATTTTTTTGGGTAAATTCTTTCAAATTGTCAACCATTTATAAACAAATGTAATGGACCTGTACTTACTCTTGTACTATTGATGGAGAAATGACTGTGTTTGTGTCATCATCCACTACATGGAGCAACATCTCTGTCCTGAAAAACAGAAGATATAGGAAGAAATTCAATGACTTTCTGTTAGATGGGTTAGAAATAGATTAGAGTTGTGTGATGAAAATTTATTCAGAGTTGACAATAGTAAACAAATTGTCTGTGCTTCTTTTTCTAGCAACTAGGTTATGTGGGATATTTAAAAGCCCAAAACCTAGTGACAGGTACATATATATATAAGAGAGAACAGGATAGGGATAAGAGAAAGAGAAAAGGAGAAGAGAGAAAGAGGGAGAAAGAGAGAGTTGAAGAGAGAAAGAGAGAGAAAGAGAGAGAGAGAGAGAGAGAGAGAGAGAAAGAGAGAGAGAAATAAATTGGAAGAGAGAAACAAACACATGTGAAACAATGTGAGATATTTATTTTTGAGGGATGTTTACAAATATACAGATGTACAAAAGAGTCATACATATAAGTATATGAATGGCCTGAAAAAAAGAGAATTGCAAAGCACAGTTTGTCAAGCACAGTTTATGCTATCCCAAAAGCATGGAAAAATGTCTTGCTTTTGGGAAGCAGATAGAAAGGAATGCTAGAAGGTAAGATAATTTTCAAAAAGATGAAGAGAAGAAAGAATCCACACATCAAAGAAAGTACAATTTGTTGACTAAAATTACTGTATGTCTCTACTATGCTTGTACATTTTTTCACATAGACTTTGAGAAACATTTATGAATAGTGGTTTTTCCTAGGCAATAAACTTTTTTTAACTGCAAAGATAATTATGACGTCATGTGATTCTATCATTTGGGAGCCACGTTTTGCAATAGTTGTGAATGTTTTTTGGTGTTGTGGTTTGTGGATTAACTACATATACATTGCAGTATCTTTAACAATTTTTTAAATCATATTTATAACACAAGTCTGTACGTCGAGTGCCTCCATAAAGTTTTAGAAGTAAAAGGTGAAATATTAGCCTGACCTGTTTGGAATACCAAGATCATCTGCATCCAACTGGTAATCTATGGAATCAATGTTGACAGAGACGGCATCATATCCTCCTACATTTTCCATGATTTCCTCTAGCAGTCTACAAAGAAATAAACAAGAACAGAAAACAGTAGTTCTTCAATTCTATTGCTTTAAATATTATTGGACATAATTTACCACTTTCCTCTTAAGAATCAAAGAAAAAAAATCATCAGAACAGTCATGTAAAGAATCTTACTATTTTTGCATATATAGCTTAAGTTCTCTTAAAATTACCATTATTTTCATCACCTTCATTAGCATCATCCTCACCACCATTATCCTCATCATTATCCTCACCATCATCACCAAGATGATCATCATCACCATCATCATCACCATTACCACCACCATCATCATTATCATCAACATCATCATCATCCTCCTCCTCATCATCATCAACACCATCATCATCATTATCATCACCACTATCATCATCATTATTATCATCAACATCATCATCATCATAATCATCATCATCATCATCATCATCCTCCTCATCATCATCATCAACACCATCATCATCATTATCATCACCACCATCATCATCATTATCATCAACATCATCATCATCATCATCATCATCATCATTATCCCCACCATCATCATCATAGCCCCACCATCATCATCCCAACCATCATCATAATCATCATCAAAGATTGTTTTACCTGACTGCTTTGAGCAGGATTTCCAGGATTTCTTAGGGGGGAGGGCCAAATTTGGGGCCAAATTTGAAATATATAAGAAATTATGTAATGCTTCTAAGTAAACAACCAGGGGATCAATGCCTTTAAGTCCTTTTTTGAGGGACTTGGTAATGAGGATTAATGCCGTACTAAAGGGCACGAGCGCATTCACCTGATACCTCTACCACTGAGCTATCGCACCTCCCTCTCCTTCTTATCATCATCATCTCCAAAGTTGTCAGCATTGTGCAGTCCCTACTCATGATTGATTTACACATCACAGGGATAGTAAGATACCCATAAGATGTTTCACAAAACCTTGCTTTTAGCATGATATATCTATACAGTATGTATGTTGCATGTATCTGCAAAAAAAAAAAATTTCTTTGAAGCCTAGCTTGACAAAAAGTGGATTCCTAAATTATGCTTTCACAAAACATTGATTCCCGATCATTTGATTTCTGACCTTTGCTGCCTGCGTAGGCATTCTACATGATGTAGCCTCTATTATGTGTCCTCATGAGCTGCGATGGCTTGAGTAGGCAGTCTGGTAACAGAGAGGTCCCAGGTTTTAAAAACCAAGTCAATGTGCTTGTGCTCTTTGGTAATTAAGGCATTAATCCTCATTACTAAGTTCCTTGGAGAAGACTTAAAAACGTTGATCCCCTATAGCTGCTTATTTTAATACTGCTTTCAAACTGGCTTCTATCGGAGTCACACCGATGAAAATACTGATTGAATTTTCCTTATGTAAACAAAGGTGAAACTGCCGTTTTCCCTGCTGTTGCTTTCATACTGCCGGTGAAATTCACTCGCTGTGTTGAGCCCTTGCCGGAAGTGAAGAATTATTACGTAATTATTAAGCCCGTGCCCCATCTAGCTGGCATGCAGCATGTTCAACAAAAAGTCAACAAACACAGCTGGTTACGATAAAGGGCGCGTACACTGCAACATTATACCATTTTAATCAGTGTTTTAATCACTGTTTTCTCCCGAACGCATTCACAGTGGCTGTTTCATCTATGTCACACCAATAATGAGATTTTATCGGCTATTTCTCTTCTTTTCATCGGTTATTTAATCAGCTTTTTCTCCTCTGTAGCATTCATAGTGGCTGTTTCATTGGATGCGTCCGGATGCGTCCGGATGCATCCGTGAAAATCAGGCCAGTTTGAAAGGGGTATTACAAGCACATACATACTTTCGTAAAACAATCAATGTTAACATCGATCATTATTATCAACCATTATTTTGGCCGATCATGTTGTAATATGATTGTTATATGCGATATAATATCACAATTCTGAAGCCTACCTTATAAAGTCATCCTGTGTTTCTCTCACATTGACTGGTTCATCTGCAAATAGCGCACTCACTTGCTCAATTTCAGTCATCAAGTACACCTGTTATCGAGAAATTAAAATTGGCTGAATATAAAAAGCAAATATTTTGTCCCTTGGCTGGCAGAAGGGCCTAAAAGTGTGTAGCGCCGTTCTGCTGAACGGAGATGACCACTATCGTATTATGCAGGACGAATGTAGGCATTAACAACCATGTAGATTTAAATATAAATGCCTGTATTTGATATGAAACTACTGAAAATTAGGTAGCTACAACCCAATTTCTCTTTTTATAGTTGGTAAAGAGAGAAATCCCTGTCATTTTTAACAAAGTGTGTACCGGTAGCTGTGTGTCAGATGTACATGTGCCAATGACCTTCTGTCAGCGGTATGACAATTTACTTAATAGTTGTAATCTTAGCAGCTTTTGCCCTTTAATGCCCTTATTTTTGCAGTATAGCGCCTAATATTGCAATTTTATTGCAAACTAAAACCTCGCCCGGCAAAGCAACTTTCACAAAATTTCCGTGTTTGCATTGATTAATTTGTGGTATAAAACCTTTGCAATTTAAACTTTTGGGAATCTAGAGCACACACAAGACTGAGGAAAGTTGCATGCATGCAAACGTTTCTGTTTTTTACAATTGTCAAAAGGTGCAGAAATAGTATCTTGTATAAACTTAAACATTTCTCACTAGTAATATAGCAGGTGTGTAAGAAACCAGGAGACCTACAGATTTGACTTAAAAGTCCTCTCAAAGGGACTTCAAATAAGATTATTACCCAAACACCGAAGGAAATTTAACTGCATCAATTTGGTTTCGAACCCTAGTCCTCCTAGATAGAGACCATGCACTGCTCTATCATTAAGCCATCATTCCTCCATATTTATATTAGAATTAAAATGTTCACCTACTGGGATAGTCTGGGATTATAAACTGTAAGAATAATGATAGAAATTATCAAATATAGAGGGAGAGGAGAGAGAGGGAAAAATAGAGAAAGAAAAGTCAAAGCTAATAAGTGTCCTCAGTTAATCGTAGGCCAAGTCTGGTTGTTAAGTATTTTTGAAACGTGGATAAAATCATAAAGCTTACCGATAAAGTTGCATTGTCTGTAAAGTTGGGGTTTAGACTATCAGTAGCTTGCAATTCCACAATGTAGTAGCTATCATCACTAGCTTGGAATGTAACACTGTTAATAACTTTCCCATCATTGATTGCAAAGACATCCACTTCGACCCCCCCATTGCCATCTGAAAGTTAAAAAAACATGCATCAAAACCCTGGCTTGAAAATGCCATGCAGCAACAATGACGATGGTGGCGGTGATGATGATGACTATGATGATTATGATGATGATTATGATGATGATGATTGATGATGATGATGATGGCTAAAACATCATGATTTTCCCACAAGACCATTTCTTAGCAAGAAAAAGGTAATGAAGCCATCTCTTTACTTTTTATTTCTTTCATATTTATTACAACTACATTTGCCTTCAGGTAATAATGAAATCTAACGGCTTGCTGTCACTCAATACAACCATTCATCATGTGCCTGGAAGAAGGGGGGCAAACAGAGGCATGGCAAGTGGATGTAAATGTCGACTTTTCTCTGTCCTTTCATGATTTCATTTCTCATATTTCCATTGCAAAACATAAATTAAATCAATGTAACACATTGACATATGCAGGAAAGACACTAACAGTAAATAAATGTACAATATGGGTTGGATTATAGAGAAGTAACAATTCAGTAATTTTCTTTACATAATCTAAAGAACTTAATCATTTGGAAATCAAATTTTGTGTTTATGCACTTCTGCAAGACCCCTAAAACCCCTACAAACAAGGCTCAAAATACACGGGGTGATGGGTGATTCGCCCCTGTGAGCTACACAATCGCTTCTGTCAGAGTGCTCACGGGGGCGATTGCAAAATTAAAAATCGCTCCCGTGGAATTATAAAGTAAAGATTATCTTTTTGTTATAGCTTTCACAGAATATTGAGTTTCAACTTTCAATGAAATGGAACTATGGAAGTTATATTTTAATAGCGTGCAGAATTTCTCGCTCAAATTTTTCGGTGTCTAGAGGCTGCCATATTGTAAAGAAATAAACGCTTTTTTGCTGCAAGATTGCCCTATATCTCCCATCTCCACATCTATATATGGGTATTACGGATACAAACAACGGAAGCTCGATCGCAGTGCACTGCGGCCGTCAGCAGTGGCTATACTAGCTGCGCCGGTAGTAAACTGGTGTGTATGCTGCCGCCCCCATATCTGCTGGAGCTAGAGGCGATCGCGCAAGGACTGAAACGTGGAGAAGTTTTTCGTTGTGAAAATCATGAATCCTCTGAAATCTGGTGATTCCAAAAGACCAGCAAATAATGAACCTCGACCAGTAAATCAAAAGAAAGCTACAATTAGTATCAAAAGGAAACCTGTTGGCAAGGAGGCGAATGTATACGGTCTTGGACCAGAAATTTCGTACAGAGGGAGGAGATCTGACCATTAGCTGCACGTTATATCTTGTAAAGTTGTAAGAGGAAAATAATGCCAACTATTAATGATAATGATGAAATAGCAAAGAATTTACGAGTATCATGGGTACCAATTCAATGGAAATTAGTATTAAAAAAAGAGCCCCTGTCAGTATTAAAAGAACCCCCTTGAGAAGGCTCACAGGGGCTCTTATTTTTGGAAGAGCCCCCGTGGATAAAAAATCAATTTGCGCCCTGCCTACAACCCCCACTATATACTCTCAAGGCAGTGTATATATGTAAATGTATATTTTTATACTATTCCCTCAATGACATTGACAGTTTACCTGCATCATATGATTTTTGTGATAGAATAGTATAGACTGTAACAGCATTTTCGCCTAGATCAGGGTCTACAGCGTTGACAGTGATGACCTCTACGCCAAACGATGTTGAATACAACACGCCTGAAAGAAAATAAATATTTCAATGGTTATTTTGATAAACCTAACTTTTTAAAGTTTTTAAAGCGGAGCATCAGAAATGAAAACCAAAAGGTACTCCTGTCAAGAGATTAAAAGTGAGCAATTGTTTAAACAAAATTTATGCATATTGTTAGGAGAAATACAGTTAGAAGATGTAAAATTGCCAAATAATATGAATGGTTAATTAAGACCATGAGGTGATTTTTTTTTTTGCATCGTTATTAATTTTTAGTTCACTTACAATATGAGTTCACACTATCATAAATATTTTCATTATCATTATCATCATTATTACTTACAATTTTCTTATATTATTATTCTTATTAAAATTGTTATCATAATGATCATTATCATAATTACCACCATTATCATTATCATTATTATTAACATTATTATCATTATTATTATAACTATTTTTATGATTATCATTATCAATATCATTATTGAAATCATTTTTTTTCTATTATTATTATTATCATTATAAATACTACCCTCATTATCGTTATCAGTATTATTAACAATTATTATCAATATCATTATTATTATTATCATTTCACTATCATTATCAACAACATTATTAATATTGTTATTTTTCATAATGATTGTTATCATTACCACCATCATCATCATCACCATCATTTTCATCATCATCGTCATCATCTTCATTAGCATTATTACCTGCTGTATACCTGTCCTCCTCAAACCTTGGAGGGCTATCGTTGACATCAGACACCGTTACAGTCACTCTAGCTAAGTTGTCTTCTTTCAGGGGGTCGTAAATAACATTCATATCAGGTTCATAATCAGGATAACTGTCTGCCCGTATGACCAGGGAAAACTCCGGTCTCTTCTCCCGATCAATTGGGTTCGCAAGTGTTAGATTACCAGAATACTTGTCTAAAATGAAGTAGTCTTCGCTTGTTGCACCTACACAGAGCAAGAGATGAAGATTTGAGAATGTTATGTCCTGCTGATCTCAAACTGGAATTTATGTACAGTTAACATCTAAATTATTCTTATACCCTTGCCAGGGGGGTACTTCACAAAGATCCTAAGTCGAACTTAACTGTAAGTTGGACTTAAATATTATGGAGAGCCGCTTGTAGCCTTGAAATAAAATATATTCAAAAGCGAAAATTCAAGTTGAAACTTTGATTCGACAAGGTTATTAAAATTCAATGCTTGGAACCATTCGAAGTAATGATTATTATAAATTACAAAACGCTTAAATACAACCCCGGCATAGCGCACCTGAAGAGCTCTCCGAACGCTGTTGAGATGTGTGAGATCACAGGATAGACATGATTTGAACAAACAGACGATGTACGTCCCATGACATCTCACACATTTTCAGTGCCTGTTTTTTCATCTTCTCTTGAGTTGTTTCTCTTACTTCACTACCGTCGGGCTAAATGTATAATTTATTGCTTCACTCTAAACCCGTGCATGGTTTTATTTTGATGACAAATGCAGCGATACAAAAATAAAAGAATCTGTCGCTTGTAAACAAAATAAGACGCCATTGTATATTCAGCTGCACACACCACGGTATGTTCGGCGTTTCAAGAGTGAACAACTGCCGTTCTTAATATCATTCCAGGGTTTTTTCAATTAGAAAGTCTGGTTTCTTTGATTGTTAATTAACCCCTATCCTGTGTATTTACAAACAAAATATTTCAGTTATCAGAATCGGTTTCATATCCACTTTTGAATGGTTTGAAATGCCATCACATTTATATACACTAAACTCATTATAATTTGAGAAATGATAGCTTTGCAATTATGTTCATTCTTTATGGGATGTCGGCTGCTTGGGCAGTATTGGTCCATTATGTGACATCATTAAAACATTGTTATTTTTCTGGCGAATCTCTCGTATATCCCAGATGCTATGGAGGTGGTTGTATTTGTATTTTAAAAAAATCACCCGATATGTAGTTGACCTAAAAAGTTGTACGATGGCCATCTGTTAGCTTACCAGTTTCTAGTGATACATTAGTTGACATATTTGTGATTTTCTTTGCATTTCCACTTTAAGTCCAACTTAGAGATAAGTTCAACTTAAGATCTTTGTGAAACACCCCCCAAGTTTTGTAATTGTCATGTATGTGAAAACCTGACTTTTCCCAATTTAGGTTCTTGAGAATGTGACCCAATACAAATTACAATGAAAAGTTATTTATAAAGGCCCTAATTTAACCAGTACATCCACATCTTTGAGTACCGGGTAATGAAAAATAAAATAAAACATCAGATTTTGAAGAATTATGAATAAACGAGTTGTTAACTGTATATAAATATAGAGTTCCATTAATTGCTCACATTCCTCGTCCCTCTTATTAATCTATTCATATCATTAGCTGATTCATGCACTTTGTATTGTATGTATTATTGTTAGTATCATTATTATTAAGTATTTGGTTTCACCGTGTAAAGTGAAATGAATTACTGTAACCATTGGGTCTTCTCCCGGTTTAACTGATTGGGGGCGTGCAGGTGGACCAATACACCTGGATTGGTTTCCTACTCTAATACAAATAGTGCAGTTCCTTGGATAGAACGTTACCTGTATAGGCCTAATATCTTATATGTAGGCTAAAAAGTCACACCCTATGAACGTTAATACGCTTTGCTTTTTTTTGCAAAGAGTACGGTGTAAGCCCTGTAAGACCTAATTTGCCTGCATTACTTTCACAGCTGCTAATCTCCACACATAGGTAGCTTTGTGATAACCTGCATAGCACTTGGCAGATTACAAGTAAAAGAAGAAGGAAAAGTACAGACCATGTACAGTATATACAGTTTGTACAGTATAATAGGCTTGCCACATAAAAAAGAAAGAAACCAAACAATATACCAACAAGACTTACTGACTATGAAATAGTAGATTTGATTGTAGAGGTCACTATCAAGATCTACAGCTTCAGGAACTGTTCCAACAAACGTCCCTTCTCCTAGGTTCTCCTGCACGTATAGCAGCGCTGCTTCAGGGGGATCCTGGGGCCCCTCAGGACCTGTACGCTGTAAACCGGCATACAAATGATACATGTAAATGAGTTCATTATATAATCTATTCACATTCAATTTGATGCTGTGTGTATATATCTACCTTAATAAACTCAGCCATTAGTTCAGGATCAGTATGCTGTAAACCAGCAAATGAGTTCATTATATGTTCATTATACAATCTATTCACGTTTTTAATATAATCTATGCACATTCAAGTATATGCTGTTTGTATATATCTGCCTCAAGAAAAAAACAAATATCAGGTTTACATATCAGATATATAGATGCACACTGCCTCAATGAGAGCAGAAAGATCATGCATTCAGACATGCATCATTTGTTTTTGTACAACAAAACTCCTACATTTTAATAGACCATTGTGAAATGTGTTTGATTTTAAACAGATTCATTTTAAGATTGGTCCATGTCATTAGCGATGACAGATGAACACCTTACTTTTAGATTCAGTGTGAATTATGTGTACATGTATTTGAATTTAACCCATTGATTACTGAATTCTATCATTCTCAAAAGGTTAGTACACAAACCAGTGGGTTCCTGTTTGAAATGAATAAGATAAGTACGCAGTGAGCCTTACCTCTCCCCAGTATGCCGGCTCATTATCGTCTGTATCATTGACCTGAACATAAAAGGTCACCTGCGAAGAACGGATTGGGTCAGATTTGGCATTCATTCCGATGATTCCAAGCTGCAATAAAAAGATGCATCACATCAACTCATTAAAGCAGAAATAAACCCTAAATTGTTTGTGTGGTATATATATCTGTAAAGCGCTTTGAGAGGGCCTGCGGTCCTGAAAAGCGCTTATAAACAAACTATTATAATTGTTATTATATCGTGTAATTGCCAACAATAACCGGTGTGTTGGCTCAGTCAGTAGAGCGTCCGCCTCACAACCAGGAGGTCGTGGGTTCGAACCCCGGCCGCGTCATATCAAAAGACGTTGTTTGGCGTTCAACAATAGGGGATAGAGCAACGTCGATCTGGCGCTGCTCAGTGGCTGCCGGGCTCACGATCAATTGGGCAAAAAGAATTTCCATTTTCGGTTTAACTTAATAAAGTTTGGAGTGGACTTTAAAAAATAAAAAAAATTAAAAAATATAGCCAGCTAGTTCATCAGGCACCAACAGATAACTGTTGACAGCTGGTCACACCTGATAGGTGTTTCACAAAGACTGAGATTGACTTTAAGTTGGACCTAACTATGGCAGGCTTTTCATGCCACTAGTTGCTCTCACCATTGGTCTCTCAATTATGATCTTTAGATAATATTTTTCTTTCAATAATGAACTATCAAAAAAGGTAAGTTCTGTAGATTTGTGACCACGATTTGTACGTCCCTTGAGAAACCAATGCCAGGAATGGTTAGAGGAACTAGTGGCATGAAAGGCCTGCCATAGTTCAACTTAAAGTCGGTCTTAGTCTTTGTGAAACACTCACTAGCAGTCTCTGCAAGGAGAGTCCCAAAAAGGACAATCAAACTGTTTATATAGCTTCGGCTATTAAGATAATAATCTTTAAAAAGAATAAATAACTAGACATTTCTAACACATGTAATGTAAAGAATTGAATACAAGCAGATGAATGAGAGAAACAGATCAAACAAGTTTGAGCAAAATCGGAAGAAAAAAATCAGAAATAAATTTGTGAATTTTTGGAGTTATATTAAATAAAAACACAAATTGGCAACGCTGTGACATATTTTGCACAGTCCTCTCTAATTTCCAATTTCTTATTCGCTGATGGAGGAAGTTACCATTTTCATACAGGCCTGGGTTGTGTAAAGATGTACAATAATAATAATAATAGGCATTTCTATAGCGCCATCTATCTAGACAATTCTATTCCGAGGCACATTTTATTATTACCCCTGCTTTAGCCTAGCAGCCGTTTATACAGCGCTCCAGCATTTCAAGGAATTAATTCCTGCCAGATACCCATTTACATCACCTGGGTTGAGTGTGGCAAATGTAGATCAATGTCTTGCCAAAGGACATAAGTGCCGCGGCGGGACTCGGACCGCGGACCTTGCGATCGACAGTCCGTCGACGTATCCACGACAAACGTACATGAATGATTAAACACTTTGTTTAGAGAAAATGGAGCTTTAATTAACTTCAGATCAGGGTAGACTTCTCTTTAAGACTCATGCATTTTACTCGCCGATATTTTGACATTAACTTGAATGTGGCTTGTCATAGTTGAATCTACAAAAGAGTGTAAACACTTACAATATAGATTTCTTTGGTCTCTCTATCTGTTTCGGAAGTGATTTCTATTGCACCAGTCGTCTCGTCAATGGTGAAATATTTATAGTCATCTGTTGCACCAAGACCTGTGTCGAACGCAAACGTTACAACACCATTATCACCCAAATCACCGTCAGTCGCCTCTGCTGTTGTAATATGTCCCGAGTAGTTCTGCAACAACAAGTTTGCAAAACGAAATTAAACAACTTTTTATACTTGAAAGCCAAAAAATGCTTTGCAGAACCATCTTTATGTTAAAATTATCTCTGGCAATTTTTTTTTTTATACTATCCAGTATTAAGGATATAACATGTTGAATATGCATGTTGAACGTTTGACTCTGTTACTGACACATGTTATGTATTCGTTCGGATATATATATATCTTGCTAAAGTGATATATATGAAAACCATCATTCCCTCACTTCAATATCAAATATCTTTCTCTCTCTTTCTCTCTCTAGGTGCAAAATCTATTGATTTCAAATAGCGTTGACTTCCAGGCTATTTTCCAGGATTTTCCCAGATTACAATTACGCAAATGTTAATTGAATAGTGTATCCATCTTCAGAGGTGAATTTTTTAGTGATGCTGTCCTTCTTAGTTCTGTAGAAACAAATCTGTACTTAAGAGCGTTTAATAGGCCATGCAACACCATGTATTACGGTGCGCATTCACCGCTTAAGTCTGCTAGAGTCCGCTAGAATCTGTTTCTGTGCTTCTTTATAAATTATATTAGCGGATACAGTATCATGTTCTCATGTAGGTACATGCTGCTAACATGTATATTGAGCTGTTCTACAACTTTCTGTCTTTAGTCTTCGCCGTCAGTTTCTCCAATCCCCTGATTGGAAATCGACTCTTCTCTTTTCAAATTATTCTTTATCACATATTATTTAGTCAATATGTTACAGGAATAACAGCGCGGTTGCTTTTTTCACCTCTATAAACAGTCTCTTGTGTGCCACACATGCAATTTTTGCACAAAACAATAGGCATCAATTGACAGAAGGATTGCTATGTGCAACGCAACGTTATAGATTACTCTTGCACTGGAAACAGTTAAATACTACGCTGTTGGTATATATCTAGCCCATGACAAATACAATTGTGGCACAGGGAGATTATTTCTGTGGCATACGAGGAGATAATCATTTATTACCTCATCCACATAGACTGTAGCTCCCTGTTTAGGCTGTACGAATACAGGTGCTTCATCGTTGTAGTCTGTGACAATCACCGAGAAGTTCCTGGGATCAGTCATCAGAGGGGGATCCCCAAGATCAGAGGCCACAACAACTAGGACATAGACACCAGGTATGAGGGCATCTGTGGAGGTGGTGTTGAGAATCACCACACCTGTCACGTAATCCATCTTGAAGAATCCTGATTGGAGTAAAACAAATGGTCACAAAATTGAAGGTATGTCAAGTATAATATCCTGCTTAAAAAAATTATTTGTTTTTGATTGGTTGAGAGCTCTTTAGGTAATCAGAAATATTTCATCCATTTTAAGGTTGCTCTGAAAAAGTAACATTTGCGATTACTGTTTGGGAGTTGAAAATTCAGGGAGCGTACAGGATTTCAATTGCCTCCAGCGGGTAATTCCCCCAGTGGCACGCTATGCTGAGCCGCAGTCTAATTATTAAACAGTGCTGCACTACTGCAGTACCTGTATAGCGCCAAAGTAGACCAGATGAAACATTGAAGGACATATTATGTTTGAAACATTGTTTGTTAAATGATTGAGACACTGTTGAATATGTTAATTGTTGACATTACAACTTGTTTGATTTAGAGTTAGATGCAGATTAACCAGGAATTTGGATTAATTGGAAACTGTTGGAAACCTTAAAACAGGAGCAAATATAAAGGTGATTTATTCTGCTTAATTATAATTTGTTGATGAAGGGTATAAAACAAATATACCCTGTCTTCTTTTAGAGGTACTGGTTAAAGATACTATGTCCCTTTTGCAGCCAACATCAAAGTCTGTAGAACTTTGCAGGAATCATGAATATGTCATGTATGTCCTGTGAAATTTAAACGTTAGCAGTGTCCTAATATTCAAATTATGCAAGGAAACCTGTTTACTTGCTAGACTTCACTGTCAGACACTATTGAGTGACCGAGTGGCTTTTTTTTTCCTTCTTTGGTAATAATCATAAAATGAGCTGTAAATGGAACATGAGCATTTGTCTACCCCAAAAACCCACTTCTTGTAATGGCCAGAATTAAACTGATTGAATCTTTGCACATCATAAAACATACAACCATTCGGTACAATGGTCTGAAAATCAGACTATTACTTACTGGCTCTATAGCTCTTAAGTCAATTTGACAACTAATACTCGTCATTTTCCCACTTAAAGACATTTTAAGACCCCCCTTTTTTTAAGGGAAGTTCTAAATCAGTGTTATTTTTCAAAAGCTGTTGGAATTTAACTTTTTCATTTGTTGGCCTGCAAATGGGACTTAGTACCTTTAAAGCTATGGGCCTCAGTGACTCCAAAAGTACTATTGGAGTCACCTCTTGCCCATAGTTTTAACCAAAACTTCTCAAGACAGTGTATATTTATATACTATTGAAGAATGATAGACTGTAAAACAGAAACTTTCACATTAATTTAATGTTGACGTATTTCTGGAGTGGTTCAGACTTGTGAAAGTTATGATGATAATATCAATACAAGGATTTTATTTAACAAGAATTTATAAAAAGAGTATATAGTAAGCAACATCAGACAAAACATAAGAAATTGACAATAAATATATAAATAAATATATACGAATAAATAAAAAACAAAGATACAAACAAACAAAGAGATTACCAGTATGGAAAAATCAAACAAAATAAACAAAGATCTGGTAACAAACCTGTTTTGGAAAGATAATATAGAAATCAATAAAATAAACAGACAAAGAGCAGGTAACAAACCCGACTGATTCTCATCTGTCATGATATATCTGACAGCTGAGTTGTTTGTTCCTGGCTCATCATCATCAACAGCAACGATGGCTGCTACACTCGATCCAGGCTCCGCAGTCTCCGAAATAGTGGTACTTTCCGGGAAGCTCTCCGTGAATTCTGGATGATTATCATTCACATCAAGAATGGTGATTGTCACCTGATTGAATTCCATAAAAAGAGAGGTATTACATATCATACATGTACCTCATACAGACTGTTAAAGGGGAAGTCCCCCCTGATACCAAGTTTATGTTTAAAGCAATGATGTATCTTGCAAACTCCCCTCCCATTACGTCACAGGGTTGCCATTACATGTTTGACTGATTGCGCCTATAAAAATTCATAACTTTCTTATTTGTAATAAGTTTTTTCTAAAACATTCACTAGACCTGTTTTTCTCATTTGTCTGCTTTTAATAAAACCAACTTATTATCAGGGTGGACCTCCCCTTTAAAGACACATAGGAGTGGGCTCTCATAGGGAATTAGACATAATTCAGTGTTATACCCAATAACAGGGTTGTCAATCACCAGGAATAGCCTACAGTTTTATGACCTACAGGCCTTACCGGTATGTAATGCTTTGCATTTTCCATCACCATTTGGAAAAGTCATTACCTTACTTTTCCCTCACCCGAAGACTTTCAGAGAGACTAGCGGGTATATATTCTGATAGGCATACAGGTTTGCTGTGTGCAGACTTGTACGCCCATTAATAGTATTTCCACCAAGACTGGTGTCAGTGAATTATGGCCTTCTGCACATGGAACCCGACGACCTTCTCCCTTAATACAGGCTCATTCAGACTTGACGTAAATAGACAACGTTTATTTTTATGTGTAAGTGAATTGCAACTGCGCGTATTCACTGAGTTCCACGTTATAAGATACAGCAGTGTGATGTGTATTACACTTTACGCTATAAAATATAATGTAGCAGTTTTGCCTTATCATCTGAAGATGGTCTTATCCTAGACTTCTAGAAAGAACAAAGTCATTTTATCAATGGCTCTGAAGACATGCAGCTATCCAATCATGTCTAAAAGTTCCTAATTTGTTTTATCTGTATATTTAACTTACAAGAAAACAGGTAATGATTTGAAAAAAGGTATTCCATACCGATGTTTATTGTTATATATTGATTTTTGCATGTAGTAAACATTTCTCTTGATACTCTCCATTCATTTTGTATATGTATTTCAAAATCGGGAGGACTATTTTGTTACTTTCTCTTTGTTCTACAATCCACGTCGAAGGCTATAATGTTGAAAAGCGAAATTATGATCACAAGTGAAAATATATCTTGTGTGCAGTCTTGACTTGAGCCATCCAGTGTTCCGCATTTGCATGTGCGCGGTTAAGACTATGCAAACAGGGGTATGCGCAATTGCATGCGGGTTAGTTGCTTAGATACAGTATGGCGCAAAAAGAAAGTCATTCGACTGGATGGTCATCATAAAATTAAAACATGACCAGGAGTGAAATAAGCTAATTACAATCCTAGCAACCAATATCATGTGATGTGCTGTGGACCAATCACAAATTTGTATCAGTAAGACCTAACTAATGTATATGTGTCTATAAGGACTACCTAAGGGAGCAAGAAAAGTGGTCTTTACTCTTTATGTTCAGGTTCCTTAAATACATGTTTCAATGAAAAACCATTTTCAAGGAAAACAAAAATGTGTTTTTTGTAGACATATGGCCTTTCTATACAGGTGCGCCGTCACCAAAGCAGATTTGACTGTACATACATGTATATCTCACCAATCATACTTCAGTCTCACCTCTAGATTATCTTGTCTGATACCGTCACTTGCAACTACAGTCAGGGTATAGAGAGCTTGCTCTTCACGATCTAACTCATTCTGGACTGTGATATCCCCCTAAAATAAACAACAAATTAATATCAAATTCATAAGTTTTCAATTTCACCATGTGGTTAGTCATGAAAAGGACTCATAATTGGGTTTGAAAGGGGATTAAAAAAGAAAGTGGGAGAGAGAGAGAGGTATTCTTTCAGTTTTGTGCTATTCAAGCTACTTGGTGTTGTATGGATAGCAGTAGAGATGTTAAGAGAGTTTAATCCTTCATGAGCTGACTCCTGAAAAGTACTGGTGAACCACGTTATGAATGCAGAGAGATCGAGCCATGACGTTCCAAAGAGATCGACTTTTCATCATATCTAACCTTCAAAGAATTTTTTTTTATTACATATGATTTGCTTCAATTTAATTGTCATGAAAAGAATAATAAAACACAAAGCATAGCATCCCCTAGCTGGGTACAAATGGCCTATAAATGGCCTACATTCTCACCAACATTACTTACATCATTGAATGAAAACATACACTGAAATCGAACTTAGGCTGTGTGTTGATACTATTACCTCCATATCGAATTGCATTAAAATCCGTCAAATATTACTAAAGTTATCAAACGGAAACCAGATTTGTTACAGACCGACGGCAGCTAGCGTTAGTACATCCCCTTCAACTTTGTCGCAAGGGGATAATAATTCATTTTTCGCTAGTATACTAGGTGCTTTTCTTAATGCTGAATGGGAGAAATTTTGCTATTATTTTTGCTTATTAGTCCACTGCAGTACGAAATCTGATAAGATACTCACGTTTTCAGGATTAATTACAAAATCCTCCAAACCGACCCCAGCACTAATGGTATATGTTAAATCCCCAAAGTCGGGGTCTGCATCAGTTGCATACACCGTCAAGACCAACGTCCCATTGGTGGTATCCTCAAGAATGCTGGCCTCATTTGGAAGTGACACATTGAACACTGGTGTGTTGTCGTTAACATCGGTGATAAAGATCTGACGTGTGACCGTAGTGTTCAGAGGCGGATCTCCCCCGTCCTTGGCACAGAAAGTGATGGTCAGAGAATCATTTAATTCCTTGTCAATGGGTTGCTTCACTGTAAGAATGCCTTTAAGTAAAAGACAATTCAAAGAATAAAATGGTTGGAATTTTCAATAGAAATTATATCAATGCAGGGTAAAACTGTTGTGCTTTAATTCAAATACTATAGGATAGTGAATCGTAATGAATTTTACATCAATCTGAAATGATTGCATAGTGAATATTCCTGTTAATGTACCACTTCACTTTGATCATTGCAAACAAATCCTCTTCATTGTCTATTTACACATTTAAATTGCCTCTCCTTCTCCAAGTGGGTCTAAAGCAGTACATACAAGCCATCCTTCTATGCGTTGAGCACTATGAAAGCTTTGCCTAAATGAGGATCTATCAATGCATTACCCATCATGTATGTGTGGATTTATTGATACTTGGTCTTGTGCAATTTTGCAAAAAGCAAAATAATAGGCACCAATTGGTGAGAGTATTGCTTTGTTCAACACATTGGCTTTGCACATGTACATGCAGATACCCGTTTCCAGTCTTGATAACTTCCAACACCTGTATACATCAATCTTGCACTGGAACTTGTAAAATAATCTATCATAAATACAATGTAGCACAGGGAGATTGTTAATGTGGCATACAAAGGGTTGAAATACAAAATTTAATTTCCGTAGGTAAATGCCAACTACTCAAAAGTGTGATAGAATAAGAGAGATAAATGAAAAGAAGTTATGTAAACAACATGCATGGTTACCAACCTGTGGTTTCACTAATAGCCACAAGGCCCCCAGCATCGTCCAGTAGCTCATAGATGACGATACCGTTATCTTCCGCATCTTCATCATCTGCTAGGATGTTGACAGAGATGACCATGCCAACCTGGTCTGTCTCTGGAGTGGTGAAGTTATCTGGGAGGTCTATAAACTCTGGAGCGTTGTCATTGACATCAAGCACAGTGATCACAAGCTCAGCTGAAAGTTAGAAACGATTTGAGTTGGAAGTCAGAAACGATTTGATGCAGTGCATATATTGGCGGTGACAGACGCTTCTAAATTTAATTTGCTTCAGGCCTATTTCTAATACTGTGTAAACAGCCCCCAAAAGCCTTTAGTTTTCCCCTCAAAAGGCAGCCAAAGTCCTGGTAAAGGGTTACCACAAATTTTGTGGTAAAATGCGTTTAAACAAAAAATTGTACTAAGCATACTGCCCTTCAATTTTCTAACCTTTACCACAAAAAAGATGAGTGTGCGTAGGACCATTGTTTTACATTTTTAAAGGCCCATAGATATTGTACATTTTATCTGTTATACAGGTAAATGTACATATATATATATATATATATATATATCCGGTATATATGTATATAATGTCAGGCATGGAACCAGAGGGGTATTAACTTGCATACTTTAACACACAGTTAACAAGTTCACACCTGGATATCCTCAACAGATGATATCTTTGATTGTGAGGTAGATGGGTAGATCTACAGATCCTGAATAACGTTTCCTGATGCATTTCTTTCTGTAACGAAACGAGCGCAGCATTTCGCAAAACTGTCAAAAGTACAAGTTCATCCCATTGAAATGCTTGGATCAAAATTAGCATGTGCTGCAATGGGATGTCAACTAATTTATACTCATGACGGTTTCATGAAACGATGCCCAGAACTTTTTCTACATGGTTTAATGATATCATACCTGAGTCAGTCTGGGTATCATTGTTTTCCTCTGCTTTCATATCATCCACAACCACTGTGACGTCAAAGCGCTGAACTGTTTCTCGATCAAGCTCCGTCCGAACAAACACATCACCTGTTTCACTATCCACTCCAAACTGATCGGAGAAGTTACCTTCTACCAGTCTGCTGTTCTCGTCATAACCTTTGACCTCTAAGATGGAGTATGTTAGGTCTGTATTGGTGTCTGGGTCTGTGGCATGAAGCGTGATGAGAACGTGGCAGTCATCAGATCCAGGTAAACTGTCACAATATGCAGCACCTGCAAAGAGAAATAACAGGTGGATAATTGGTCTTCGCACTGTTGGGAGCTGGAGGATGGGAGAGGTCTCACATGCATTCCTTAGAATTTGATTAATAATAGTTGATAGAAGGTGGATTATCCTACTATTGCCTAGATAGTAATGATACTTCCAACTGCTGTCAATATTCTACAATTGATTTAAACATGCAAGATATATGTCCTACCTTTGACTTTCTCAAATGCATCAAAGTACACAAAAATGAGTACATTAGAACGATCATTGCGATTGCATTAGGCTAATACAATCCTTATGCATTCCTATTATATGTACATGTATCATATAAGTGAAAAAGAAAGGACTAGTAGCACCATCAAGAAAGGCAACTTTATGAAATCATTACAGGTCAACCATATGCTCTTACCAGATAACAACAAGACTTTGCAATAAAGTGCCTGAGGATATGAAATTCTTTCTCAATAATCCTGCATTGTTAAAAGAGCAGTAATCTCAGAATTGCAATTGTAGTCCACCTTCTCATCAGAGAACAGTACCTCAAGTAATTTTGGTGGCATGAATATCAAATTTTACATGTAGCTGCAGATGGTATTCCTTTTCCATTGAGAGGGAAGCTTCAAATACGATGAACAAGTAAGTTTGCCTTGAATACGCAATTTGGGACCAAATTGGATTGATATAAGTTATGCTTTTGAAATCCCAAATGTAATTCTTGTACACCTTTCTTTTAAATTTTGTATTTATAGTGAAGTCGATAGGTGCACAGAGACAAAAAGCGAGGTTCATGGAAGGTTTTGACACTGGCAATGAATTTTATTTTGATGAAAATCATAAGCTGCTAGGGATCAGACTAGTTTTAAATAGATGGGAAAGTGCCGTTTCCAACCTTTAGATTAGATTCTTAGTGAATTTATGAGTTAAGTGCTTCATACGTACTCTCATTGACTGATAAAGAAGAAGGCGAGGGTGTATCAAACTCTGGAGGCTCATCGTTAACATCCATGATATTTATCATAACTGTGCAGGATCCCTGTCGTGAGGTGTCCTCCCTATCTGTAGCAGTCACAGTAAGATTGTAGGTCATCTGAATCTCGTAATCCACAGTCCCACTCAATGTAATGAGCCCCTCTTGATTCACTAAGAATGGACTGGCCTCTTCTATTGTGTACAGCACATCAAGACTGTCAACATCCATATCGACTGCTGTAATGTTGGCAACTAGGGCTGCAAATAAAGGAAATTTCAATTTCATTCCTTATTATTTCAAGTTATGCTTGTATAGAAATAAAATTCATAAATGACTCATGTTTTCGCTGTCTATCGAACCAGCAATGAAATCGATATCCGATTACCTTGCGTAAATCAACCCAAATTGAGTTTTCAAATTGGGTTAAACACATAAAAAACGATCGACATTTTATGACCAAACCCTAGCTAAATGGGTTTTGTTGATAAAATGTAGAGACATTCACAATCGTATTGTACACATGCATATTTCTTACTTCTTCAGTCAACCACGTACCAATCTTATGAACACAATAAAAAGAGAGAAACAGTTTCGCAATCACACCATATATACAATGATAATAATGTTGTTCATGGATGAATTTAAGTAAAGGAGAAATACTTGGTATCATCTGAAATGGTATTAGATTTAGTAGACGTTATTTTCATATGTAAGTTATGGTCAAAGAAGGGCAGGCGTATGAAAAGAAAGAATTACATATAAAAAGAATTAAATAAAAAATCATATTAATGAATTAAATAATTATATTGTAAATAATTTCAGAAGACTCACTTCCGAAAGCAGCATTCTCTGGAACCTCTGCATTGTACAGGGCTGCTAAGAAGATTGGATTATTGTCGTTTACATCCTACATGAGCAACAGAAAAAGACAAGGATTAAAAACAAATTCTCCCTTCTTAAACAATCCCCAGTAGCATCAACCCAATATAGTGGTTGCTAGATTCTAACATATTATGGACATTTGGTAACTGTTGTAAAAATGCCACCACAAGGATCTTGCATAGTCTACAGATAAAAATAAATATTATAATTAACTCTTGCTATGCCGATGTCCCATGTACCATATGCAAACAGACCAGGGCCCTGCTTTATAAAACTTAATTATTCACAATAACAAATGCTAAATTTCTATGACAAAATTGTTTTAAGCCAATTAGATGCAGCTATTTCAGAAGCTTATAACAGTTATTGTAACTTGTTATTGATATCAAGTTTTATGAAACGGCCCCAGTATTTTCAATCACACCTTGCTCCTCCAGAAGATAGATTTGTCATGATCAATATTTACCGTTTCAATGTTTACAGCATGAATCAAGCCTTCAAAATGGCTAATCCATACAAATTTGGGGAGAACAATGAAGAGCATGAAACATTGGGAAACATTAAATGAAGGGAAAAAACGTAAAGAACCAATAGAAAACTCCTCTTTTTATAATAATGATCATGAATGAATTTGAGTAAAGTAAGAATATTTGGTATCATCTGAAATGGTATTAAATTTCCTACAAGTTTAGTAGACATTACTTTCATAAGTTTTGGTTAAAGAAGGGCAGGCATTTGAAAAGAAAACATCATTCATGTTTGGTTAAATCTAAAAACAGACAAAATCCCTTGTTACAATAAGAATTACATTTAATGAATCAAATAATTATCAATATAACAAAAAAACAATGGTAATGCTTACCTCAATGCTTATAGTCACAAGCGTGGTGCCATTCATTGATGGTGTACCACCATCAATTGCCATAACAACCATTTCAAAGGTTGCCTCCTCTGTTTCACGATCAATGCTAGCCTTCCTGAAGATCATGCCAGTGGTTGAGTTGATGTCAAACTTTCCCTCCTCATTCCCACTTTCAATGGAGTAAGTCAACATCCTATTGATGACATTGATATCAGCATCTGTTGCCTGCAAGCGTAACACACCACATCAAAAAGTACAGTTAAACTAGAAACTTGAGCCACCTGAAGGTTTCCTAATACCGACCATTTTTGTGGCATAAAATTTGTTCACATGAAAAGTTCAGGGCAGTGATTCTAAGCACGTTTGACAAGTAAGTTTGTAGAAATAATTTGACAGCATGCACCTATTAATTGATCTGTACTGCTTGTTAAAGTTCTTGAGTAGAGCTAAAGTACTTGACAACTGCCTCACGATGATGATCCTGGAATAATTGTTTTCTAATGACAGCACTTCTGTCTAATTCTCTATCATTTTTATGGTATTTCCTAGTAAAGTTGACTACTTTTCCCTATTTCTTAATGGAAAAAATGGAAAATACATGTACACAAAAAACATATTTTCAAGCTAAGGATTTGGATTAAAAGATAGATGAAATTATAGTCAGAGTTGATAATAGTAAAATGACATAATTTTTTTGCTATTTTTTCAGTATATTTTAACCGTTTTTTTTACTATTTTACTAATGGGGACCATATGGTAGGGAATACTCCCCAGGGAGTGAAGATTGTGCATCCATTTTGTTTGCATAAATCCAATGACTGGGTTAATGAAAACATCTGTAAAGCACTTTTAGAGATGTTGCTTCATAAATTACACTATATAAATCATAAGTTATCATTTATTATTATCTAAGATGTGAGCAGTCTTGCATGACATGATCTATGAAATGTCCTTTTCCGTAATGATTGACTTACCAAAACCTGAAGAATGTTTAGACCTTCGTCCTCCTCCTCCAACATATCTACATTATACTCTGGAATGGAGACAGAGTACAGATCTAACTGGAACAGTGGAGGGTTGTCGTTCACATCGGTCACTGTAACATTCAGAAGAGCTGTAGATACTCTTTCTCCATCACTAACCACACAGGTCAGGAAGTAGACACTCAATAGCTCAGCATTGAAGTCAGCAGTGTCTGATACACTTATGTATCCAGTTGATGAATTAATATTAAACCAGCTGCAAGGGGAATAGAAATTTCATGATTATATTTGGATATTTGGATAAACATAAATAAGAAAAATTGAAAGGTAAATCTAGGAACAAGAGAGAAATTTGAAGGTTAATGAAAGAGGTGCGATGGCTCAGTGGTAGAGCGTAGTCTCGGAACCAGGAGGTCCCGAGTTAAAAACCAAGTCAATGTGCTTGTGCCCTTTGGTTAGGAATTAATCCTTGTTACCAAGTCCCTTGGAGAGGGCTTATAAAGCCGTCGACCCCCTGGTTGCTTACTTACAAGCAAACACAATAGTCATGTACAACAATCATCAAACATTGTTAATGCATTTTAAAGTAGGGGCAGAAAACTGGACAACATAAAAATCAGAACAACATTGATAAGGAAACAGAAGTCTAAAGGAAAACAAAAGAATCATTGACTGTCTCTAATTCAATGAATACCAGAAAAATTATAACTCACTCATTGTTGTAGCCTAGAAGTTCAAAGGTCAATTCTGCACCAACGTCCGCATCTGTAGCCTGAAAAACATATAAAAAAATGGACAAGAGATAATTGACTATTTGAGAAGAAGAAAAAAAAATGCTCACATCATATTCACAAATTGCCCTATAATACTTTGAATGTAATTGAGTGTTCCCTAGAGGCATTAATCCAACATTACCATCTTGAGAGAAGTGCCCAGCTTGCAGAGGACAAACTATGAAATGACATCCATGCTGTGTATCTTGGATCTAATTAAGTTTGTATCCGTATTCAAATATCAGCTTGAAACATTAAAGGTAATGTAAAGTTTTGATATGGGGTCATGACTTGGTTCAAATGAACATATTGGAATCATATGCGATCCTACAATATTCAGTGATCGTTGTCGCGGTTGGAATCGAGTCTAAAGTTATGAAATTGTAAATAATAAACTCTTTAGGTTGTATAGCTCCCTCTCAAGGTCAATATATTAATTAAGCTATAAAACAATGTTTCTTGACTAAAATTGACCAATTTCGCTATTCCCGTTTGGAAATTATTTATCACAACTACATATTCTGAGATTTTCATAGTCACAGCTACCATTGGACGGCCGTAGGCGCTACTTGAAATTTATCAAAATTTACCAGGAGCACCGGTAAATTTTTATATTCAATTTTTCTCGAAAGCAAAAGTGTTTTATGGGCTAAATTTTCTAGTGCTTTTAATATATCCACAGGGGCATCCAAATATATCAAAATTGTAAAGAATCACTATCCACCCAATTTTAAAATTTCCCAATACTTTGTAATACCTTTAATCTGTAAAAATGTATTTCAATTTACCAAAGGTGCCCTCGAAATAGAGTTAAAAGAAATTTAGTGTGCAGAGTAGTTGATGCACTCTTCTTGCCTTGAAGATACTGCACAAAGCGCCTCAGAGTGGCTATGTTCAGACCATCATGCAGTCATTGCCTGCATTGCTTGAGTTCAGGTGTTCTTTAGAGCTGGCTTGGAGGAAGTACGTTCCACTTTAATAATAGTGCGCTTTTGCAAACAGGACGGTGGCGCGAGCAAAAAAACAATCTGCGCATGTGCAGACCAGATTTTTCTCCAGCCTGTTGATTTTCATGACCATATACGCGGCCATTATAGCATTTGTTCCCTAAACACGACGGAAGAGCTGTTTCCCTGTAACTCTCCTGTAGTCTTTACTTCTGTCAACTTTGCGAAAGCGCTCTACTCGTTCGAGGGTACATGAAGCATTTGACATTCTCACCTCCAGCTGTTGAACAGGGGTGTTCTCGACGGAGTTCTCTGGCAACGACACATCATACTGACTCTGGCTGAACACTGGAGTGTTATCATTGATGTTTGTCAGGTACACTGTGGCAGTGACTACGCTGAAGTTACCCCCTTGAGCATCTGAAGCTTTTATCTGCAAGCAAATGTACATTGATAACAGAAAACAGAGTGTAACCGTATAGCCCTGTTCCCTTATGAGAGGGTAAACTGCTTTTTAAAAGGCCACTGATGAGATAAGCACGGCGAGAGGTCACATACTTAGATGAATAGTATTAGTAGTAGAGAGAGAGAGGCCTTTGCTGTCAGCAGCTATTCACCGGGTAAATTAAATGGGTACCCAATATTAGAAATCTGGGACCTATTTCACAAAGCATTTTTTCAATGACAAATGACAAAAATCAGTGACAATTCTGTTGATAACCAATCAGGATCAAGTATTTCAGTAGCTTATAACAACAACTGTCATTTGTCACTGATGACAAGTTTTGTGAAACGCCCCCCTGTATAATGCTTGAGAGCCTTATCATGGTGGCTAAGCTGACATGCTGGGGGAATAATAATAAACGTTTCATCAATCATAGTAGAGCATATTTATTAACACTAAAGTTGCTTTTTTCACACAGTTGCTTGTTTACCACCCATGCGATTTCGCACATAATTTTCTCCTATTTGACAGAAGGAATGCTTTGTGCAATGCAAGAGTCTTACAAAATTACCCCATTGAGGTCTAAATAAGCATCATGACAAGCCTTTTAACACTGGTGTAGATAATATTGCACTGGAAACAGTTACCGGTAGATGATCTTGAAGCCTTTGGTATTTTCCCCCCATGATTTCCAATATGGCACATGCAGGGAGATTGTCTGTGTGGCATATAAAGAGTTAATAAATCACAGACTGCAAAAATTAACCCACCTGGAAAGTAACTTCAGAAATCCTTTCAAAGTCCAAGGCAGATGAGTTATCGACCCTAACATCCACTACCCCGCTGTTGAAAATGGTCTCTGATACAAGATAGAAGATACCTTCATCATCTTCAAGAGAGAGGATGATTCGCCCTGCTTCACCCTGTAAATGAAGTATTGAAACACTTACAATCAAATATTTTACATGTAAATTATAATAATAATAATGATAATATTAATAATAATAATATCAATGATACTAATATTAATAACAACAATAATAATAATAATAAAAATTATAATACTGATAATAATAATAATTTTAATAATAATTTTAATGATAATAATAATGATAATAAACCACATTTATGTCTCTATGAGCTATAATGGAGAGAAGGAAAGAAGAGAATAGAGAAAAGTGAGAATTGCTCAGCATTCTTCTGTAAGTCATCAGTTAACAAAGGAAATTGATTTTAAAAAGAATTTTTTTTTAAGACGAGTTTTTAAGCTTTCAACAGTATCACAATTTTCAATGTATTCTGGCAATTTATTCCAAAGCTCTGCTGTTGCAACCTTGAAAAAAACTTGACCACTAGATGTCTATATACTGGTATTTAAAGGGACAGTTACTAAGGAGGGACGTTTGGGAGGACGTCAGGTTTCTATTTTGTATGTTTTGGGTAAGTAGTTCAGTCAAATATTTAGGATCCAATCATTTCAACCATTTGAAAAAAGTATCCAAAGCTTTACTATAAATGTTAGGCCATTTAACTAAAATCCTGCTGGCTTAGTGGATAATATGTTACAGATCTAATCAAACCCTTTGTTTTAATAAGAAGTAAAGTGTGGTCCACTTTATCTATTACATGATAATGATGAAAATAATAATAATAATAACATTAACTGTCAATAAAAATTATAATAATATTTATGATTAATAACAATAATTTATAAAAATATAAAGTATTGTAATAATAATAATAAAAATAACAGCGAAAATAACAATAATAATACAATACATTATTGACACCCGTCCTGTACAACTCATGGTCCTAACACATGTATATTATTTCATAAGGGGACTAGGTCTTGAAAAAACCACCTTGGTCTTTTACGGTACCCTTGATCCAATGTTCAATGATTTGAATCTGTTCTGTATTTCTGATTTAAATGTGTATATGCTTTTATTGGAATTTAATCAAATCAAATCAAATAATACTAATAATAATCTTTTAAAGTCCACTCCAAATTTTATTAAGTTAAACCGAAAATTGAAATTCTTTTTGCCCAATCGATTGTGAGCCCGGCAGCCACTGAGCAGCGCCAGATCGACGTTGCTCTATCCCTTATTGTTGAACGCCAAACAAGGTAGTAGCAACTCCCGTCTTTTAACGTCTTTTGGTATGACGCGGCCAGCGTTTGAACCAACGACCTCATGGCTGTGAGGCGGACGCTCTACTGACTGAGCCAACACACCGGTTCGAATTATAACCAGGATAAACAGAAAGACTTACGGAATCAAGATCAAAAGCCTCCAGACTGAAATCCAGTTGGGTTCCGCGAGGGGAGTGTTCAGGAATGGTAGCGTTGACCACTCCTTTTGGTGTAAATGTGGGAGGGTTATCATCCACATCTGACAGACGGATGTAGATTGAGGTATTTGTATTAATCTGCTCCATAGGCTGATCGTCATCATCTTCTTCAATAGCCTGCATTATAGAAATGTAGTTTGGAGGTATGAGAATTCATGCAAGGGATTTCAAATTGAAGATAATATTCAACGAATATTCCAACCTTAGAAGCGAATTGATCAGAACGAAAGCAGAAAAATTACAGAAGCAGATTGTTGAAAGTCTTAACAACAAATCCAACAAACAAAAAGAAAAAAGTCATGACGTTTTGAAGTTTAGATTAGGGAACTTCAAATAGGCTGAACTAATAATGTGACTGCGAGGTTAAGGCGGACAGCTATCTCCTTTGTTCCAACAACAAATATTACTGAAATTTCATTGTTTTTCTTCAAAATATCTATTTAAGAATGTATTTATGCTTTCATACAATTGAACTCATTAAACTAAACAACAAAGAAATACAAAAAGAAGAAGTCATTTTAAGACGACATTATACAAACAACATGTAAAACTACAGTTAACATGTAATAGCAATTTAATAGCAATATTAAAGGTAATTAAAGTTTTGGTATGGGGTCATGAATTTGGTTCAAATTAACATAATCGAAGCATATGCAATTTTGCAATATTCAATGATCTTTGACGCAGTTGAAATCGAGTCTAAAGTGATGAAATTGTAAATAATAAACTCTTTATGTTGCATAGCTCCCTCTCAAGATTGATATTACCTTAGCTTTGAAAACAATGTTTCTTGACTACAATCGACCGATTTGCTATTCCCGATTGGAAATTATATGTCAGAACTGCATATTCTGAGATTTTCATGGTCGCAGCTACCATTGAACAGCCTTAGGCGCTACTTGAAATATTTGAAATTTACAGAGACCACCAGTAATTTTTTTTTTAATTTTAGGGGGGTGGCTTGGGGGCTCAAGCTCCCAGACCCTCTAATCATTTTTTATCTTAATATATTTAAGCAAGACACATGAAGCAAAGTATTGCAAGAACCCTAGCTACCCCCTCCCAATTCAATAGAAAATTATTCTTCTAGATCCGTGCCTATCATCCAAAGAAGTTGGAAGAGAAGTTCAAATGTTTGCTTTCCAAGAGAAGCCCTGGTAGATGCATGTAAAATTCTTTTGAATGCTTTGACTATACTGCACACCAAACAAAAAATAGGGTTATGATGTAGAATTAATGTCATTCTACAACTTTAATAGTTATATTCATCTCCTATATTTTTATTACCTGCACGATCAGGGTATAAAGCTGAGTGATCGGATCCGTATCACGATCTAGGGCCTTCTCAACCTTAATATCTCCATTTGTAATATGCACAGAGAAAGTGCCATCAGCTGAAAATGGATTAGTACTTACAGCGGTTAGGGAATACATTATTATAGAAAGTGACAAGCATCAAGACTCGTTAGGTGTGCAATCACAAATTCACATAATAAAAGCAAAGCTGTCACAAGAATCTGGTGGTATAGTCACTTCATATTCAAAGTGGTATTGCATGATCGTTCTATCTATCTATCTAAGTATCTTCTCCCGGTTCGGAGGTTGATTGCAACATCTCTCCATTTCACTCTATCTTCTGCCATTCTGGTGCACTCTTGCAGTTTTAGTCCACGCCAGTTCTTGACATTCTCTTCCCAGTTGATTCTGGGTCTCCCTCTAGGTCTACTGTATTTCACTCTCCCTTCCAATACATCCTTTAAGAGGCTTTGGTGCCTTTTAACATGACCAAAGTATTTGATCCTTAGTGGAGTCGAAAATGACCCCCTATTTGCAAAATTTCAAGAATATATTTTTCTAAAATTTTTGCCTCATTACACTAGCAGGTTCAAAATGTGATTAAGTATAACCCTATTTTTGCTTATCAAGTGATAATTCACTAAAAGTACCAATTTTCATGAAATTTGTCTGAATGACATGACCTTTATTGTGAAATTTCTTGCTCTTTGAAATAAAATAAAACTTGTGCATATTCCTGAAAATTACCCCTATTATCGTGTAATACACAAAGTGAATAAAATTATAAAATGACAACACCACAGGCAACGAAATAACTGACTTATAGCTATATTAGTGTTGGATGTCTCCATACATGTTTTCTTTTCTTTTAATCTGAAAAAAATTGCATAAGTTATCCATCAGAAATAAGATATGTTAAAGAACCAAACGAGCCACACAACAATAGAACACTCATATTCATAGCAAATTCATGATTATATATTAAGCAAAAGGAACGACAGGCAAAACACAAAATGGGTACTCTTGCATCAAAAAATTTGGGGTTAGGGTTGCAATTGTGATTAGGTAAGGTGTAGGGTTAGGGTCAGGAATTTGAATTTGAATTTGATTCGGTTTATTGAAATAAAAGAACATGCAGCTGGTAAGCTCAAATGTAGGCCTATAGTGTTGGGTCCAGGGTTAAAGTTAAGAATTTGGTCAGTACTGCAAAGAAATTGTTGCAGGAGTGCGAGTTATTTGTACAACCATTTTCAATTAACCTCACCGCTCAAAACAATCATGGATGTGTCCCGTTCACATGGCTTTTCATGCACAATGTCCACCATCTCCACTCCCTGGGGAGTTTTCCTACCATATGGTCATTGTGAGAGCATCCTACCAGGTCTGCATTTCTCCCCTGGGTATAGAGTGGCAAATATAGATTAATGCCTTGACAGAGGGTATTAATATTGTGTCAGGAATCGAACCCTCAACTTTTCCATTTCAAATTAAGTGCTTAAACCACACTATTACGACACCTCTACTGAGGACTCAAGTGTCTTACCATCATCAATCAACATGTATTTGATTACATTCCTGAGATTCACACCAAGATCCCCATCGTTTGCCACAACTGTCAGAACAACCTCACCCTGTAAAACCAAGCATGACCATCAAGGCAGATTAACAATTGTTACAATTTTCCAATATTTCGTAGGATAAGAGAGTTATGAGAGATATAGATACTGGGAAAGTGACAGAGGTACATGTACCATCTAATACCGTCTTACTCAACTGCAACGTCTCTTCAAAATATAGAACTAGAAATGTAATTCAAATGCGGTACTACTCATAATAATAATATATAAATATACTACTACTACAAATAATAATAATTAAAATAAATTATTACAAAAACACCAATTAATAATAAATAATAATAATAATTACAATAATACAGAATCTAAAAGATCACGACGTTTTGTGCGCTATCTGCAACACTTCGTCGGGTGATAACAACTAATGTAAGCAAGGGCCTTTTATACTTTACGGGGGGACTGGGGGAGCGGTCTATAATTCGATCGATAATTGGAACAATATACACACAATGCCTATTGGTCGACGCACACAGTGATCGACCAATCACCAGGCCGCTGGTTCGGCTAATGCAACAGGCCTATTGGCCGACGCATACTGTGCTCAACCAATCAACGGGCCGCTGGCTCGGCCCGTCTGCTGAATGGAATCGACCGTTGTTGACCGGCAGGATGGTGAGTGTCATGGCGGCATATCGTCCGCATCCAAAATTCGGGGATATCGATCCGTTGTCTCTGTTGAAATTATTAGGATTGAGACGGATATTGATAGCTTCTTTTACCCTCTGTGTATACCAATGCCATTCCTGGGAAAGGCACTGAACCCCGTCCCAGTCTGGTTGATGCTGGTTATCCCAAGCATATGTTCGGCTACGGCTGAGTTGTCAGTTCGGCGGAGCCTGACGTCCCTCTTATGCTCAGTGATTCTTTTATCGAACGGGCAGTTTCACCGATGTAGGATATCACATCCTTTACAAGGGATGTTGTACACAATGCCGTCCCGTCTATGTGGAGGAATTGGATCCTTGGGGCGTGTAAGTTGTTGACGTAGGGTGGTATCTGATCTGAAAACCATTCGAATGCCATGGCTCTCTAGGCGGCGCTTGAGTTGTTGGGAGACCCCATCAATGTACGGCAAGACTGTAAATGTCTTGTATACCTTCTGATCCCTGGGTTCCGACGATCTATTCTTGGTATTGTGTATAAAACGGCGTGGGTAACCATTGAGACTCAGGGCACTGTGAACACGGGTCCGTTCTTTGCATGGCTGTTGTGGACTTGTCACAATGCGTGAAGCTCTGTCAAAAAGACATTTCACTAGACCTCTCTTCACCGATATGGGATGGTGAGAGTCAAACGCTATGTACTGGTCTGTGTGGGTAGGCTTCCTATAGACTGAGGTGGAGAGCCTATGGTTGTCGTGTCTATGAATGCTATCTTTCCTTCACACTCTATCTCTGATGTGAACTGGATGGTTGGTTCAAGGCTATTCATGTGTTTGAGCAGCTTATCTGTTTCAGAGATGGGAACTATGATGAAGGTGTCATCAACGTATCTCTTCCAAACACGAGGCATGCAAGAGAGGGGTGTGTCCAACGCTTCTTCTTCGAAACTCTCCATGTAGGTTGGCCACGACAGCTGAGACTGGACTGCCCATGGCTGCCCCTTCTGTCTGTTCATAGTATGAACCTTTATACAGAAAATATGTGGATCGTAGAACAAACTCAAGGAGTTGAGTGAGTTGTTCAGGTGAGAGTGCGGTACGGGTAGACAAATTGCTGTCTGATTGTAAGCGTTGCAATGTAGCATTGCATGCGCCCTCAATCGGTACATTGGTGAAGAGTGAAACTACGTCAAACGAAACCATGCGTTCTTGAGTACCGATGGTTTGCTCTGCTATGAACTCTGCAAAACCACTCTAATTGGGAATCGTATATTCAGTCAAACCGGTGAGCGGAGAATGAATTTCAGCTAGGCCCGTTTTCAGCCAGCGGCCCGTTGATTGGTTGAGCACCGTATGCGTCGGCCAATAGGCCTGGTGCATTAGCCGAACCAGCGGCCGAACCAGCGGCCTGGTGATTGGTTGATCACCGTGTGCGTCGACCAATAGGCATTGTGCGTTATTGTTCCAATTATCGATCGAATCATAGACCGCTCCGCCGGTCCTCCCGTAAAGTATAAAAGACCCTTGCTTACTTTAGTTGTTATCACCTGGCGAAGTGTTGCAGATAGCGCACGAAACGTCGTGATCTTTTAGATTCCTTATTGACCACATTGCGAGACAAAAGAATATCACTAGTGATATTTTTTTTGATACTACATCGCAATGAGTAATATATTTAGCAACAATAATAATGATGATAATAATGATAGTAATAATATTATTATCACAAGATACGTTATAGCCACCATGTCCACTTCAAATCAAATGCTGAAGGCATATGATGTGAAACTAGAATAAATGTGAAACTATAACTGTAACATTATATCTTTGCCATATCCATTCTTATTACCATGTAGCAACATATTTAACAGGTGATTGGTACATTTGAAATTTTACTCACCACTGCAGTATCTTCTGGGATGCTTTTATCATAAGGCTGACCAATGAAGACCGGCGGTTGGTTCTGAGCATCTCTGATAGAGATCACTACTTTAGTTGTATCATTTCGACCTTCATCATCCTGTCGGTAATATGCAAATTTGAGAAAACACACATTTAAAATATGATTAACAATTCTCCTTACCACATATAGCTGAAAACATGCAAACGTAGTGTTTCAGTGATCGATGTGAATTCATTTTATTAAGTCGATCAAGTAGATTGATTATATTTATGTTTAGCGCCATCTGGAGGCTACTAAATTCGTGTAAAGAAATGGCACCCTTTTTGATTTCCAGTGGATGAAATCCGTTGATATTGGAGGCATCCTTGTGTAGTATGGAAGTTTGATGCACTTTAAGAAGGCAGAATGAAGGTATGTAATGATGCAATGTGATGAATGTTGTATATAAATGCTGTAATGATGCGATATTCTATGATTAAGTACCTTTCATTCGCACCTAACTCGTTGTGTACATTACATGGATGTAACTTACATTGCACAGTAGCCGAGACGGTCGGCTCACATACCGAATGTTATTGTTATGTAATGTACACTACGGCATGCGAATGAAAGGTACACGTATGCAAGAATGTAAACAAAGATTTGCCTAGTTTGAGTCAATGTACTAAGATGAGTACTTAGGGTGCATAATATGAGAAAGTAGTTATATGATTTATACAAGTTTATATTGATAATTAATAGATGGTTTAGTTATAAAGATACATGCAGTACAAGTTAATGTGTGAGATAAGGAAAAGAGCTAAAACAAAGGTTAAAACAAGGGGTTAATTAGCTGTAAGGTGGATATTATTGATACGAGTCACCAGGTTTTCTCTAAGCATAATATGTATTCATGAACAGTTGATTTATGATCCGTTCGATCTATTTTCATTTGTGCAGTTTTTACGGAGCATTTGGAGCAACGAGAGTATTGGAAAATAAAGAAACGACCAATTAAAAAATCAAAGATGCTTCCGCTACAGTAAAAACTTCATTTACGTCTAGACGTCTCCACAACAACTGAAAGAGAGCTATCACATCATGGCTGACACTGAAGGTGAAAGTAGACCCCATCGTGAACCCAAGCCCACAGAGAAAGGACTACAATGGCAAGTGGAAATTAAATCCAAAGAGTATGACAGCTGCATTAAGTCCTGGAATAGAACCGCAAACAAGTTGCGAGTTTTACTTGGTGATGAAAGCGAAGCGTCGACAGTACAGGAGACCAGAGATGCTCTACAAAGTACTGTAGACAAACTGATAAACACCCAAGAAGAGTTGGCTACACTTAGAGCAACTGCGAAAATTGAAGACAACAGTGATGACAAGCTAGATGAGGTCGAAACAGCACACAACAACATCATGAAACAGACTCTTGATGTATTGATAGCCCTTAGACCCTCATCTCGAACTTCATCTAAGAAGTCGAAGAAGTCTCATCCTGTTGAACCGCAGGAGCTACAGGATTGCCAGGACTGGGTGAACGACATCCAGATAAACGACATCCATGAAGAAGTTGAAGCAGTAAGTCAAGTTAGTCAACCCAAGTTAGACAGTGTGCAGAACGTTCAAGCTGAGACGATGAGATTTCTGGTTGAACAGATGAGGATGACGAGGCTTCCTTTACCAGAACCAGCAATCTTTGCAGGAGATCCATTGACTTACCCAGCATGGAAGCATGCATTTGATGTTCTCATTGAACAAAGCGGTATACAGCCTATGGATCGTTTCTTCTACTTGCAGAAGTATCTCAAAGACCAGCCCTTGGAACTTGTGAGAGGATATGCACTCATTGGAGATGAGAGAGCTTATCTAGAAGCACTGGCAGCTCTTAAGCAGAGGTATGGAGACTCTTTCATTATAGCAAATGCTTTCAGAGACAAGCTAGACAGATGGCCTAAGATTTCTTCGAAAGATGCACTTGGTCTAAGAAAGCTAGCTGATTTTCTCCACCAATGTGTCACTGCAATGGATAGGATTGGAAATCTACACCACCTAAACGATGAGAGGGAGAATCAGAAGCTCTTAGCCAAATTGCCAGACTGGCTTGTGATGAGATGGTCACGTAAGGTCATCGGATGGACAGAGATGAAAGGTCAGTTTCCTCCCTTTCAAGTATTTGTGAGGTTCATAGATGAAGAGGCTAAGATAGCATGTTATCCAATCACATCTCTACACCACCTGAAGCCTGTACCAGATGTTAGAACTCTCAATACCAATGTTACATCTTCCAATTCAGACAACAAGAGACAGAGGGAGAGGAGAAATATTCAACGCTCCTGCTACCTGTGTAAGAAGGATCACCTCCTAGAAGAATGCAGTGAATTTGCAGCAAAGGACATGACAGATCGTAAAAGGTACATAAGAGAGAAGGGTCTATGCTATGGATGCTTGAAGGCAGGCCACATGTCCATGCATTGTAGATGGAGAAGTACCTGTATCATTTGTCAAGGGAGACATCCATCTTGTCTCCATGAAGATAGGAAGAAACCAGAACCAAAGACGGAGACAAATGTAGAAGACAGACCCATGGAAACTCAGACGTCATGGTCTCATGCTTCATTTAGTCAGCAACCTACCGGTACTAGTAGATTGACCACCATGAAGAGCACGATGATAGTTCCTGTTTGGTTATCTCATCCTACCATATCAGATGAACGAATGGTGTATGCATTAATAGACACCCAATCTGACACCACTTTCATGTTAGAGAAAACCAAGGATGAGATGAATCTGCAGGGAGTTCCTGTCAGTCTCCTTCTTTCAACGATGTCTGCTATGGATGAAAGAGTACCAAGTGAACGCATAGAGGGTCTGACCATCCGATCATTTGATGGAGAACAACGGTTCGCTCTCCCGACAACCTACACCAGACGGTTTATACCAGCAAACCATGATCATATACCCACTCCAGAGATGGCAATGAGAATCCCTCACTTATCCAAGATTTCACATCATCTCATGCCCCTGCAAAGTTGTGAAGTTGGTTTATTGATTGGATATGACTGTGCAAGGGCACTCATACAAAGAGATGTCATCCCTCCTGCTGATGATAATGGTCCGTATGGTCTAAGGACGGACCTTGGATGGAGCATCCTGGGTAATGTGAAGGAAGATGAACACAAGTATGCTTATGAGGATGATCCCGTCGGTGTAAGTCATCAATTGACAGCCTGTGAGATTGCTGCTGAGCTAAGGACAGAAAACAAGGATGTGTTGTTCGCTCATAACACATCAGTAGAGGAGGAGATCACCCCTGCAAGAGTGACGAGATTGATGGAAGCTGATTTCCTTGATAGAAAGGATGAAGGAGCAGCACAAGCTGTCAATTCAAGAGAGGTACTGAAGACTGTTCCAGAGGAAGACAGGGTAAAGAATGTCAGAGAGATTAACCTGCATCATGATGATTTACCTCTAGAGCGAGCTCTTGGTGTACAAGGGTGTGTCAAATCCGATGCATTCAACTTCAGAATCACACTTCAGGACAAGCCCCTAACCAGGCGAGGGATACTTTCCACAGTCATGTCTATTTATGACCCCTTAGGACTGTTGGCACCAGTTATGCTTATAGGGAAGCAGATTCTCCAGACATTGTGTAAGCTGACAGCAGACTGGGATGATCTGCTTCCAGATGTTCTGCGAGAAAGATGGAAGAAATGGAGAATAGACATACTGGAACTTCAATCACTCTCTATCCCTAGATGTTACAAGCCTGCTGAATTCGAGGCCGTGAAGTCGGTACAGTATCATCACTTCGCAGATGCAAGTACAACAGGGTATGGTCAATGTACTTACATGAGATTAACTGACGCCGCTAATAGAGTACATTGTAAAGACAGGCGTGATAAGAAAGCAAGTGACTACCCAACAACCAAAGGGGGTGTTACTGTGCAGGATCTTCATCTAGCACAGATTGAAATTCTAAAGCACGATCAGAAGAAAGCCTCTGAAGATGAAATTCAGATCCTGAAATCTATCCAGAAGAACCAGAGTCTGCTTGAAAGAAAGAAAAGGCGTCAAATCAAGAAAGATAGTCATCTAGAGCTTGACTACGATTCATTCATTCAAGCACTTCGTCGTTTCACAGCTCTTCAAGCCAAGAGTGCAGCATCTCATAAAGTTCTGGGGTTCAGGAATCGGTGGAAGAAGGAATGTCTTCAAAACCTGCAAGTCCGACGGAAGTGGACTCACCCACAACCTGAAGCTGAAGTCGGCGACATTGTCATTGTGAAGGACGTGAAAGCACCCAGAAACCAGTGGCCACTAGCACGTGTCATCAGAGTCTTTTCATCTGAAGATGGACATATTCGCAAAGTGGAACTTGCTGTGAGGGACTCCAGAGTAGGTAATAGTGGTAAGCGTAAGAACCCTCTTCAAGAATCGGAGCGTCCTATCCACAAACTGGTGCTTCTGTTACCGCGTGAAGACCAAGAGGAATTCCCGGCCAAGGAACCCGACATTTGATAATTTCGCGGGGAATCCATTTAGTTAGGGTTAAACTTGTTATTTAAGTAAGACCTTAAGATTTCTAGTCAAGACTGGAATTATTGAAACAACAGGTCTGTGGATAAGACTAATTAATTTACATTATCCCCAGAAACGTTTATTTGAAACGGTCTAGAACGAAGGCTGTTTGCTTCTTCAGGGTCTGCACGTGAGACTATACAAATTCATTTATTACAGACTCTGCTGCCTGAATTGAGACTAATTGAACTGTGAAAATTGCAATTGGACAAATTTTCCATAAAGACATAAAACTTTCATTGTAAACTGCAATGCATTTAAATGTATGCATGTGTTGTTATGCATTTGTCTAATAACCATTTATTTCTTCACAGGTCAGTTCTAGTAATCTCTGAATCGATTTATCATGCTAATCCACTGAAATGTCCATGTTTATGTGATTAAGTGGCTATCACATTCCAAAAAGGGGAATTTATTTTTTTTGGCTAAAAATGGCTAAATTCCAGATATTTGTTGGTAGTATAGTGGTTATATTGCATTTATAGCATTTTTCACCATGAAGTGATATTTATTTAAATGTGAACATTTCTACTTTGAAAACATAAGCCATGTTTTTTGTGTTTTCTCATAGCTACTAAGATTACCGGTAAATGTGAAACTAGTAAAATAACATTTCTAGATAAAGCATGAAAACAGTGTTTATCAGTAATTGCATTTGGACTCATATTGAGACGAAAATCTGTTTAAAGAATTTAAAAGTATTTTGTTAAATCCAGTAAGGTAAACAGCACAGTATAGGTTTGGTTCAAGCCAGATACATTTGTTATATAGCTGTTGAAGAAACCTTGTGTATGGACTTATTTAATACAAGCCGAGTCAGTAATGCTGATAGAACTGGTATTTCCACGTAAATGTGTTTTAAAGCTAATACTATTCAGGGAATTTTTATTTGATGGTTTGATATAGTGTGTCATGTGCCCTATGTGATTTTTGAAAATTAATCTCAAGACAGAGATATAAATATATAATATATATTTTTGTCATCGATATTGCAAAGGTTAGAAATTTTCATAAAGAGTGCTGAACTACATTCAGTAAATAGGTTAGAAGGGATCGATAGGTAATTCCTTAATAATGTCAATCGATTGTTTAGTAAATTTTAGAATAATTTAAAGGAGCCATGTTTCAGTGATCGATGTGAATTCATTTTATTAAGTCGATCAAGTAGATTGATTATATTTATGTTTAGCGCCATCTGGAGGCTACTAAATTCGTGTAAAGAAATGGCACCCTTTTTGATTTCCAGTGGATGAAATCCGTTGATATTGGAGGCATCCTTGTGTAGTATGGAAGTTTGATGCACTTTAAGAAGGCAGAATGAAGGTATGTAATGATGCAATGTGATGAATGTTGTATATAAATGCTGTAATGATGCGATATTCTATGATTAAGTACCTTTCATTCGCACCTAACTCGTTGTGTACATTACATGGATGTAACTTACATTGCACAGTAGCCGAGACGGTCGGCTCACATACCGAATGTTATTGTTATGTAATGTACACTACGGCATGCGAATGAAAGGTACACGTATGCAAGAATGTAAACAAAGATTTGCCTAGTTTGAGTCAATGTACTAAGATGAGTACTTAGGGTGCATAATATGAGAAAGTAGTTATATGATTTATACAAGTTTATATTGATAATTAATAGATGGTTTAGTTATAAAGATACATGCAGTACAAGTTAATGTGTGAGATAAGGAAAAGAGCTAAAACAAAGGTTAAAACAAGGGGTTAATTAGCTGTAAGGTGGATATTATTGATACGAGTCACCAGGTTTTCTCTAAGCATAATATGTATTCATGAACAGTTGATTTATGATCCGTTCGATCTATTTTCATTTGTGCAGTTTTTACGGAGCATTTGGAGCAACGAGAGTATTGGAAAATAAAGAAACGACCAATTAAAAAATCAAAGATGCTTCCGCTACACGTAGGCTAAGTCAGTGACGCTCTAGTTTTACTAGCGAAATCACCAGGATTTTGTGGTCACATCAACTTCCGGTCAAAACGGGCCACACAGTATTGGACTCACACTTCACTGTCAATGGGACTAAGAATGAGAAAATGTAGTTATGCCTAAATCTCTAATGATGTAAATTTACTAAAAATATAAACTTTTGGTATCTTCAAATACATGACCCTGCCGTATATTACGGGAAATTCTTAAAAATTACTGACAATATATAGCGCACAATGATAATTCCTGAGAAAAGTAGCCTCTTGTGTTGCATTGCGCAAAGTTTTTTAGAATTTCTCCTAGCGCTGGCATTTTCCAATGCTGGTATATTACTTTTAATTAATAAATATGCTCACTTTTTGCTATTGTGTTTTTCAAAATTTGTAACTATTGAGTGAGATTAAGAATTACAGATAATGAATTATTAGCATATCGTTGTATAGCAGAATACGTTTTTTTAGAATCACAGGAACTTAGTGTGTCTACAAAATCTCTGAGGTATCAGGGGTGCAATGCATTATGGGAATTTATTTTGCTATATGATGTAGCAAGAATCGAAATGAACTGTTTCTCTCCAATGGTTTGTGGAATGCCAAATGGGTACAGCTTAAGGAATGAAAATTGTTTTTGCAGTATGCCCATACAGATGTTTAATTAAGACAAACAGTTCATTGTTGTGAATATCATATGTGATTGGTGAAACAAAAAAGAGGAGACATACTGATTAAGGAAAAGATCACGTACAAGGAGGCGCGATAGCTCAGTCAGTAGAGCATTGGTCTCGTAATTCAGTGACCCAGGATTGAAACCAAGGCGATGCGCTAGTGCTCTTTGGTGAGGCATTAAAGGTAAAGACCAGTTTTGGAAATGCCCCCCCCCCCTCTCAAAAAAATGAAATGGAAGCTCTTATTACCAATCATGTAAAAAAATATATTTTTAAATTAATACGTGATGATACAGATTTTACGCCTACTAATTGATATACAGTGTGTGTTTGGTAAATTATTATATCTATTTGGACCTGATAGATATCGCGCGCGTGTCATGCTCATGTCGCGTAGTCCCATATACATCTTTCTGTGTACAGTGCTTGTAACTTTACCAAGACTGGGCCAAGTTTCTTATCATTTTGATGATTCCAGAACCTTGCAGTAACACCAATACTTAAATGCTAGATGACCGCAACCTTTTCTGATCGATTCCACAACGTTTCTTTCACAATTGCAATCGCATGACCATATAACTGGTCTTATATCTTTAATCCTCATTACCAGGTCCCTCAAAGAGGACCTAACGCCGTCAGTCTTCTGGTTGCTTACTAACAAGCATTTAATGCTTTCTTTAGCTGTCAGGTAAATTAACCATCACTATCATACTATCAAGTTCAAGTTTCAAGTTTCAGATTTGTATTTATATTGTCCATATATAATACAGAAACTGTTATTCCATTGGTGTTACATGCAATATAAACATTAGAAAAACATGGTACTGAGAGCCAGAAGGGTGTTAAAACTGTGTGAGGGTACATGATTGAATAACCTAGCTTCCTGGCTCTCAACAGACAAATACACTCTTATAATTAAAAAACAAATGACTTGATGGTAGACTATATTCAACGCACCAGTATACACACTCGCATTTGGTATACTTTAAGTTCACATGGTTATGCCCAAATTAAACAAAGGTCTTTTAAAGAGATATTTGCAAATTAATTATTCACTTTTTGGCTGCATAGCGCTTTATAAGTTGTAACAGATCTGTCCTTTAATTTGTGAAATAATTGGCAAATATACTCACCATTGCTATTACGCAGACTACAAACTGCACAACTGAAGCATAATCTAATATACCATTGACAAAGATTTCACCTGATGTTTGGCCCACCCTAAAATGGTCCACTTCACAATCCTTTGGAAATAAATTTTGGAAAGAAGTTTCATATCAAATGCAAGGTATGAGCAAATGCAGAGAATTGTGAGAATGAATTGTTATTGTAATGGATTAATTCTTTAAAACTTATATATTTTGCAATCCTTTGAAAATAAATGTTGGAAAAAAATTCACATTAAATGCTTGGTATGAGAAAATTTAGAGGACTGTGAGAATGAAAAATTATTGTAATAAGTTAACTTTTAAGTGATATAGGGTAGTAATCCCTTATGTAGCTAATAATTTCAGTGGTTCTAAAAAGTTAATTTGATCACCTATATAATTACTCGGTATAACGTCCATGGGGCGATATCATATTTTCTTACTGGTTGGGTGATATAAAAAAAATTATCCACTCCTTTGTTTTCTTCCCTTCTCTACACGGTTGCTCATTTACCAAACATGCAATTTTGCACAAAACAATAGGCACCAACTGACACAAGGATTGCTCTGTGCAACACAATGGATCTGCGAAATTACATATTTACATTCTTTATTATCTCCATGACAACTCTTTTGACATTGGTATAGATCAACCTTGCACTGGAAATAGATGAATATTCATAAAATCTTTGGTATATATGTCCCATGATAAATACAATGTGCCACAGGGAGATCATTTTTGTGGCATATAAAGAGTTAAACCAAGAGATTTCTACAACATTTCTCATTGCATGCCATCCTTTAATCACTATATGGTGAAGATAGATGATGTTATGTACCTAAAAATCCCTTTCTGGAGGAATTACTCCTTTTTATTTAAATGGACTAAAACAACATCCACCACGAAAATGAGTGACAAAAATCATTAAATTTGTCCCTATTTTCACGAAGTGACGGTAGTGAGGAAAATCATAACGCATTAGAAAAGTCCAGAAAAATCAAAAATGTTGGTCATAAATACAAAGATAAGTAGAATGTCTACACCTATGAATTGTATTTCAAGGGGTAGAGGGGAGTGGCTTTTCTCAGTCTACAGATATTTGATACATGTATAAGAACAAATATCAAAGTGAACACTATATAGATCAGACTTCTTATGAAAGAAGAGGGTCATTTTTACAGGAAGACATGTGGAAATATGAAAGACATAAATGCATCACTGACAAACATTCGAAAATGATATTTGAATGTTTTTTGTGTACGATATCAATGTGAGAGTTCTCTTCGTAAGGCAGTGCAAATACATGAAACGATTACCACTTTATATATCCCCCTTATTAGTTATCTCAATTTTATTTACAAAATATCATATTTTGCCTCTTTTTCTGCTATACAAAATGAGACCTCAAGTTTTGCTATTGATCTGTTCTTTTATTGGCACACATATAGGCCATCATCCTCAAGAGCTATAGATCCATTCCATTTTTGTAGATAAGGGAAATCTTTGAGAAGCAGATCAAGCTTAACATATTAAAAATAGAAATAGACTTTATCAAAGACGAAAGTGCTTCATAACTCACCGGACCAGAAAAAAGTTCATATGATACTGTATCACCTGTATCACCATCTATGGCAGTCACATTTGTAACACTATCGCCTATCTCAGCAGCCTGAGAAAGAAATTTAGAGAATTCAAAAACATAACACAATATGAAAATACTACAACCACAACATTGAACAGACTCCATCTGGGTGAACAAGCTTTTTGCCACTTAGCAATATTCTCCATGTTTTTTTTTTAAAGATTCTTTCATCCTAAACTTAAGTATTCCTTGAATTAATTTAGACATTTAGAAATGATCTCACTTTGGCTTCTTAGGCTGGGTCCATGCACTGAAAAAGAGGCAACATCCTCTTACGATGCATGTAAATCGTACTGACAATGGTGTGAGATGCCTGTATAATTCTTTGTTATAATAGCCCCCCCCCCCCCACCCTAAGCTTCCTCCTGCAATGACACTTAGTGTTCTTCAAAAGGGCTAGCTTCGATCCAGTTTCTCCCGGCTTTTTGCAAGCATCCAGGACTTACATAATCAAACATAATAAACTAAATCATTCATTTTATTACTTAAATTAATTTTCCTATCAAATCTAAGATTCCTTTATCATTCAATTCAAAATCAATCAAAGCCAATATAAACATGTTCAATAGGCATTAAAACTGTCATTAGTGTGATTTACTAAGAAAGCAATTGTCAAAGACAAGTTCATTTTCACTTTTGATTGTACAAGTAATAATGAAACATGTACCTTCATTATAAACTACAAAGAACATATAAGTTTCCATTAATTTCCTTGCTCTTTCTCAATCTACCCCTAGTTGTATTATATAATTTCTTGACATGTCCTTTTACAACTATTTTTATTCTCCAGAGTAAGACTTCGATCTTTACTCATCTTTACCTATTCCATCTTTGATATTGTTCTTTCCACTTTTTCAACCATCTCCTCTTTATCTCCCCCCTCCCCCCCCCCCCCCCCTTCTGCTATTTTCACTTCTGTCTTCTTCTCAACTGTAACTTCTTCCCATCTTTTATTTATTCATCCTCAATCTCCAATTTTATATCATATAGGCAAGCCACAGCAGTTCACAGTGTTCTTAAATAGATCACTTCTTTCTCCTTAAATTGGCACCAATTATTCATCATTTTTCGACTAAAACATACTTGAAATAAATTTTTTAAAATGTATATGAAATGACCCAATGAATTTATTCAAATGGGAATAAAAAGTTATTATATTTAACAAAAATTATTGAATCAAACAAGAAAAATATATGATGTCAAATTTCCCACTGCTTTACTCATTGCCATTTAGAAATCGTAATAATAACATGTATTGACAATTAAATCATTTTCATTCATTCATGATAAAATGAACTGTTCATGTACAATGTGTAATTCCTAAAATTCTGGATGGAAAGATATTTTTTTAAGGACATTGAAGTGATATGTGTAACTTACCTCTGAAACCTCTGCAGAATAAGGTTCATCTTGGAATTCCGGAGAATTATCATTCTCATTTCTGATGAATAAGTCTACTGTAGTCTGAAAAGATCAAGAAACCAAGATATCTCGAAGAAACAAAGGAATCTATACAAATATCAAAATTATACAAAAATTAAATGCAATAAACTGTAATAGACCACAATTTTCTTTTTAAAGGTAGGCTTTACTACTTCAGCAAGAAGGGATTAGATGGCCCAGCGAGCCAGCGAGGTCACTGTGACAGGTGGCTATCTCATTGACTCAGCTCTCATTTAACATAAGAAAAAGAGGATCATGGGGGACCAACAGGCACCGATTGGGGAAGTTTTCTATATAGAGGGAGCAAGTAGCTACAAGTAGGACAGTGTGCCTTTAAAATGACTCATTCTATATACAATAAAGTTTTTAAAATACAAAAAATTTACATGTTTGGTGTATATTTCCAATTTCTTCTAAAAAGGGAAGTAAAATAAAACAGTGAATCTATTTAATGTGTACAAAAAAGATGTGCGTTTTCCAAAAGGTGTGCCCACCACCGTTTAAATACTGGAAGATTCTAATTTGGCACTCAGGAAAACAAAGGAGATTTCATTAATAAAAAATCTCAAATAAAGCAGAAATCCTTTTGTATGTTCATCAGACATAATAATAGCTGGCCATGAATGCGATACAGGCATACATCACGTGACCTGAAGAACATATTTCACAAGTCGACACAACAATTGGAGTTCTCTTGCGAACTATGAGAAAAATTAAAATTGAAATGGTAGCGACATACTTTTGCTAAAAACATCATAACAAAATTCTGAGTCGACTTAAAACCCTTCATACAACATGAGTACATTTACATTCACATTTATATATATATATATATATATAATCATCAATATTATGAAGCCGTACGAATCTACACCTGAAGAATATGCAAATTGATAAATATGACAGTGACCGCCTAAACTTAATTCAAAACGAAATCAATCCTCTAAAAAAATTCACTGTTGAAAATAATTAACAATGCAGTTTGCAACATTTCACTTTCGACTTAGTTGGCCCTGGCCGTATTCAGGTGTACTGCATATTCCATGATTGCATAATGATAAGAAATGGGGCCTCATTGTCAAGGGGAATAAATATGCTTTTCAATGATATCAATGCAAGTATGATAATACAGTAACAAAAGAGATATTAGATTAGAGGTTCATTGATTTTAAATATTGATTTGATTTGTATCATTGCATGAGAGAAGGTTAGATCGAACAAGTTTATCAAAATCACCTACTTGGAAACATTCAAAGATATGATTATTATCAATTTTTAAATGGTAAAATACCTCCCCAGTTTCGCACTCAAGCTCTTTGAATACTAGTTTGTGACGTGTTTTAAGAGATTGAATTTGCATAAGCAGACAATGTCCCATAACAAGCACACATTTTTAGTGCCTGTGTCATTGTAACTGTTTGATCTGTTACCTCACTAAAAATTTCAGACATGGTTCATTTTAATAAAAAAGAATAAGAAAAAAGGGGAAAAAAAAATCTGTTGTAGCTCGTACGGAAGGCACCATTGTTGATTCAGCAACGTACACCAACGTGTGCGGTATTTCGATCGGGAATGTACACATCCATTCTATTAGTCAGTAGGATTTTCAATTTAAAATTAGGCTGATTTCTGTGTGTTTCAATTGATCATTTGTCCTTGCCCTAAATTATCAGCATCAGCATCACTCTCCCTCGTAAAATGGTATGAAATAAGTTCATTTTTTAAATTAATCATACTCATAACTAAGAAATAATTACACCGAGAATATGTTCATTTAAAGGTAATACAAAGTTTTGGGAAATTTTGAATACTGGGTGGATGGTGATTCTTTACAATTTTGATATATTCGGATGACCCTGTGGATGTATTATGAGCTCTAGAAATTTTAGCCCCTAAAACACTTCTGCTTTTGAGAAAAATTGAATATAAAAATTTACCGGTGCTCCGGTAAATGTTGATGAAATTCAAAAAGCGCCTACGGCCGTACAATGGTAGCTGTGACCATGAAAATCTCAGAATATGTAGTTGTGATACATAATTTTCAAACGGGAATAGCTAATTGGTCGATTTTAGTCTAGAAACACCGTTTTATAGCTAAATTAATATCTTGACCTTGAGAGGGAGCTATACAACATTGGGAGTTTGTTATTTACAATTTTATCACTTTAAACTTGATTTCAACCGCGACAACGATCACTCAATATTGTTGGATTGCATATGCTTCCAATATGTTCATTTGAACCAAATTCATGACCCCATACCAAAACTTTGTATTACCTTTAATAGTAATATGTCATCTGCTTACACAGTTTTGGTTCCTGATGTGACATCATCAAAACATTGTTCAATTTTCTAGCAATAGGCTCGTATATCCCAGATCCTGAGAGGTGCTTTTATTTAAGTAAATTTGTATTGTCCGATACCCAGTTGACCTAAAACTTATACAATTTTCACCTGCAAGCCTTCTGCTTTCTAGTGATCAATTATTGCCCATACTTGTAATTTTCAATGAATGTCTACTTTAATGCTCAAACCTGAATTGCAGAACTTTTTGGAGTAACTTATGTACATGGTTTTTCTCACTTACCCTTACAGTATCTGCTCCCCATTCAGCTTTCATTTGATCAAATTTCTGGTACAAAAAAGAGAGTCAGCAATATCAGAAATGGAAGACTATCATCCTTCATATACACAGATCATTCTGGCAGTAAGCAATCTACCAGTACATGTATCACAGGCATCTTTATATTAAGGCGGTGATGTTCTTCCAACTTTGATCACATTTATTTTTTTTGGCAGGAAGTGTTTATTACATTGCGTCATTCTGTACATATTTGCTTTCAAATGTTATCATCTTTCGTTCATTACCTTTAATTAAACGTTATATGGTATGGTATCAAATCCCACTGCTGCCATCAGATTTAGGTAAAACAAAATTAATGCTCTGACCAAGCAAAGTGTTGATACCTAAATCATTATTTTCTGTTGTTCATAATGGATAAACAAAGGGTCAGCATTATTCCTTTCGATCTAAGTCAATTTTATCAATCATCCTTATCAAATATGTATTGAATAAAAATTGATAAAACGAGAGATGAAAGGATTACACCTGCAAAAAAGCAAAAGGCATGTACAATAGAAGGCAACTGAAGAATTTTAATCAATCGATTTCAGAGCAATTTAGAAACCATTTGGAAGAGGATACAGTTCAAATGCACATTCATACATTTTCCAGATAAGACCCTCCCTCCCATTAGAGCTTCTGTGAAGAAAAGTCTAGAAAATCCTAGTGAAATTTTGACCCTTTCCTGATCATTCCCATTTCAGCACCATTGTTCCAACATTTTTTCAATTTTCCCTTATTAACAATCATGATTATTAACGAAGGAAGTAATAATATATAATAAACAATCGTAAAGATACAACAATGAAAAACTAATATAAAGTAGAAAAGAGAAGAAGATTTGGTCATGTTTTACTATTGATAATGCAGGGCTAATATGTCACATCATTTATTTATGATAGAACATGTGATAAACAATGCATTTATTGTTGTTACCTCAAAATCCATAAGAGCTTTTACGGTGACGTTGCCAGAATTCGGATCGACCTCTAGGTAGTCAAAGGCATCAACATAACCTGATGGGATATTAGCAATTATGCGATAGATGCCGTATTGGAAAGTTTTTGATGCATCAGTAGTTTCAGTGGCCAAGAGAGTTCCAATATAATCATCTGATGGAAAAATACATAGAGGCCGTAGTATATTATTTGAGGAATCCAACTCACTCCATAACATCAATTTAGTGCATACCGTTGTTTAAAAATCAATTTCCTTTTAGAATAGTGGAAACCATTTTGTCAGAACATCTATCATTACCTGTGCAGCTTTGCCTTGCAAGTACAGTAAAAACTAGTTATTAATCAAATTCACAGTTCACTATTGTGATTTCTTGATTTTTCTCTAAGATTGTTTCAGACCATTTCTATTTTCGCCCATATATTGTCATGGAAATGGCACTTTTATTTTCCATTCTAAAAATATTTTACAGATGTATTGTTATCGTAACACTTCCAATCCTCCTGAATCATTTGTGAGAGACACCTGTTCGTTCAAAAGAAACAACTAATGGGAGCAAAAAATCAATATCATAAGAACCTCACAATAATATATGTAGCAGAACAGGATTACTCAAAATATTGAAGGTATTTTTAGAGAAATTTCAGGCAAATTATGCAAGCTTTGATATGTAACCTCAAGAAACATAAGAGCGAGGCATATTATTTTTTTCACATATTTATTAAAAATTACAAAGCTTAGTAAGGGCACCTGAATAATTTAGCTGTTAACTTTAAATATAATTTATTAGTAATTAATCACTGTGAACTTAAATATGCATACAAGTAGGAGCTACTTTATGGTAACATGTACTAAAGAATGAAAAATGGTTAAAAAAAATTGTGCTTAGAAATTAAATTTATTGATGACTCATGCTAGAGAGTATATAATTTACCACCATCACAAAGAATAAACATAAAACCCAAGGCAACTCCAATTGAGCATTAATTGTGCGTTACCTATTGAAATGTGTGAACATTACAATGACATATTACATAATCCAAAGATGATTTGTATCTAGACAATAGAATAGGTTAGCACAAATTGTCTTAAATTGATCTCTTTAAAAAATTCTGATCACGTCCTTTCAACATATGAAACCAATGTATTGATAATGCAAAAATGTGACAAAAGGAAGATTGCAACATAAATTTGTAATACGGTACCTGGTATTAAATATTCAGAAATCTCTGTATATTCCAAGTCTTCCTCCCAATTTACTGCTCCTTGACCTGTTCAAAAGAAAGACAAAAATATTATATTTACATCTGTACAAAAAAAATATTACTCCTCCTCATTGGAATAATGCTCAAACAGCAGAAGTTGTCTAATTATTTCAGGGCATTGGAATATAAAAAGATACAGTTGATTGCATCTCCTTTACTCAATGTCCTTCATACTTGATAGTAACAATAATTTTCATATTACAGAAAGCTTGTATTGTTTGCTAGATTTAACAAATTGTAGCATTTTTACAAATGATTGTAGGTCTGTTTTTTATGTCACATGAATCATCTCAATCGAATAAATGCTTATAAATATTTAGACCATACATTCCTTTCCACAATGCATTAGCAGGAACAAGGGCTACATTCAAAGGTTTAGTTCTGGGAAAGGTGAAACATACTTTGTAGGCTTTTTCATTCTTTTTGTGTTAGTGTGGAAGAATAGGAAGGAAAATGTACCCTAAAACGATTGCTTGTCAAATGCCCTGCTCATATTTGATATACAATGTAACATCTGAAGTGTTTGGACCAAACTTTCATGTCGAATGTTTGTGTAGTATCATCATTATACATGTCCATGTACAGTGAATGTGTCTTCCATCAAGTCTGAGTCTATTTAATATCAATTTGAAGATTTCAAAAACGCACAATATAAACCACTTCTGATGTGGTTCATTATTAACCTTTCCCAATAGTTTCCAAACACTTTTTGCATGCCCAGGGACCCATTTCACAAAGCCTTTTTTCAATGACAAATGACAAAAATCAGTAACAAATCTGCTGATAACCAATCAGAAGCAAGGATTTCACTAGCTTACGACAAAAACTGTCATTTGTCACTGATGACAAGTTTTGTAAAATGGGGCCCAGAACTCAACTTCTTCTTTAAAATAGCAGCCATTTTCCAAAAAAAAAATCAAATTGGGTCTTGATGTGGCATTTTCACAAATAGGCAGCTAGATGACAATTTCAGATTATAATTATTCATAAAAACACCTTAAAAAAAAGATTTTTGGTGGCTTACATAGTAGATCTCAATGAGATTTGAAGCTTTTATTAAAATTTACCTTTAAAAAAATAGATAACAATGTGATTAGCAGTCACACATGAATTTTAAGTTGATGGATTTCTACTTCTTTGTGGTATTAATTAATGTTTCATGACATGTTTATTCAGCAGAACAAGGTACTGTAATTGTACAAGAGGGTAACAAGCCTTGGACCAGCTTTGAAGTTAAGAGGACACGTTATCACTCTATTCAACAGTGCAAAAAATATCATCAGGAATATTTAGCCTACCAAATAACAACATATAACATTCATGACAGTTAAAAACGACCAGTAAGCCGAAACATGGACAGCATTTTTTTTATCTGATAAGGATATTTTTCATAAGATGTGTAATGATTGAAGTTCACCCATATTACATTTAAAATTCATATGATATGCACCTAGGCCATTAACATACCGATATAAAAGAGTTTAATTTCCTTTGTAACTCCATTGAAAAAATATATAATATGATATATAGTTAATGATTATGATGGTACATGTATATATAGTTCATACTTTGAGCTTTTACCTCCGCAACATCATATCAATAAATCTTCAAATGTTTATGCACATTCAATAAAATGCGCATCTGTTTGGCCCCTTTCTAACATGACACAGTAAATTTTTTTAAAAACCACTTTATCTTTTATCCATAAATAAATGGTACGATATGGTATTTATTGAATCACGATCACAGTTACATATATACTGCATTCCACATGGATATACATTACATTTTAAAAAGAGTGTACAATTTAAAACAGTATATTTACGTAACTCACAATGTTGAGTGCCATTGTAATTGCCGCAGGATTTTGAAGGCGGCATATATAGTGTAGATTGTGAACGAGGCATTAGAATCTTGAACTTTAGATCGAAGGTAATCAAAACCATACAAAACTCAACCAAACCCAAAAGGTAAACATTGTAAAAACATTTAAGGCAGGTGCTAAACATATAAATATATATCTTATTTGTTAATGTTTCAAATGCAGGCATCGCAAAGCAACATTTATTTGTACAGTTTGGGGGCATGCTGACTCGGAATGGAACATGGACAGTTTATTCCTGTTCATGTCATTTATTGCTATTTTGATACTCTGGACTCGAAAATGTATCCATAATATTCCCCATTTTGATCTTCATTCTATATTTCATAGCCTGTTACTATTAAAGTTACCATCATCCTCATTCTCCTTTTTTCATCATAATTATTATTATGATGCTACTTAGTGTTAGTTTTATTATTATTATTATCATTATCATTATCATTATTATTATTATAATCATTATTTCCATTACAATTATTATTATGTTTACTAAAGACATCTACTGATACATGCACATTGCACATGATTTACAGTCAACTCCATTTTCAGTCAATAATTAATCGAAAGTAAACATAAAAGAAATGGAAAGATTGACTATATGTGTGGGGTGTGTGTGTGTCTGTGTGTGCGGGTGCGTGTGTGTGTGCGTGTGTGGGTATGTGTATGTGTATGTGTATGCGTGAGTGTGTGCGATGCCAAGCTTTACATACTGATTAATGCATAGCATAAAATATGTAATGGAAAAATGATCAACCTAGCACGCTAGAGCATATAGTAAAATGTAATTACACAAACATCACAATTATCACTTCAGATTATAAATGGAGGCATGTACATTAATTCCCCAAACATTCCTCACTTTAGACCTTTGGGCTGAAAATATATCAACTTTCTAGTAGTTTGTCAATATGTTCTTTTCCCCAGATATTTCTTTCTGATAAGACCAAGAACCAAGCGATTTTTCTTACCAAGAGATACAGTAGCCGCTACAACTAAGATGGTTAAAAGGCAGGACATTTTGCCTTGATAGGATCTGTCAAGAAAGACAGAAAGAAAGAAAGGCAAACAATGATTGAAACCAGTAAGAGATAACCGATCAAAATAATCATGAATCATTCTGTTAAATGTACAAGGCATCTTTGTTCTTTGGGTATATTGGTCACTTGTTCATTTGATCTTTTCCTCAATTTGCCCCAAATTAGCATTTTTTCTGTGAGTCATAAATATTTTAGTCCTAGGGACAACATGAAAATATAGAGGATTATCACTAAATCATTTTTTTAGTGCTTTTTTATACCATGAAGCATATTTTATTTCCATTTTAACAACATTGCAAGTCATTCTAAGTCTAGAATTAAAATGAAACCAGTTTGAATAATATATTCAAAGTTATGCTACCAAATGGGTATAATATAATTTGTCTGATTTTTTTGAATGAGTCCAAATGTTCTACCCGTATTCCTTACTGTCTGGGAATTATTCATAGAATGAAATATAAACCTGTTCAGACCGTTACTCGCATTAGCAGAATAGAGAATCATGGATAGATTACTGATAGACTTTGGAACGGTCAGTCTCCACTTAGGAAAAAGTAGTTTTATATGTCAAAATTGTTGGAATGTTTTTCATTCTGGCTCTCATTGATTTCTTTAAAATATATTCTTGAATGCAGAGTTTAAAAAAAGGGATATGGCCAGACGATATTAATTCCTAGTTTTTCATCCCCTTCTCCGAGTCCTTTTATTCAGCCCATCTCAGTTTGGCTGTTACTTGATATTTTTGTTTTGAAACCATGAATATATTGCAGGTTTAAATTGTTCTGAGCCTCTCTAGTGCATCTGCAAATGAAATTGAATTAATAAAAATTTGTGTTGAAATTTACCCAATGTCATTGAACTTTGTATAGAAAAGTACCCAATTTAAAAAAAGGGAAAAGAAACTTCATGCAGTAGTTAATTTTACTTGACCTAAATTAAATGAAAATAATAAAAAAATTGTACTGTTCTAATACAATATATCTAACTTTGGGGCAAAAATGTTCTAATGATAGAACAAATGCAAAGGATACTCCTAGGAACATATCTTTTGGCAATACAGAATATTGTACAACTTCTTGAAAAGGCCAGTTATCATTGTCATATCATGATATACATGAATGATATTAACATTATATATTGTCTGTTGAGAGCCAGAAGTGCTTTAAGCCTGTGAGTTAATTCCCTTCTGGCTCCAAACAGACAACATGATGTACAACTGCTTGGAAAGACCAGTATTAATCATTGGTCTGTTTTGTCATATCATGACAGACATGATATCAACACTTAAAAGATCATTTTCATCTTCTTCCTGTAACTCACCTGATATGAAATCTTGCACAGAAATTGCTTGAAGTTTGCATTACAAAGAGGTAGACAGTGCAAGGCAAGCCAACATGTAGATGATCATTCGGCCTTGCTCTCAATATTCCTTTTCCAGTCAGTTATAAACACCAAACTGAAGATTCTAGAAGCACACAGGATTTGGTGTAGGTCAATTCACAGTCAGAACACAAGATTATGGGAAAAAGAAGAAAAAGTAAGCAGTGTTAACTATTCAAATAAATCAAGGGAGTATTATAATATCCCGTTTTTGAATAGCGTATCACATTATGATATAACGTCTCTATGCACTTTCAAAGGAATTCAGAAATTATTACCCCGGCTTTAGCTCCAGCAACTGTATCGCTTACTGCATTCAAGGAATGAATCCAACCAGGTACCTAATTACGAGCTGGGTCGAGTGTGGCAAATTTAAACTAAAATGTCCTGCCAAAGAACATTAGTGCCGCAGCGGGATTCAAATCTCGTAAATTGCAATTAACACTCCAGAGATTTATCCACTAAACCAGAGCACCTCTATAAAACGAAAGAACCTCGATTTTAATAATAATAATAATAGTACAAATGGTGCTTATAAAGCGCTTACCACCGAAGTCTCTAAGCGCTATAACAGACAAAATACAATAACAAACAATTACATATTAAACAAAACAAAAAGAAAATGCAAATAAACCTACAAATTACAATACATTTATGAAACATACATCAATGTGAACAGAGTAAGTTAATCTTCAATACAAAATAAAATTTCATTACATTATTTCCTAAAGAAAGCACCATACCAGACCTGCACATTTTTTAGCCTTTACAAACAGAGAGAAACAGGGAATGTATTAAATGTGAATTCACCTGCAACATCTTTACACAACCAAAGCAGTATAGAGGCCCAGGAACACACCTGTGCAACCATAGAAAATCTCATAAACATGCACAGGAATATATGGCACTCTCTACTTCCACCAATGCATTTCTCAATCACTCTTAAATGTTGTATACTCTCATACTTACTCTACTCACACCAGCCACACATTGCAGCCACACCCTTTCACAGCAATATAAATGTAGTTATATAAACTACTGGTATACATTTCAAGAAATACATGCATCATCTGTGATATACTGTTGCACAAATGGAAGAAACTCACAAAAGTACAGTGCTGTTTATATATCTGAAACAGAGTCCGGTTTACCTTGAAGAGTGGATAATAATCTGTCTGACCGGTGCATATAAATTAACTTCTGTCAACTTAAAAGAGATGGCGAAGTGTCAATGGCAGGTAGAGAAACAATAGCTGTCTGCCATCCTGCTAAGAATAATGTGGATTAGTCTCCTATCACATTTGCTGAGCCGGAGCGCAAACACGCACGTATAATTCATTATTGGCTCAATTACCTCAGAAAGGCGTTGCAACAAAGCGCTAAAGTTCAAAATGTAAGCATACACAACATCTGCCCTTTGGAATATGGATCTCTCCTCGAATTCCCCATACAATTCTGTATTTGCACAATAGGAGAAAACAAACAAGGCATGAGGAAGGGATTGACGGTAGGTTATCTTTCATCCCATTTTTAGGGGAATTTTTCCTTCTCCCTCTCATCTTCTTTTTTAACTAAAAGATACAATTTTATCATAAACTTTGGAATCTGTTTACTTGCACGGAACCCTAGACACACGTACAACAGAGCAAAGTAATTGTTGGTAATTGATTGCCTTAGGCCAGCCAAATTAACTTAGACTATCCACAAACAAAATTTGTCAGATCTTTTATTTTTTTGACTGACAGAATACACTCTTTTTCTTCTTCAGAAGTTACATAATTAGAAAATAATTCCTTACCATTCAGTTTTTCCTATTCTCTTCAAGGTTGTTTCCTCTTTTATTTTAAGTCATACTAACCAAATTCAACTACTTTTACAACCATGTTAAAAATACCCTCAAAAAATCTTTTTTACACACTATAATCAATCATACCACAAACAAAATCATAACCTAATCATAACTACCTCTATTAAACTTAATTAAAGTTATGTTTGATGAATTTTATCCTCTCATGTTCAGCTCATATTGATCATACTTCTAATCAAAGACATGAGACTGCCAGGCACAGCCATGATAAAACACTGTTTGCACAATTTCTTTCAGTAAACGAAGCGATTGTTTAACGGCAAACAAGCAACCTTTGTACTGCACTTGTTTCCATTAAACAAAATGTCTGTTTGTAGACAGAAGGACATCAAGTCATATACTCTAACATCAAGTTAAAGCCCTTCTGGCTCTGAAAAGATTATATTCCTGCAGGGGAAAACCATGTTGACATACAATTCATCTTCTACGGTAAACACACTAGATACTATGCCTGTGCAATAATGTTGTAATGGCTTTATTGTACTTGAACAAAGTTCTTTATTGATAACATTTATACATGTACACCCTATTAAAAAGTTAAGAGAAATGCTATTTAGCTACGGGTCACGTAGTTTCTTTCTTTTTCAATTTTCTCAAACAACACATGGATCATAAAACTGTGAAACATTAGTTTCATTTGGTTTAGGCCTAAATCGTCTGTTAAGAGCAAGAAAGGTGTTAACTGGATCTGTGTTAAAGTACGGTATATGCGTTAACACCCTAGCTTTTGGCTGCTAACAATATCACATCAACTTTATTTGGAAAATGTCCTGTATTCAATAAGAATTATGTAATAGCTCACGGTGTTGGGCCTATATTGAGTACAATGGGACCTGTGTTCAGTTTGTTAAAGTATGTATTTTTAGTCATATTTCCAGTACTTAATAGTACTATGTACAGCAAAATTCCTTGTTAGTTACATCTAGATAACCATGAAAGGACATATACGGGAAATAGTAATTGCATGCTCAGTTTCTTCAAAGGGCAATATAACCCTTGTAATTAATAGTTTATTTGTATGTAGCAGAAAAACATGATAAACAGAATGGTAAAGGTTTGAAATAAATTGTACTAATAAGAGAATTATTAATGTTTGAATCGCTGGATTGCTATGAATACATGGACAACTTTCTTGTTGTCATGTACAAAAATATCATCAATTTCTGTTTTAGGGCTAAGTGCCTTCTCCCCTGGGATTTAAGCTACTCAAAATACATTATGGATAGCAGTCACATCATATTATCATAGGTCCTCTAAAGAGAAAAAAACCCTCCTGAGTCATACTTTTTAAAAAATTAAAAAATTGACATTTGTCTGTTTATGAACAAATGGGAAAGTTGTCTGCCACTACACCGAGACATTATATCGATTCAGCAAATATAAATTCAGCCAATTTGAAGAGCCCATATCTATAGTGATTATAACTTTTAAAAATCATAACTTTCCCATTTTTTGTCTGCTCTTTCTACTTTCTTCTAGAATAGTCTGCTATCTAGGTTCGATTTCCCTTCACCACTTAAAGTGATCATCATATCAATTCAGAGTTTTTAGACTCATTTATTTCCTTTTTCAAAGAAAAACATACATGAAAATATTACTACTATATATGATGATAAACATGATGATCATTATAATAATAATAATAGTAATGATAATAGTTGTAATGATAATACAAATACATGTACTTCTACTACTACTACTACTACTTAGTTTTAGTAATAATAATGATATCAATAGTAATAATTAGTAATAATAATTATTTAAAAAAAATTAAAAAAACCTCTACTACTACTACTACTACTACTACTACTACTACTATACTACTACTACATAGTAGTAGTAGTATACTAGTAGTTCTAGTTTTATTACCACCAATAGTAGTAGTGTAGTAGGCCTAGTAGTAGTAGTAGTTGGTTGTAATAATAATAATGATAATAATAATATTATGAAAACTAATAACAATATGATTTGATTAAGCCGAACAGGGGCATTTTTAATATTGAGCACAAGTTATATATTACTTATCACTCACTTTCCCCACATCAAGTAATGAATATTCAAATCAACTAAAAGGTTTGATTGGTATCACAAAATCAAAGAGTAAATGATTTTCATCTTGCACTCATCAATTTTGTCAACATATGCCTCACAACCATGCAGCTCTTCTGAATCCATGTTTCAAACAACTTGTGAATTTACTGCTCTATCTTTTGCTTTCTACTTTTATAGAAGCCCGATGCATATTCCGTGATACACACAGCATAACCCGCTCTGTACTATGTAGGCTACTAAAAAACATAAACTTTGCACCGCGCAGCTGAAGAGTGCTAATGTTCTCCGTGCACGGCTCTTCCCTACCGCGACTCCCCATCATCAAATGCCTGCATCCCAGGGCGGGGGGCGAGTGTGGTGCCCCAATCGCAGCGGCGGCAGAGGAGCCTGCACCACCACCACGCGATGGCACACCGCAACGCCAAAAATCATCAAAACTGTCACCATACTGCTGTGTGTGTAATAATATCAATACCATAAGGTGTAAATTGATAATATGAACTATCTAGTTATCACTAATTTCACAATAAAGCTTACCTCAATTACAAGAGTAGAGGACTGCTTACTGTTGATTGGTTAGAAGTTTTGGTCACGCTGTCATTGTACAATGCCTTGCGTGCGTGTTCATGCGGTTCGTGCCGGTGTTGGTTGTCGGTGAACCCTCTTGCCTTTATGATGAGGGCGTGGGCAAACGGTGAATATAGTTGGTGTGGTGTTGTAAGAATTCACGGGGGTGCGGTGGTAGTGGATCAAGAAGGGGACCCAACAAATCCCGAAATCATGCATCTGAGCTGCCTAATTACGTTTAGGGGTCGTTTGTTGAGGTCTTAAAGTGTAACATGGTCTTAAAGTGTAACACGGTGCCTAAGTTCCTGAAAAATTAGTCGATGCGCACAGCGCCATGGCATAATACATCTAGCTAAGTGTTTGCTGTTCACTCGAACTAACCAGCTGGCCGCAGCAATGTCTCGCCGAATTAACTAACTAATCAATATATTCAGGGGGAGGGGGGACAAAAAAAGACACTTTCTGGGGGGGGGGAGGGCACATACAAAGGGAAATCTCAAAGCAAAAATATAAAATTGTTTACATTGTGGTCACAATAATGAGGGATGATTTCAATATTTGTTTCTCAGACTCTTTTAACTGAACATGCATGGTCCAATTAGCTACTGTTTAAGCATCATGTTACTTTGCACAATCTGAATATTCACTTACATGACATGGAAGCAAAAGTTTCAAGATAAGTGAGGTCGCTGTGCGAAAAATTACAGCTTGGGATTTTAATCACGATAATGAAAGACTGAAAACTATATAACACACTTATATCAACTATAAATGCGATCTAGCGTAGACACAAGCTTGGGGGGGGGGGGGTTAAAGAAAAAGAGTTGCTCTTAGTCGCTTAAAAAATAGGGGCACATGTTATGGATAAATGAAAATGGAGCACTCAGATGGAAAAAGGACATTTATTTGAAAAGAAAAGGAACATGTGTCTAAGTAAAAGGGGCAGTAATCAGTGGTGAAAACGGGGCATTTCTCGCACCTGAAAAGGGGCACTCACCAGAGGTTTTTAAAAGGGGCACTAATGATAATGAAAAATAGGCATTTGTCGCAGGAAAATGGGAACCTATTAGATTTTGATAGGGGCATTTATCAAAGATGAAAAGGGGTATTTATGAAAAGGAGAGGGGCCGTATAAAAAAGGGAAAAGGGGCACCCATTAGGAGGGAAAGGGTACTTACAAGAAAGGAAAAGGAGGCATGTGTCAAAGAGGAATTTATGAGAAAGGGAAGGGGCTCTTATTAAAAAGGGGAAAGTGGCACATATCAAAAAGTAAAAGGGCACTTATTAGAGGGGACGCGTGTCAAGGTAAACAATAAAAAGGGCTATTATCAGATATCATAAGGGGCACTTATGAACTTGTGACAAACATATACAATCCAGATGAAATACGCCATAGGATGAAATCATTTCTTCACAGTATACGAGTAAGGAAAGAAAAATATAAGAAACCAAGATTACTTTTAAAATTAGAGAAAAAAATAAGAAAAAGATAAAGGAAAGAAGGGAAAAAAAGGTAGCCAGGCCTATAAAAAAAAAACAAGAGGTTGACTAGAAGTGAAGACATGGTATCAATATTATCTTGCTCCTTTCCCTTCTTCTTTCGTCTTCTTTTCATTTCAATTTTCGTTCAATTTATTTCTATCTTTCTTGGTTTCTTTTTCCTATATTCTATTCATTTATTATTTATATTTATTTTCTTTTTTTACTTTTACTTTTTTCTTTCTTATCCCATTTTCTTTCTTCCTTTCCTTCCTTCTGCTTCTTCAATTTCTTTTTCATTTGTTTTCTTTTCTTTGCGGCTTACTTTCCGGCATATTTTCATCATCAATAGAAGTTAAATGTGCTAGATAGATGTAATCAGAAACAATTGATATCTCCAAATTCTAATGGCAACTGGTATTGCTATTAGACTGAAGTCACTTGATGAAACACGCCAGAATTACGTAGTAGGTAGGTGATGGTTTTGTCCCCCATAACGAATGGCGATTAACACGGCCTGCTGTGCATGTAGCGCAGTCGGAGTGCAGTCTATAAATGCTTCGCGGTAATGACAATCTTCGGCCTTTTCCACTTGAATCTCTCCCCCTCTCTCTCTCTCTCTCTCTCTCTCTCTCTCTCTCTTTATGGGATAAAAGAAAGCTTACGAAGCTACTCATGTAAGGCATATTTCCTATCGGTCTGTATTAAGCTTTAAATATTGAATTGGTACACTTTAGTCGAACAATTGCAGCAACTAGCTAGTTAGCTGGAACGAAAGCGAGCAGTATACTGCTGTTTGCATGCATGATAACTACAGCTAGCTGTACGTAAGCGCCGCGCGCACGCAGCGACTCTTTTTTCAGGAGCTAGGGGGTCGTGTTACACTTTAAGACCATGTTACACTTTAAGACCTCAACAGTCGTTGCCAAAGTATCCTCTCTCCCATGATTCTAGCGATGAATGAATCTTATGATGTTTCTGTTCTGTTTTGGAATTCATTAAGTAGTGAAATAAAAAATGCTCCATCGATCAATACTCTTGAGAAAGAAAAAAAAAATTGAAATTGTTTCTATTACAATCATATACACCTCATTGAATTATATGTCATTGTTGCTTTTGTTTAATACAAGATCATTCTCCACTCGATGACTCAAAATGTAATTTGATATATTATATTGTGCCTTTATCATGCTTATTTCCTTTCTATTAAACGCGCATTTCTCTATCCTTATCTTCTTCTCAACCCCACATGCAGCTCATCATTTTGTATTATTTTCTGTACCCCCGATCTCTCACTTCTTTGTGTCATGTATCATAACCGTGTTCTTCTATATATCTTTGTAGTGTAAAGCATTGTCTTGTCCCTAATTTTTCGTCTCTGTTGGCACCCCCTTTGTCTTTCCCCTATTTTGTAGTTCCTTTTGTAGTTACGGATTAGTTAATTCAATCATTCATTATTCCCAAGTATCATTTTAGGTGTTCACATTTGTACAAGCATTACTTTTTAGTGGACCCCTCTGTTTCCAACATGTATTTCTTTAATTTTCTTACATTTGTTTTAAATGCTTATAACTGATGTTTTGATGGAAACATGAATAAATTGGAATTGAAATGTATATCTTGCCCTATAGCTGTCCGACACCCAATTTGTAGTTGTTTTGAATCTGAGTTACCCTTAAAATTATTTATTTAAAAAAGTCTTTCTGACTAATCAATCATGATTCACATTAGACTAAAAAATGTGTCTGCATCGTTCAGGGATATAAATAAATGGTCAGCTGAGACTATACGTCTGTCTCCGCCAAATTCATCTACATTTATGTGTAGGAAGGAGAGCCTCTAAATTAAGTCAACTTTGCTGGTGTTCTTCCTTTTGTTGAAACATTTTTGGAACATCTGTTGGTAAATTGAAACTGTTACTACCCACATTTCCTCTCTTCTCTGTCCCTATCTCATGCTCTTTGTTAGTTTGTTTTCTCTCCTCCCACCCCACCCCCCCCCCCTCTCTCTCTCTCTCTCTCTCTCTCTCTCTCTCTCAATTGGTATAGTACTTTTCCTTGCAGTTACACAGTGCTTCACAATTTGCTACTTATCTTTCTCTGTCTATCTTTCTCTGTCCGACGTTCATTTATTACACTTCATATTTTGTCCATCATGAGATATTGCGAGGCCGGGTGGCAAAGAACAATTAGTATAAACATATTACTATCCTACCCCCTCCATCTCTTTTCTCTTTTCTCTGTACGTCTGTCTGTCTGTATGTCTCTCTCTCTCTCCTACCCCTTCCCACTCTCTCTCTCTCTCTCTTTCTCTCTATCCCTCTCCCTTCCACTCTCTCTCCATCTCTTCCTCCCTATACCATTTCTCCTCTGAGCAACAAAGCCTCCACTTGACATCCATCACCACACAAAAGACAAAAACAACAGTCATAATTGATAGTACAACAATTTTCTATTGCACAAACATTGACAGGAAAAAAAGAATCATTTATCCCTACAGAGACAAAACTATCATCATCACTATCATTATAAACACATTGTTTTGTAGAACATACATACACTGAATAAGTACCAAGCTTGGTAGAAAACTGCTTGAAATAAAAACAGAACACACTGCGGGATATAGAGGGCCCGCATAATGTGCCTTTTCATGCAAAGAACCACAAGTCTATGAATCACAAAACTATTCAGAAGTCCTCTTTCTACACTGATCAATAGATGCTGATTTACAGCAAAAGAGTTGATTGAACAATAACAAGAGTCTAAAAATATATTTTTCTTCCTTTATTTACATATCAAAGACTATATCTTCATTATCTACATACCTACTGTACACATAAATAGTACATTATATCAACATTGTATACAGCATAATTGCACACAAACACTGTTGGGTACTGTTGAGGGGAGGGGATGAGAGTTGGCATGCAAAATAAATATTGAGCATACATCAATACCACAAAAGCAGAAAAACTTAACATTACAGGCAAACATGCTAGTAATATTTTTGTAAAAGAAATTAGTACACGAGTTGCATAATTACGGCATATTACTTCTGTTTAGTTTTAATTACCGTATGAGACTGAAATGTATGTAAAACTCAATTGGCATAGGATAATCTACAGGAAAATAACATGTAGTAATATGTGTTTTCATGCATAGTTTTTTCCACTCTGAATAAGATCCACAGATTTCAATTATTTTTTTATCACATTCAAAAATTAACTGGCATACATTCTTTTATCAAGGGATATAAATACAGATCTCATTAAAGTGATCTTTCTGAGCTATCGCTTCTACCATGTTAGCATAAATTATAAGTTTGACATTAGCATTTCTCACAACTCTAACCCCTTATCTAACGATAAGGATTAAAATCTCTCATCAATATCTCTCAATGCCTACATCCCTCTCTCTCTCTCTCTCTCTCTCTTTCTCTCACTCTTACTCTCTATCATATTATAAACAGGGCAATTGGAATTAATACTAGTACATTAATATTTGTCAGTGAAATTTTTCATCTTCAATGGCACTAGTTTCAATAATATTTCACCATCTCTTCATTTTACTCATGATTTTCTCTTATAAATGCACATTTGACCACCTTCCATTGTTATTTGTCCACATTCCCACCCTCTCTTTCTAACCCTTTAACAATGTTCCTTTCTCTCTCTACTTTTTTTTGTTTTACTCAATCCCTGATCTTGTCAGCCTCTCTCCCTACTCTTTATCCTACCTTTCTCTCTCTCTCTCTCTCTCTCTCACTCTTTCTTTCTGTCCCCCCTTCTCTCTCTTTCTCTCCCCTCTCTCTCTTTCCCTGCCTCTCTCTCTCTCTCTGTCTTTCCCTTCTTCTCTCTCTTCCGAGCCCCACCCTACCCACTCTCTCTCCGTCTGCACCACCACCACACTTCCTAACTGCTGATCATCTGTGGTCCTCTCGTATTCTAGTGATGACTTTCTCCAATGTCATTGCAATATTCCTATCGCCTTCTAGCTCTAGGCGACCCGCCATGTAGGCCATGGCGGGGCGCAGCTCACCCTCAAACATGGCCCGCATGTCATCTACAGACATGGTGAGGGTAACGTCAGGGGTGCAAGGGGGTGGTCCTACACCCGCTTGCCCTGCACCTGTTATGAGAAAAAAAATGGGAAATAAATAGATTAACTTGTTACTTGCTTTGGCGGACTAATGGAACAAGCTGTCAACTAACACAATCAACTTTTGTTACACAATTTAGGTATACAGAACACACATGAAGTCCTCCTAAAAATTTGGCAGTCTGAGGTGTCAATTGGCAGCAAATAAAGAGTTAGTCAAAGCAGGGTTTTGTCTTTGAATGCTTCAATCAATTTGATATATTAATAGATATGGCTGCATGTGACTTTATGGTAATGTTCAAGTTGTAATTCTCCAAATGCCTTGTGTACAAATGATTCAAATGAGAAATTCACACACTTCAATTTCTAATTCCATGAATACTCTATTTACTACATTTTGAAACATATAATCACAAATATGACATTAACGTATCAATAATAACTATTGATTTTGAATATTCTACCTCCTGTCCCCACATCTAATGACCAAATGAAAACAAAATTTATCCAAACCAAGTGGTATGTGATATAGCACAGCTTCCTTGCATTGGTATTTATCCTTCAATTCATTCAATTGAATTTAAGGGAAAAAAAGAAAAAAGAAGGAGCTGTGAGAAGCACATACCTCTTGCTAAATCCAGATAATAGACTCCACCACTTGCACCTGTCACGCTGAACTTAAACACAGCACCGATTTCTTCCACCAATTGCTCATTGAGTAAGGGTTGGACCAGCTGGAGGAGCTCTTCGGGCGTGGCCGGAGTATTACCCCCCAGCTCTACCAGAGTTGATGTGACGGGTATAGAAGGGCGAGGTGCAGTCAGGCTTGGTTGGTGGTAGGGGTTGGGTGAGGAAGCCATGGTGAGGGAAGGGGTTTGGTTGGATGATGCCGTTACCATGGAGAGGAGGGATGCAAGGCCCGATGACGGATCCCCCTTTTTTTCTTTGGCTCCAGCTGATTAATCAGTGTTACAAAAAAAAGGTGTTAATTAAATTCAATATAGCCATGTACAACCAAAATAATATGATTGCAGGGCCCTCAGCAAGAACAGCAGAAATACTGATAAGGCTATCCCGGGTAAACAAGACATATCAATATTATTGTTACTACTATTAACCATGCAATGATCTGATTAGACTTTTAGTTCAAAGTGTCATAATACATAAGAACAACTATTGTCAGAACATAATTTATTTCATCTTCTTTTATGAGCATCAATCAATTCTACCCATTCCCGCCTCCCTAGAAAAACATCAAATTTGCCACCACTATGTACTCCTGCAACAATTAAAAAATTCAGTTTACATAATTTGAAACAGCTTTGCATCACCACCACAGCAGATTCATAAACCAAATGGTTACATACATATTTTGAGCCTGATAGAGGAATTTGTTCTCATACCTGCCATTTGGCCTGCAACTTGGCCCAACACACCAGTCATTTTTTCGAAGTCTAGAGATCCTGGCACTGCATCTTGAATCACTGTTATCTCAGAACTATATGTACATAGAATGGAATAAGATTTGGTTTCATTTTCACATATTTATCTATTCCATACAAATATAAAAACAATATTATATAATCTTAAAATACAGACAAATGTAATTACGTGTCTGAAGTGGGAGGATCATAAAAAAAAACTTTTAAATGATTCGTTAAAAATGATCCTCACAGCATTATAAGTTATTTGAATTTATCAACAACAAAAATATCACCATTACATGAAAATCATACATGAGAATGATTATTTTTCCTTTTCTCATGAAAATGTATAGGTAAGTAATGGTGATGTGATATCAAATTTCAAAGATCACAAGGAGATGGTGCAGATATCATGAGCAGGAATGAATCTTGTCACCATCATTTCAGACCCTTTGCTAAGATTTAGGCTCTCCCGTCTCTATAAGACGAGCAAAGAAAAGAAAATATTTCAGGTGATATATATATATATATATAAAGGAAACTTTGTTGACCAATTTCCTCCAGAAGTAAATTTTCTGACATATTTCAACCCCAAACCCAGGATAATCACTGTATCATCAGCAGCCCCACTAATAAAAAATGTTATCTTTTCTATACATACAAAGTGTCGTTTATACTAAACAAAAGTGGGTCAATATTGTCAAAGCTCACATTTCTGCTCTGCTGATCTCCACGCCCCAGTTGAGTGTGGCAGTGTTCATGAGATCCTGCATCTCTAGAGTGATGAGGGCCTTGTCACGTTCGATGTCGGAGAGCTCCTTGGAGCTGAGCAGGTTGAGGAGGATGGTCTGCCCGAGGTTCCGCAGGGCGTGGTTCATGTCCTGGATGGAGGCTATGGACAGGGCCACATCGGTGATGCGGTGGTAGATCGTCGCACCCGCTGAGATGGCCGCTCCATTGGAAGTCAATAGCTGAGAAAGGTTCATGTAAACAAAGATAGGAATGGACAGATGTTTATTAATCATGAGACCAGCATAAGGGCACAAAAGGAGTTTTAATCAAATTTTCCATTTCTATATATATATATACACCAGAAGTATACATAATTACAGGTACATTAAGTGCAAAAAAGGGACAGGTAACTTCACATTTCCTCCAAAGAAATAGTAGGTATTTGGAGAACACACCTCTCATCAAAAGCACCAGCACATTGACCTTGTCTTGAAAACATTTCACCACCACTCCAAGAGAATCTCCTGAGGTCCTCACAAAAAGGTCCGTCTTTCTTTCAGAACAAATGTTCTTTATTCTAAGTCCTATTCAAGGAATGGGTAACTAAAGGTTAATTCTTAAATATGGCTCAGAACAAACACAATTTTTTTCAACACAGGGATAGCAGAGATGCCAACCTTCATCATAAAAAAATAAGTATTCTTAAGAGGAAAAACAGTATTTTTTGACAAAAACAGGATTTTCGAGAGCAGCTTTTAAAAAACGGCGGTACCATGTATACGACCCCGGATCAGAGCGCGACGTGTATACAGTACACGTGGGTTGTTCACAACGTGCAGAGTTTGGGGCCCGTATCACCGCCCTGCGTGCATCGTTTGACGACTTAGGTGCATTATACACATATGACACAAAGCCGATGAACGGAAATTCAGAAAAACATCAATTAAATTTTTTTTTAAAGTAAAACATACAAAAACATACTGCCGTATTCCGTTAGCAAAAAAAACGGCACGGTTGGCATCTCTGGGATAGTGCAATCTTATCATTGAATACGTTTTCTAATTGTAGTCAATAATAGATATGCTATTTAGACTTGGACTCACTTGTTGCGGTGGTACGTTGAAGGCTCTAGTCCTCATGTCGACTTTCTTCCATTTGTCAATGAAAGGATTGATAAGAACAAAACCTGTAGACACATACGTTAGGAAAACCAACAATCAGAACAACTCTCATCCAATTATTTCAAATGTGGCATTTGTAAACAAATCAAGGTTTAATACTAATTTCAAAGTTACATACCTGTAACAGTAAATTGTTAGACAATAGATACTTTGTTTAGCGATCAATCAGAACATTTGTTATAGGCTGTTTAAAGCAAAAATATGAAGTTTCTACATGCTTTACTGTATGAAGTTACAAGTTAACATTTTTAGAAATATATCAGTCGAGTATAAAAAATGAACTCCTCTGCTGTAGTAAGAACAAATGATTGAACTGGAATTACCTTACTTGCTAGAAATTTGTTATAAGGTGCAGTCTAAAGTAAAAGCCAAATATCTTAAGAATCAATTTTTGTTAATAGCAAAGCATTCATGAGTTTGCATTCTTCTCAATGGAGTCGCTAAAGAAGTAAGTTAGAAGTTTAAAGGAGAGAATTCCTACCTGGTCCTTGTGGTGCTTTCATTCTACCTAGTCTGAAAATTACTATCCTCTCAAACTGTTGAACCATCTGAAAAAAAATAGATAATACTATCGATGATGTTATGCTTCATTTTATTACTAGATGCCTTTTGTATGTCTTGCAACTCTTGGTAATTTTGTATTGTCTTGGGCTACATATATCTACCCAGTTGTAAAAAATTTCCTGATATGAAAAAAGCGCTATATATTTGGCAGCTCAGCCATGACTGAGATAATAATGTTATAGTGCAGTTAGTGCTAGGTTTGTCACGGCTTGACAGAAATAATCAGTACAAACAATAAGACGCTGCCATCATTGTCATTAATAAGAATATTGTACCTACCTTTATAGCTAACCATCCTGACAAGGGAAAAGTCAACAGGAGCAGGATAAAACTCAGGAGAATGACCACGGAATTGCAGATATAGGATATGACCGGTGGTTTGTATTCTGTAGAAAATGGATAGCAACAAATGTTAGAAAAGCATTGCGGGGAGACAGCAAGACTCTGCAAGAGGTACGTGTACGTAGGGTAACATCAACATCATACCGACTATGATGAGCACAATCATGATTTAATTAGCAAAGTGATTGGTCATTACATCTTGCTGATGGCTAGTTTAAAGATGATTTGTCCTATTAGCAAACTTAAAAACCGAAGTTCCATGAATCCAGTGGTATATATTGAAAAGGTCTATTATTAGGACCCTCCCAAATAAAAAAAAAAGGAAAACATCTCTTAATATCTATTTTCTAGACTAAAAGCCTATAGCCTAGAGTAGATGTCACAAGGGCAAAAGCCTCATCATCCCTATTTGGGCCAGGGAAAAACATACTTTAAACATTTCGGGGCTACTTTTAATGCTTGCTTGCATGAAAATAACACTCTCTATTTTGTTTTGCATTGAACTCTATGCAATTTTTTGGGGCTCTTTTATGACTTGCGGGGGCTCTTTTGGACATTTCTGGGGCTAATTCGTCCCAAGCTGCCGTGTATTTTCCCCCCTGATTTGGACCATGCCTCACCTTTCACCTCATTGATGTAAGGTGGGACTGCCTTGCTGTATGAGAAGACCGACTTGAAGCTGTGTACAGAGCCAAAGTCAAAGGCCACAGAGCTGAAGTCAAAGGCCACAGAGTCTTTGGCTTGCCTGCTGTCGGCATTGTCCTCCATCGGCAGTCGGCTGTACTGAACACGAGGCATGGTACAAGAATGTTCAGGTTCTCTTAAAAAAAAGGGGTTACAAAATGCAAAATTGTCTTTCAAGGCTCTAAGATCAAACAAATCTAATCCTTAAAAAATTTAGGATAAGAAAAGTAGTCTAATTAGAATATGAGATATGACCATCTGAATGAATAGAGTTCCTATGGGCACTCAGTGTTATTGTTCAGTCAATAAATATGATCAATTATTGGTCGGAAAGTGTAATTGGTTTACAGAAACTTCGTTAAAATCCCTCCGAGCCGAAGACAAGTAGTATTTCTTGGCAAATACTGGTAGGCCAATTAATAATTAATCAATTTTTAAACAAAATTTGTGTGAACACATTTTAAATTAAATTTCAGCATAAGATTTTTATATTGAGGCCACCATCATAGTCAAGCCTCTCTTATGTTGGTGTTCTCCAGCACTTTTGCACAGATAATTAGAATAATACTTTAAATTCATAACACTATACTAGACACAGCACAGCTCTAATTTTCCTTTCACAAGTAATTAATCTACATTTTCCACTCCATAGCCTACCAATGAGATAAATCGGGACCTGGCAGGATAACGGAAACCTTTGTGTTTGTAATTGCCATATGCCCTCATGGTAACCACATGATACGAATACTTCCCAAGCAGTTTAGATGGTGCATATTGAATGATTCCGATGACCAGGTAATAATGTCTGTAAAGCCCCTAGAGACTGTATTTCGTAATAAGCGCTACATAAATCCAGGTTTGTATATGAATATAAAGTAAGTTATTACATGTTTCTATGTAAATCACATTTTCACATAAATTATGATTGTTTGCATATTTGTAGTCATACCTTACGTTTAAATTTTCTCTGTTACTCAGTTTTTGTACTTGGACAAAAAGGCGAAAATCAAATAAAAACCAAACAAACTGCAGTATAAAATAAAAGCATGTATACTATTTTCCTAGAGTTATACGGCTTATGTTTCATCTCTCGATGATTGTTGACCGCAATTTTTATTGGTACATTACATTTCCATTTTCTTGTACTTTTGATATCAATTTCAGTTGTTTTATTGTACAGAATACAGATAATATTTGTTGTTATCCATTTTATTCCTTTTTCAATAAATGTAAACCACTTAACACTTTATTATATTTGACTGGACAAAGTTTTCTGTTTGTTTTTGTTTTTTTAAATAAATTTTGATGCAGGATATAAAACAAATATACCATGCCTTCTATTCGAGGTACTGGTTAAACTATGGGCCTCGGTGACTCCTAAAGTACCATTTGCTTCGGGGCTGCTGGAGTCACCTCTTGCGCATAGTTTTAACCAGAACCTCTCAAGGCAGTGTATATTTGTATAATATTGTTTTGAATTTAGGGTAGGAGTTAGGATTAGGGTGAGGGTACCAGTTTTTATGATGTCCTGTTGATATACCATTTAGGGTTATAGACCTATATAGATGTCCTGTTAATATAACATGTATGTAAGTAACAATCCCTATACCCTATCACTCCAGCAAAGCATAGAGAGTCAATGCTAAAGCGTATTGACCTCTAGCACTGTACATGCTGTGAGGCAGGGACCTAGAAGTCTATACACAAATATACACACCACACAATATCGCATAGAATGTACACAATCATGTCGATGCAGCTGTAAGCAAAGTTTGACACTAGACTTACAATTTGAATTTTTAAATTATTCTTTTTAACATCAGTAAGTTGAAAAAAATGTATTTTACTGCTATTTAGGTGTCATCAATTGTCACTAAAGTACCGATTTTGAGTGAAATCAGTTGAGTTTTGTACAGTGGTGTTTGAAATGTTGAAAATCAAAAGCACAGCTTTTACTACACAGCCAGGATAGTGATGCTCCTATGTGTGTACCCTATAGGCTATATACCCATGTTTTTACAATGTCAAATTGACTCCACTACCTCCTTGTGGAAATGACAATGTTCTTACTCAAATTTTGATATTTTCAGCACACCTAGCTCCTATCAACAATGTAAGGATTAAGATGAGATCAGATATTAAGAGAATAAGAGTGAAATGTTAGGTGAGCATACAATGATATGATACATAGTGTCCCATAAATCATGTAAATATACACATCGCTGATCGCTCGTGCCCGTGAGTCTGGCCAGGCAATGAGCCCCCATCATAGGGGTAACTAGCGGGCAGTCATGTAGCTGCAGCTGCGGTCAAAACGCTCGAGCTGGTACGTTCTATTATCGCAATATTATATGTCGTATTCTAACTGTTTATTACGAAAAATTATATTTAGCCATAACATCTACGTCTTCTACTAATACTTACCAAGTTGTCTTTGTTCTGCTTTTCACCACCAAGCTAAACAATCTCCATCTCATTCAGTCTCAATCTTTGCTAGATCTATATCGCCGCCATATTGAAACTCCTTGATGGAGCTAGCTAGCGCTCGGATATCCGGATCGGAACGAATGACAACGGCCACACATTAATGTCATTGATGAAATGAGGTATCGCGCGGTAGGTTCGTATGCTCCTCATTTCATCTTTTCATCTCTCCTCCGCATTCTATATCTCACCCCTCTCTCTCCCTCTAGCTCTCTCTGTCTCTCTTCCACATTATCTTTCTCTCCTTTTCTCTAGCCCTCCCTATAATTAGATAAAGAAGACAATTCGTTGTACAGTTCTCGACTCTTAATCCTTGTCTAAATTCATTTCCCCTCTCTCTCTCTCGATCCAATCTCCCTTTCTCTCGCTCTCACTACTCTCCTCCACATTTTCGCTCTCTCCTTCTCGCTCTCCCCATTTCTCTCCCATATATTCTCTCTCCTTTTCTCTCGCTCTTCCCATTTCTCTTCCATATTCTCTCTATTTTCTCTCACTCTTCCCATTTCTCTTCCATATTCTCTCTCTCCTTTCCTCTCGCTCTTCCCATTTCTCTTCCATATTCTCTCTATTTTCTCTCACTCTTCCCATTTCTCTTCCATATTCTCTCTCCTTTCCTCTCGCTCTTCCCATTTCTCTTCCATATTCTCTCTCCTTTTCTCTCGCTCTTCCCATTTCTCTTCCATATTCTCTCTCCTTTTCTCTCGCTCTTCCCATTTCTCTTCCATATTCTCTCTCTTCTTTTCTCTCGCTCTTCCCATTTCTCTTCCATATTCTCTCTCCTTTTCTCTCCCTCTTCCCATTTCTCTTCCATATTCTCTCTCCTTTTCTCTCGCTCTTCCCATTTCTCTTCCATATTCTCTCTCTCCTTTCCTCTCGCTCTTCCCATTTCTCTTCCATATTCTCTCTCCTTTTCTCTCACTCTCCCCATTTCTCTCCCATATTCTCTCTCCTTTTCTCTCGCTCTTCCCATTTCTCTTCCATATTCTCTCTCGATCCTTTTCTCTCACTCTCCCCATTTCTCTTCCATATTCTCTCTCCTTTTCTCTCGCTCTTCCCATTTCTCTTCCATATTCTCTCTCTCCTTTCCTCTCGCTCTTCCCATTTCTCTTCCATATTCTCTCTCCTTTTCTCTCGCTCTTCCCATTTCTCTTCCATATTCTCTCTCTCCTTTCCTCTCGCTCTTCCCATTCTCTCTCTCCTTTTCTCTCGCTCTTCCCATTTCTCTTCCATATTCTCTCTCTCCTTTCCTCTCGCTCTTCCCATTTTTCTTCCATATTCTCTCTCCTTTTCTCTCGCTCTTCCCATTTCTCTTCCATATTCTCTCTCCTTTCCTCTCGCTCTTCCCATTTCTCTTCCATATTCTCTCTCTCCTTTCCTCTCGCTCTTCCCATTTCTCTTCCATATTCTCTCTCTCCTTTTTTCTCGCTCTTCCCATTTCTCTTCCATATTCTCTCTCTCCTTTCCTCTCGCTCTTCCCATTTCTCTTCCATATTCTCTCTCTCCTTTTTTCTCGCTCTTCCCATTTCTCTTCCATATTCTAGCTCTCTCTCCTTTCCTCTCGCTCTTCCCATTTCTCTTCCATATTCTCTCTCTCCTTTCCTCTCGCTCTTCCCATTTGTCTTCCATATTCTCTCTCTCCTTTTCTCTCGCTCTTCCCATTTCTCTTCCATATTCTCTCTCTCTCCTTTTCTCTGTCTCTTCCCATTTCTCTTCCATATTCTCTCTCTCCTTTCCTCTCGCTCTTCCCATTTCTCTTCCATATTCTCTCTCTCCTTTTCTCTCGCTCTTCCCATTTCTCTTCCATATTCTCTCTCCTTTCCTCTCGCTCTTCCCATTTCTCTTCCATATTCTCTCTCCTTTCCTCTCGCTCTTCCCATTTCTCTTCCATATTCTCTCTATTTTCTCTCACTCTTCCCATTTCTCTTCCATATTCTCTCTCCTTTCCTCTCGCTCTTCCCATTTCTCTTCCATATTCTCTCTATTTTCTCTCACTCTTCCCATTTCTCTTCCATATTCTCTCTATTTTCTCTCACTCTTCCCATTTCTCTTCCATATTCTCTCTCCTTTCCTCTCGCTCTTCCCATTTCTCTTCCATATTCTCTCTATTTTCTCTCACTCTTCCCATTTCTCTTCCATATTCTCTCTATTTTCTCTCACTCTTCCCATTTCTCTTCCATATTCTCTCTCCTTTCCTCTCGCTCTTCCCATTTCTCTTCCATATTCTCTCTATTTTCTCTCACTCTTCCCATTTCTCTTCCATATTCTCTCTCCTTTTCTCTCACTCTTCCCATTTCTCTTCCATATTCTCTTTCTCCTTTCCTCTCGCTCTTCCCATTTGTCTTCCATATTCTCTCTCTCCTTTTCTCTCGCTCTTCCCATTTCTCTTCCATATTCTCTCTCTCTCCTTTTCTCTGTCCCTTCCCATTTCTCTTCCATATTCTCTCTCTCCTTTTCTCTCGCTCTTCCCATTTCTCTTCCATATTCTCTCTCCTTTCCTCTCGCTCTTCCCATTTATCTTCCATATTCTCTCTCTCCTTTTCTCTCGCTCTTCCCATTTCTCTTCCATATTCTCTCTCCTTTTCTCTCCCTCTCCCTATTATCTCTCTTCCATATTCTCTTTCTCTCCCTATTTCTCCTTTTCTCTAGCTCTCCCTTTTTCTCCTCCACATTCTCTCTCTCTCACTCTGTCTGTCTGTCTCTCTCTCTCTCTCACTCTGTTGCATCTGTGTCTCTTCTCTCCATTTCTCATAAATCCATACCCAGCTTTTAATATTACAAAAATTCATCCTCATTAAATTCTGACATTACATCTAAAAAAAGAAAATGACAACAAATATTGGTCAGAGATTACTAAATAAGAAATGGTGTAATGAGACACAATATAGTCCACATTTTGTATAATACTTCACCAATGGTGATTTGCACTTTATTTTTTTGTATTAGAGCTTCATTCACTCCCTGTAACTACTGAATATGTATCTCAAGACTGAAATGTCCCAGCCCAAGACTTTACATTCAAATATATATGTCATATCTACTACTTCTACAAGAATATTTTTGAAACCTGCAAAAATATCTGGTTAGTCTACCGTAAATATTTTCTGTCTAAATAAATATTCCAAGGCCACAAAATCACTCTTTTGAGGTCAAAAACAAAACAAAATTTAAACAAGTGCATACGAAAAAGAAAAAGGGAAGTCAGATATTTGAAATGGACTATCTTTGCATGTCTTGAAAAAGAAAATGTTTTAGAAGAATATAGAAATCAAATTCAAGAGAAACTGGAGAGAAAGGAGTAGCAAAAGAATTTTTTTTTTAGAAAAGATTGTCTAGGTAGACTATAGGAATAATATGTGATAATGAAAGAGAAATTGTAACTGACAATGTAACAAAATGGTTTGATTTGAATCACATACTAGCAGTCTATTATCAAACATTAATGTAGGACACCTTTGAGTATATATATAAATGAGAAGAGATCGAACGGAGTCACAAAGATAAATATAGATAAATATAGCAACAGAGAGGGAGGGAGGGAGGGAGTGGAGAGAGAGAGAGAGAGAGAGAGAGAGAGAGAGAGAGGGTGGAGAAAGAAATATAGAGTAAGATTCTTACTTTACTAGAATACATCAGATATCATAAAAAGAAAAGTTTCATCATGAAATAATAAATTATATATTCATATTTTTGTGTTTACTTAACTCTGTAGTAATAAACTGATCATTGGATTGCATATCAAGTAAATACAAACAACAAATTATCAAGTAATCTTGATACAGTAATCTACAGATAATTACAATATATGGCCATAAATTTATTAACAAAGCAAGCATGAAGTAAGGCAGTGATTGAATATGAAACAAAATTATTTCATTTATCTCAGATTTAAGATGTGATTTTTTTTCCCGTCTAACTCAAAGAAATGCAACAGCTGAGAATATTGTAATAAATAATGTTTTCTTTCATTCAACATATTCCAGTCTTTCAACAAGAAGCCTGAATAGTGGTAGTTTCTTTTTCTCTTTTTCTACATTTCAGTTGATTTGAATATGCATTTGCATATCCACGAATTGAAACGTTTTGAATCTTTCAATACTTTCAAAATGCTCTTTCTATTATATGAGCCGAGTTTACTCTGTAAACAAAGGCAGATAGAAAGAATGAAAGAAATGAAATCAAGAAAGAAAGCAGAAACAGAAAGAAAGCAAAAAAAGGAAGAGAGCGGAAAGAAAGGAAGAAATAAAGAAAGGAAAAAAGAAAGAAAGACAGAAAGACAGAAATATCCCAGACATTGTCTTTCCAAAAGGGAATTCCCCTCAAGCAGTAGACAAGCCAAATTGGAAATTGCTAGGAAAGAAAGAAAATTCAATGCATAACTTTAAAAAGAAGAGCCATTTGTTATAATACTATTTACGCCCTTATACATCAAATTTAATTGCAAAATAAATGTGCTTTTATTTTTCAATACATATCAGTTAACAATCTCTTCCTGCATAAATAAGTAATATTCATTTCACAGTCAACATTTGAAATAATTTCAGTATTCTATGCCTACAAATATTATGTGATAATAAAGCTTGAACATAATATCATGAAATGCATTAATTGATATACATGTATAGTACTGGAAATTCACCATCATTGTACACCAATGAAAATATTGAACAAGTTTTTTCGAGCAAACTCTGAAAATGAGATCTTCACTGCTCATGTCATGATACCCGGGCACATTGGCGTACTTACAGAGGAGGCACAGTGGGCACATCCCTCCTCCCCCCCCCAAAAAAAAAAAATGAATAAGAGAAAACAAGGGAGATGGAAAAAAGGAAAGGGAAAAAGCGAGGAGATGGTGATAGGCCCTACAGGTATCAGTTACCTAGTTATATCACATCGATTGCTCCCACTCATCAGTGCCTTCCTCCACGACACCTCTACATTGATATACCTTAATTACTTAAATATCAAATGTTTTTGTTAAATACAGCTCAAAATCATTAGCTTTCTCACAGTATGGCCAAACACTAAAGGTAGTTAAGAGGCAGTTTAACAATCTGCTGAGAGCCAGAAGGGCCTTGACTGATATCAAAAGCTTACATCTTTCTGGCTCTCAACTAATGATTTGATAGAGGCAGCCAAATGGCTGTGAAACATTTCCAGTAAAGGAACAACACAGTGCAAATACGCACATTTCCATGTATAAATCTAACAAAAAATTGCACGATGTGAATAAATACGATCCTAATTACATATGTATTTCCATAATAGATAATTTTCATATGAAAAGGAAATCTAGATACAAGTGAATAGAAATATTCTACTGCTAATTGATTAATTTTCTTCAATCACTTCGATTCTTATCTAGCCAAAGTAATTAATCAAAACTACCGCAAAGAAGCTATTTCAAAATAGTTTTCCTTCGACTTCGCTCTCAACAACTTTAATTCTGAATAAATTTGTTTGGCTGGCAACTTGAAACATTCCCATGTGTGTAATGTGGTTGCAAAATAGTTGTGATTTTCAAGATATTCTTATATGAATTTCAAATAGCAGTCCTTTGAATATAGAGCCCAATAAAATAGCTTTATAGTCATCACATTCTCGCTAGAGAAAGAATCACCTGCTCTGTATCTATATGCAAACACCAATCTCATGCAGCAGGTTATCGCAAGGATGGTTCTCTTGCAAAGGAGTATTTAAAATTAAGGAATTTTGGATGCCTGCATGTTCAGGGCATTGGGAAACTTTCGAGCTGCTTTGCTATGCACACTAGAAGATTCAATTCTGAATCCGTCATAAGAATATTAAGCATTTCTTCATGAGAATGTTTCCATTTGAGATATACATGTAAACCTGGGCCCTGTTTCATAAAACTTGATATCAATAACATGTTACAAGCTACTGTTATAAGCTACTGAAATCATGGCTTCTGATTGGCTGAGAGCAAATTTGCCATAGAAATTTAGCATTTGTTATAGATAACAAGTTTTATGAAACGGGCCCCAGCTGTCCCTCTTGCTAGCAGTTTGCTCAGAGTTGTTGAATTATTTGCATGTTAAATAAGACAAGCAAGTCCCTACAAAGAGGTACAAAGTGGACTTGGATTTCAGGGATATGTGGCAGATGCCATGAGGTGGATGTCAGGTGGTGTCAAGTTCCGATGAAAATCCGGAGTCAACAGCAGCAGCTAGTCACTAGAAAGGTCTGAAACACCAGTTAAGACATAAACCGTCAGGGCGAGTACTGCTGAAGTAACAGACGCTGTTGTTCAATGGTCTCCCTGAAACACCTGTGAAGATAGAAGCCGTCAGGGCGAGTCCTGCTGAAGCAACATACGCTGTTGTTCAATGGTCTCCCTGAAACACATGTGAAGATAGAAGCCGTCAGGGCGAGTCCTGCTGAAGCAACAGACGCTGTTGTTCAATAGTCTCCCTGAAACACCTGTGAAGATAGAAACCGTCAGGGCGAGTCCTGCTGAAGCAACAGACGCTGATGTTCAATGGTCTCCCTGAAACACCTGTGAAGATAGAAGCCGTCAGGGCGAGTCCTGCTGAAGCAACAGACGCTGTTGTTCAATGGTCTCTCTCATGACGTTAGCAATGATGTGTGGTGAATGGACACTCGCTACGGCCCATAGTAGAGGGAGATCTGTGCAGTCGACGCCCACGGCTCCAGCGAGGGCTTCGGCCATGATCATGGGCTTGTGTTCTAGGTAGGAGGCTACCGAGGTACTCTGGAAGTACAGCTCCTGTAGACGATCCTCTAGGTGCATTAGACACTGTCGAAAGGAAGAACAAGATGATCAAGATCATCAAGATGATTTCCTCCATTTTTATATAATAATAATAATAATAATAATAATAATAATAATAATAATAATAATAATAGTGTAAACTTATAGAGCGCACACACCATCCAGGGACGCTCATGGCGCTAGCTCAGCAACAGTTCTCTTTAATTGTTAATGTTTATTTGATAATAGAGTTATATAATAGGTATATGTATAATATTCTGGGAATGATGACGTATATCATTTAAATAGAATGTTTACAAGTCTGGTTGGTATACTTTAACAACCCCCTGATTATCAAGACTGAGATAATGTAAGCTGGAGTCTACAGAAATATGATTTATATTCAAATTAATTGTATCTGTTGGGTAACAAGAGCAGAAGGAATATTCATTGCCAATAAAAAATCTCCTACAGAAATGATCAGTTTTGGAAATTAAACAAAACTAATTTGCATTGAAGCCTTTTTTAACTATACAAAACAACAAATGAGACTAAATACAGAAATATCTCATTTAAATCTTGAGCTGGACCCACTGGACTGTGAAAAGTACATTTTTTATACTTTCAAAAGTACAAAGTGACATCAACTCACAAAGTCTGAGGAGAGCTTCATGCGATTAAGCTGCATCACTGAATCCAGGAGCTGATCAACAAGTCCAGAGATTCCTACATCCTGAGTGACAGGTTTGTTGCTACATCCTTGATACCTCTTGCAAGACACAGTCTCCACCGTCCAGTTGTCCGTATTGGCCACCAGGTACACATCTTCCAAGTTAGAGTCGTCCAAGACTGGGTGCTATGTGGGAAAAGGATGCAGAGAATTTTGATTTTTACATTGATGGTGGGCAGAAAAAGTTACGACACATAAAGTATAGTTTCCGAATGTCTAAACGATATACCTAGGCCCTTTAGCGTCCTTTAATGAGGTCAACCATTGAACAAAGTTGAGACATGCCTAAAACGCTCAGGCTACATAACTCACTCTCTTCAGATAAAAGGAGATCCTATGAATAGAAGAGCCATACTTAAACATTATTTAATGACCCACTGCAATCATTGTGAAGAGAAACAGGGAAACCCTATGTAAGGGTACACCTGCGTAATCCAAATAAGTTCCATCAGGATACTAGACCAAAACATCATATTTAGTCAATTTTTGTTCTTTCCCTCCTTTATTTACAAACAGCCAGATAGCATTTAGCAAGAAATAAGGGTAGTCATGCTATCAAGCTTTGCTTACTTCGTCAAACCTCCTGTTTGATGTTTTCGATAAGTTACAGCCAGCTTTACTTTATTCTACATATATTCTTTTGTCATGTGCAAATTTGCAATGTTTTGATTGTTATATATTTGTAAAACTGCAAAAGAAACACGGACAGAAATAAATAAATAAAATAAAATAAAATAAAATAATTAGTGCAATACCTGTGCAGACTCAATGAGACTCTTCTCTACCATCTTGGTATCCAGTTGGGGCACGCCCTGAAGGGCAAAGTCAGGCACAAAGTGTTGGCAGTAACCCCCTAGCAGGGAACGACCAAAGTTATCCACATGGGACTTGGTCTTCTCTATCTCCAGTTCAAACATCTGCTCAGAGCTACAGAAGAGGGAAAAAAATACAGAGAGGAAAAAAACAAAACAATGAGATTGTATAACGGTGAAAAGAAAGTAGACGACTATGAACCTCTACGGGGAAAACAAAGACTAAATATAAGAATTACCCTAAGGAATCTCATTTACAAGTGAAAAATTGGGGAAGATCTATCATGAAACAAAAACAAACAATAAGATTACACTATGTATCTAAGCCAAACTTCTGATAAAACATGTTCTTAGGGATAGTTGACCCCTAATGCACAGAAGGGTTTAAATTCCTTATTCAAAACTGGGAACATTGAGATGTATTTCAAAATACATGGCTGGTATTCCACTCGTAAACAAAAGAATAGAGTAGTCTGTCATGTGACATGTCTGTCATGTGACTACTAGTCTGATGGTGTTATTCTAAAAGCAATGTTATCTTTCATTTTAATAAAATGATGTTAATTGCCATAACAAATCAAACTTAGGAATAGTCGTTGCTTAATGTCTGCGCAAAGCTGGCTGCGTTTGTGTATAGTTAAAAGAGACATCTGCTTAAGTACCACAGGTAAGCGTCAGTTCTGTTATGACAAACAACATTTTCCCCCTTAATTCCCATCAAAATATGGCCCCTAGTCCTTACCATGCCAATGGAAGTTCTTCATGATCCAGACAAGTATGATCTGAGAGAGCTGATGAGGCACACGATACAGCTGACATACTCGAAACCGAACGCTTGTATAAATCAGGAGAACGATCATAGTGTCCTGGCCCTTCTGTAGAGTCGAGTCTAGACATCTGATGTTGATTCTGTTCAACACCTTGGCACGAGTGATGACATGAGGTATGAGTAGAAGTGTAAGAGGTATGCCGATGCTGCGTTGCGTCCACTGTATGCTCCTTGTTCGAAGGTGCCACTGTTCTCAGACAAGAGTTTGTGGTAATTGCTATGGAGTCTGAAACTTTGTGTGATTTCAAGTGGTTTGAGTCTGACTTATGTTCAGTTGACAAGACAATATCCGGCTTTGATACACTCTCAACTAATCCTTGGAACTTTGACAATTTCTCATTTGCAAGATTGGGGATCACACACAATTTATCGTTTTCGTTGCTGTCGCATATTCTTGTTAACGTTCTATCATTCCTGTCCTTTGATGAATCTTTCACAGGTTCATCAATGTCAAATCGTAGGAGGTCTTCGATGTTCCTTGAAGCACGACCAACAGGCATTGCAACTTCCAACTTGGATTCAAGCAAACTGTTGTCTAGAGTCTTACACACAATAGAAGATCCCTGGTCATTTTGAACAGTTTGTGAGTTTGACCTTGCTGTTGTTTCAGAAACTTTGCAAGTATCTCCTCCGGCGACCACTTGATTGTGTTGAGGCATTCTAGAATCTGAACTGTCCCTGAAAACGTTATCGCTCTCCTCAAATCGATTGTGAATCCTTAAATTGCTGCTGTTGGACAGCGTTACATTAGTTCTATTTAGCTCGTGAATACAACTTGATTTCTTCAATGCTACACCATCTTGAACCTCATTCTCAAATCCAACACCGTCATCACTTGAGGTTTCCGTAGGCAACAGCCTATCGCTACCCTTCGGCATATCCGGGATGTAGAACACCGGTTTATTGCTCGATTCGCTCTGAGTCAACCCTCCTACATCCTCGATCCCACTGTCCTCTGTTTTGGCAAGAACCAGCTCCTTCGTCAAAGTCCTTCGACGATCAATCAAATCATCCGATTCAGACAGTGCTAGTTCGGGACATTCCATGATGATGTCTTCGCACTTCTCGTTGACTTCGTGGACCTCGCTGCATCGGATGAAGTAGGATAGCACGTAGAGCAGCCTGCACACCACATCAGCACGCTTCCCGACTATAACCGTCTTTGCAACCCTGTTCGGAAGCCCGATGTTGCCATACATGTCTCTGTAAATGAAAAGGAAAATTATGCAAATGAAATGAAAGAAAGGAGACCCTTAATCGAACAGTAACACAAGCCTACTACATAAAAAAAATTTCAACAATAACCGTCCTTGCAACCCTATTTGGAAGCCCGATGTTGCCATACATGTCTCTGGAAACGAAGAACAAAATTATGCAAATGAAATGAAAATAGGGGACCCTGAATCGAACGGTAACAAAAGCCTACTGCATAGATGCAACAAAAATATTCACTTTCTAACAGATTACAAGATGACAGCTTTTATGTAAATAAAAAGAGTAGAGATGATTCACCTCATTCTTCCTAGCATTAGTTGACTGGAAATAAATTTACAATGAAAAACAGCCTAAATTCAAATGCATGTAACTAACCAAAGGTTCAAAAGATTTAGCAGGAATATCATTAACAAAAGAATATCGAATGGCGGTATAAGTCCTTCCTTCAATTATTAGAAGAAATACAATTATTACTCCCAAAATTTATTTTAAATTCTATTAATTTCATAGATATTTAACACACAGCTTCACGTACATGTATACTCATGCTCACTCATAAACAGATTCAGAAAAAAAATGAAGACTCACCCCAACTGTGCCCAGAGTGGATTGTAAGGATGACACTTGGCTAGTATATCTAGCTGTAAAAGAAATAAAAAAGACATATTAATTTATAATCCACTGGAGCTGGCTCATTCATTTACTGACCCTATGGGATTAAGAGAATTCAATCATCCATGGATTCATGACTCTAACTATCATACTTTTTTCCTTTTTTTTCCAATCAATTTATTAATTGAATAATACGTACGTAAGAAACACAAAGAAAAACACATGAATTATACTTATATCACAAAATTAATTATACTTTAAAAAAAAAAATTATCAACATTTTTTCTCCAGAGATGATACTTTTCAACAAATCGCCCTCCATTATATTTCCTTTCTCCTTCCTTCTAACAAACATGTTAACTAGAGCTATATTGAACAGAGCAGCTAAATGATATGAACAAACATATACCTCAATATGAATGACAATATTCTGGACCGTTCATGGTAAAAATAATCCCTGAAAATGGAAAAATATGACATTTAATCTCTCTTATGTATGCGCTATCTTCATATCTGGCTAGAGATAGACAATCCTCCATCCGACTGTAAAGCGTACTTACAGTTGTTGATGAGTGTTTATCAAGGAAGGCGCGGCTGGGCGTGGCTCCGGCTGGCATCACCGTGGGAACCCAGGCAAGATGGTGCATCAGAACTCCAGTCATCAGACGACTCATGAAACTGAAAAGACAAAACAATTTGGGGGTCTTCAAGATGTACTAGAATTATTTTACTCACTATACAGAAGCTAATATATAAAACAAAATACCAAGGTTTTGGAATAACCTACCATAAGACAAAACAAAAGCCTCATTGGTTGCTGTCTTCAAAGTTTTGTTGAAGACTTACTTGTTTTCAGGAGCTTTTGAATAGTTTTTACTGTGTGTATGTAAAGTAACACTGTTTTGTTTTCATCACAGCGCAGTAGAGTATATTCATATAGTAACTGTACAATATAAATTGATCTAAGTACTATTATTAATACCACCATTATAGAAAGAAATGCTATCAAGTTCTTCCTCCTGGTTATGGACAAATGCATGACTTAACTGCTGATTAAGCAGAATTTTTTAGCAAGGGTTCATATTTCCTTTTTGTTTAAATAATCCTTATCTTAATGGTTTATAAATATACAGAAGATTTGAGGTGACTGATAAAAAAGCACAGGATTCTGAATATAGTTCATGGTACTTCTTTCTTGCATCTCCAACGGCCTTTAGAATAAACTTCACAATTCTGAAATGAGAATATTATTTCCATTTTATTTCTGAATTGTACAGTTTATTCTCAAACAGGGACATGACTTCAATTTACATTCATAAAACATTAAAAAAATCGAATTATAGAGACGCCAAGATCTGACCCCTACCAAAGGCCTTTTCTAAACACTTACAAATTGTTCTGTTTGCTGTTGTGCGTCTCCAGGACTCTGCCCAGTTCTCGGACGAGATGCTCGCACAGATGACCTCTCTGCTGGGGGTAGGTCATGAGGTTAAGCCAGATGGGTCGTTGGATTCTAGGGGAGGTGTATAGCCGAATCACGCTCAGCTTGAAATGCTCAAGGGCCTGTACAGGTGAAATCATTGGAACGTATGAAATTAATTGGTTGTCAATGACTTGATAAATGGAATTATATACAGAAAGAGATATCTGTGTCCCTCTCTCTAAATCTGTAACTCAAACATTCATTAATTGATATCTACTTTGTACAAAGTAACTGACTTTATCTGACTGTTATTTTGGAAAAACATTCAAGTGGACAGGAAAATGTCCACCTAATGAACAATTGGGCATTATTTCTTTTAACATGTCTGTGACTTAGTGTGGTAAAGCTAATACAACTGGCAAGTTCCTTTGGTTTGCTTTTGGGTACAGCTATTTCTCTGGAAAGGAATTTGCTGAATCCATTTTAAATTTGAAACACCAAAACTGAAGAAACAAGAGGGAGGGGGACTTTTAGTCCACCGAATCTGTTTCTACTTAACAACAGTAAATTCATCTTAAAGATGTTCATGCGTGGGTATATAGTCTTTGATGAAGTAGACAACTTGGCTATCACTACATAACACTGAGCCAACAGGTATTACGCTCCTGTGCGTACGACTACGTCCGTGTGCTGCCCTCTATATACCCACGCATGAGCAACTTTAGTATCTTCTCAAAAGGAAGAAATTTATCCTATCTCTGCCTACCTCCATTATAGGTCTTATGAAGCTCTTGCGATGATAACTGAGTGCTTTCTCAATGGTGGACACCAGTCTCTGAAAGTGGCCCTCAAGCAGAGAGAAGTGAGAGAAGAAGAATCGCCGGAACTCCTCGTCCTCCCTTCCAGAGGGCGCTTCTGGCAGCTGGAAGAGAATAGCCACGCCGATCTTTGGGTAGCGCTTCCTCCGTCTGATTGGCTGCTACAAATCACACAATATTTTCAAATTATAATTTACCAGGCACATTTCATGTAAATGATTAGGAATATAGAATAGTTATTGATACAGTGAGCCTACTACTACCAGGAAGGTATTCTCCATTTTTGCTTCAATATATATAATTAATGTTGGAAGAGAATAGCCACACCGATCTTTGGGTAGTGCTTTCTCCGTCTGATTGACTGCTGGAAATCAAAATCACATGACATTTCAAATTTCAATGCTATACACATTTTATGTTCATGATTTTTAACTATAGCAAATGAATTATTGACGTAGCATGCCTCCTTCTACCTGGTTGATATTATCCATTCTCACCTAAATTGATATATTTTATGTTTTTTGTTGCAATCATGATAACTTTGTTCTTTCTCTGACTTAACATCTATTTGGACCTGAACATTTTCTCCCTTCATCTCCCTGTAATCTTTCTCAAAACTGTTTTTTTCCACTTTGGGGGGGGGGGGGGGGGGGAGTAATCATTATCATGTCTGTAAATTGGGGGGGTTGCTTTACTTTGATCACTTTGGGGAAGATTGGTCCCCAATATAAAGTTTCCTTCAGGAAAGCATACAAAAAACAAAAAATTGATAATAGACAAACTGCTTAGTACACAAAGCACCAAAGAGGGAGCACCAACTAACTAACCTCTTCCACGTTATTGATATTTTCTGATGACCTTCTCCTGGCAACCGTCTCCATACTGGTGACCTGGCTTCTTATCCATCGTCTGTGAAGGCTGCCGTTGGAGGCGGAGCTTGAGACACTGCCTGGTGATGATGGCAAGAAAGGAGCTAAGAAGCTTCCTGATGCTGTGGACAAAGTATACAAGGTCAAGGGTCAAAGGTTATTCTATGCTCTTGACACAGGATAAAACATTATGTGCAAAGCTACATTGACCATATTATTATTATTATTTGTTATATAAGATTATGTTTTATTTGTTTTATAAAATGATGTTTTCTAACAATATTTTGATAATGACCGGTCATTACCCAAATTACCTTCGATTACGCGCTAGGCAAAATAAATGCCTGGTCACGTGTACGCTTTCAGCCAATCATTTAATTAGGATCCACGTCATCATCTTATAATAAAAACTATGACATATGCGATATCAGGGGCTATACTAACTCCCCCTCACCTAATAAGCTTGGGAATAAAGAAGTCCCGAGAGTCTATTTATTAATTGCTAAGTATCTGTGTTTTCTATTGAAGTGACACTTAAACGGATGATGAAATGCAAGTAGGAAATACCAAATGTCACTTCTCTTGGTATGAACAAGAAATGGTGTGAAAATGTTACTTTTAAACAAAACATGACCTTTAAAGTTCAATGATTAAATCTTACATTGTCACAGATACAATGCAATAAATGTGTTTTAAATCACTATAGCATCCTTCTGCTTTTACCATCATAATAACAAGTATGTAAACTTTTGAGGATATCCTTGTATGCTTAACGTTTGATGGTTAAACAATACTCATTTTTCACACCAATATCATGTGACCATAACTCTGGGCGTCAATGTGATTTTCACAAGTACAAACCATAACCCAGGCCACAAGATCAATTTTATGTTTTAACTTATTGTTCTAATGGGGGATCTGCGACACATGCTTTGGCAACAAATCATTTCACACTCAATAACCTACACAAACTAAATTCTTAAATTTAACCCTGGGTACAACAATACACCTAACCTTAACTCCAAACCAAACCAAAAACCGAGCTGCAAGCCTTATCCTCACACAAAATCTTTGATGAAATAATCCCTAAAGTGCTTATAACCAAAGCAAATGTTGGGTCACTGCTATCAGTCAGTTTCTGACTGAACTACACCTGATTTCAAAATACAACCTTGAAATTAAAGTTTTGTTTCGTTTTCCCAGATGTGACGAGCTGTACATATGTTTATACAAAAGTCCTTAGGATGAAGCTAGATTAGAAGTCAACATGGCGTTTACTTTCAGAGATCGTTGTTCAGAGTCTTATGTCGTTTCTTTTTCATCACTAGAGTATTAGTCAGGGAATCTGGGATATACAGGCCAGATCTAGGCCCATATGAGAGATCAAGATCGCATCTAACAGTATCAAACACACTGCTATGCAATTCAAAAGTCGTGGGTTCGATCCCCAACATGGCGCTAATGTCCTTTGGCAAGGCATTAATCTACGATTGCCAATCCATACCCAGGAGAGAAATGGGGACCTGGTAAGATGACGAAAGCATTTGTGTTAGTAATTGCCATATGCCCTCACGGTGACCATATGGTAAGAATACTCCCCAGGGAGTGGAGAATGAATTTAATAAACGGGATAAAAGCGCTTAGAGACGGTATTTCTTATTAAGTGCTATATAAATCCAGATTATTATTTTTGGACAATGGATGTTACATTCCATCCCTTAACAGGTAATACCAAACACAGCCCTGACAATGGTCGGGAAGAGGAAGTAAGTGAGGAAGGAGACAATGCAAAAATAAACATGTGATCATAAAACAGGTGATTTTCCTTTATATGCACCTGTGATTGCTATTAATAGGGATGCCTGGGCTAATCACAACGAAAGTAGAGATATGCCTTTAACATTATGTTTCCTTCACTGCTTTATCTACAAGCTATTTCTTCTTTCGTGAACTATTGTAATGCTGCTACTGTCATCAAGCGATTGTACATCATAGATTGTGTGATTATGCATATGACCTGGGCTTACATCTAGCTGCTAATAGAAATGCAAGGGCTATTCGTAACAAAAGTAGTCATAACTCCACATATTTTCCCTGCTATTTCCTTGACTACCATCACTACAACTAATTTCTTCTTCTCAATGCCATTTCTACTGCAACTATTATTTTGAAAGCCGTTTGCTACTACCATTTATAGTGATGCTAATTCTTTGAGAATGTGACATATCAAAGCTTACACCTAAAAATATCGAACAAAGGCCCTAACTCAACCGGTCCACCTTTCATTCTTGAGTTACGAAAAACACAAAAGAACAACAAACTGTCAAGGGGTATGAATATTTAAGTTGTTAACTGTATATGAAGAGCTTAATTCCAAAAGGAGCTAAATCCACTTTTGATGACAATTGAGTTATTGATTTCAGAACATTGTTCACTTTCAACAAAATTATTTACCTAAATTTTGGGAGCAATTATGAAAAAATGCACCTTCCATAGAAACCTTAACAAAATCTTTCTTTTTTCTCAGAAGTTACAAAAATGCATTTAGCTCCTTTTGGAATTAAACTCTTCATATGTTGATAAATAACATACCTGAGAATTCTCCACTCTCGTCATCCAGTCCCAGAATGGTAGGTGGTGTGGGCATTGCTATCGGCATCGGCATGCTACGAGCTAATACAATCATACAAACAAACAAAAAAAGGAGTTAACCAGATTAATTCAGGCTTGATAAGTTACTTAAAGCTAATCTTGAGCTCTGGTATATGGGAATTATATTTTGAGAGAAAATTGCCATGATTTAATCTGGATTGTTTATCCTGCAGTAGATTGGTTGTTTTCATCAGTGAATTAAAACTACCTCACAAAAACTTGCTGGAAATCATCTTCATTAGAATTGTTTAGTACATATCATTTATTTGTAATCTTGACCATTCAGTGTAAATTTCGTTGGATTCTGTGAGAATTTATTTTCTATATTTACCAGAACTCAAGTTAATCTGTAATCTTCCGATAGGAGAAACTGCATGATTTATCAATTATTGAATAAATAAATTTGAGTCAGAAAAGAAACACTACTGATTAAAAGAAGTCACCAATGCTTTAAAAAACTGTACACATTTTATGCGGCCCTAATAAAAATAAAAATAAAAATATGTGACTATCCAGGACTTCTAAATATACTGAATTGAGTAACTTAAACAGGGAATCATAATATTCAGCTAGTCAAAAAACGATTAAAAAAAAAATCACGATTTGTAAACAAACTTTGGTTCATGATCCTTTTTGAAAGTGACTAGAATATTTTCTTCATATTCACCGGTAAAACTAGTATAAATCATTCAATACCGGAGAAATGTTTGTTCATATCCAGAAGGACTTAAATGCTTTGACAGCAGGGTATTCACAATGACAGGTCTAATCCCGACAATCCTGTAACAAAATGACTCACCGATCTCAACAGAGGGCAGGCTTGAAGTGCTAATACTCCTAGGTATGGTCATGTCTGCGCAGTACAGGCTAATAGAGTCTTTGTCGCCTCCATCCGTTTCCCTGATAATAAAATGAGAAGAAAAAAAACAAAACATGAATCCAAATCAAGCATTACAGAGTAGATTCGTTTCTCTATGTAGAAGCATGTGTCATATTAGATAGAATCAGCTATAATTAGCCTATCAGGGTATAATTTTTCACATGCTTTTCAAAAGGTGCATATCTCAATTACCTAATTAGTGAGTGTTATAAAGAATTAAGTTTGAATGGAAATTTTGTTTGAACATGCTGTTTTTAAACAGGGCCTGTAGCTATGTTTTCTTTTATTTGTATAAATGAATCATAGAAGTGCCATTTGAGTAAAATTGTATAAAATAGGCTGAATAAATGATTTCTTATGTGGGATCCAAGAAGACCCTTTCCCTGTCATTACAAGGTAATCTTATGATGCAAAGGTTCTGGTTAGAAGGGCCATCTTTTATTGTCCATCAATAAACCATTACAAACTAGGCTAAGGCTTCATTGCAGAATACTCCACAATGCATTAGGATCAGGGTTTGAGTTATGGTCAGGGTTGGAGTTTGAGTTAGCATTAGACTTCACAGGGTTAGGATAAGGATTAAGATTAGGTGTAGGACTAGGATCAGTCTTAAGATACGGATCAAGAATAGGGTTAGGGTTACTTGAGTGATGGGGTATCTTGCAGTTGTACCAAAATCTTATCTGAACATTTCGGGGGACATAGAAATGCTTCTTTAGAGACAATTATAAAGGGATCAACTTACAATTGTTCATCAGGAGGTTTGAGTTGGAAGACCCTTGACAGCATGACCTTGGGCGGCGTCTTGAAGGTATGGACCTTGATGATAGGACCATTGGAACTCATCGGAATGGACCCAAACAGCATCTCACCAAGCATCTTCACATCAGATCCTGGACGGGTGTACTACGATATAGAACAGATTAAATAATGAACATTGATTGGAATTTATATATTAAAGGGATTGGGCATCTTTGCCTCAGATTCTAAACAAATTCCTTGATTTAGCTCATGCTCCAATCATAATCAAAAACCTTTAGGTCAGCCAGGAATCCCATGACTTTAACAAGCTGATCGCATGTTTGATTATCAAGATATTTATGATTGGAATTCGAAATTTCAAAAATGTTTCCTAACAGTTTTTATGACACTACAGTCTATTCGGGAAAATGTGTATGGTAAAACCAGTCACTCAAAGATTTTTACTTTTTTGAAGCACAATTTTTTATGGCTTCAATATTACACCATATCACAGACACTGATAACACGTAAGGCCATGCATCTCAGATTTGTAAAACTGGAAACATTGCCTTTAATGCCTTTGAGACTGGTTTCATGTTCTTATCAAACCAATTCTCAACCAACAACCAAGTCAACCACCGATTCTCCAACCAATAAACTACTGTAACTGACCTTGTATCCATCCACAATATGAGGAGAGTTGACCGTAGGTTTGCTGTTATTCTTGACATCTGAGTTGACATTTTGTCTGCATCGGGGTGATGATCTATTGGTAGAGGTCTGAAAAAAAAGACAGAATATTTGAAAAGGAACATTATTACAAAAACAAGTAATATTGTAAATTATGTGAACACTGGTACTCCGAAATAATACTTCCTAAACAAACACAAAATTATACTGGAACATTTTTTATTCTTCAACAACCCTGTTTAAGCAGGTAGACTATTAAATGCAATGAATTTGTCAACAAACCTGTTTGTAGTCTAAACAAGGGAAATGCTCTCGGCGGTCTCGCCTGCATTACGCAATTTGATATGATGAAAAATTGAGGTTGGGACATTATTTATAGGCAGGGTGGCCCATCAGCAGGCCCCCCAAAATGAAATCCTCTGAATATAATCAGCATTTTGAAGTGAATATTGACTAAGAATCATCAGAAGAATTATTTACTTAATTTGTACCAAGTTTGATAACTTCAATGAAATATGAACAAATAACAAAAATTGATTATTTATTGTCATATTAAGTTGTCACTGGAAAAGCGGCGCCTATGTCTCGCTTTTTGCTACGCAGGCGAGACAAAAATTGGGCAGTATGGTTGTATGAAGGACTTTTAACAGCTCCTCTTCTCACCTTACAGGAAATCACTAAGTATTAAACTGACCGCTGAGGAATCGGTGCTGGAGCATATGCTAAATAAACAACCCATCTAGGGGATTAAATTTACCTCTGTGGTTTGTGGATCCACCTTATGAATGGCTTTGGAGTCGATGATTGTTTTCTTGCCCTTCACGTCACACTCTTTGATGACGACGAGTCGGATCTGTTTCTCTTCCAATAATGGAGCCTGCCAGCTGAAAACACAAAACAAGTCAATAGTATACATTAGGATTATGTATTAGCAATGCCTTCTTCCAGGTTGAAAATCTGAAAACTGATAACAATAACATGTACAATGTAGAACAAGCATGATCAAATGTGTGCAAAGCTAGCGATCGCCATATCGGTGATTGGAAGTTTTTAGAAACAAATAATATAAATAGGGGTTACTTGAAGAGCTTTTTACATCCAAATGATTTTGTGAAGAATAATTTGGACAATATCAGTTAAATCATACACCTTGGTACTTCATTAGGCTCATACAATTCATATAATTATACTTTCATATGCAGTCTTGACTCATTTGACTGAATTGTATTGAAACGTCTCTATAACATTCTGACATGATTTCAAGCTTCCCAAAGATATGCCACTCCTCTAATCCTCCCCCATCCATCCATCCCTTACTCCCATCCTCCTCCCATGCCCCTCCCATCCTCCTCCCATGCCCCTCCCATCCTCCTCCCATGCCCCTCCCATGCCCCTCCCATCCTCATCCCATGCCCCTCCGATCCTCCTCCCATGCCCCTCCATGCCCCTCCCATCCTCCTCCCATGCCCCTCCCATCCTCATCCCATCCTCCTCCCATGCCCCTCCGATCCTCCTCCCATCCTCCTCCCATGCCCCTCCCATCCTCATCTCATGCCCCTCCCATCCCTCTCCCATCCTCCTCCCTCCTCTTCCCTCCTCCTCCCTCCCCCTCCCATCTTCCTCCCATTTCTTAGGGTCAACAAGTCAGCATCGGTAGACAGGCGAGTATGCATTCAACACATTCAACGAACGGTTGCACAATCCGTCTGGTATGCCTGATATCTAACCTCACCGGGCTCAACTTGGCAAACACACCATGTACATTAGGTCATGATAAGGTGAATTACACAACGTGGCACTAGGAGCTAGTCTGTTCACATACAAGTGAAACAATGAACCCACTTCATACATATGAATATCAAATAGGCCTTTATGGGTCGAACGGTATAAAATATGCCACCTCCACTCAACAAAGTCACAAGGAATTAGCCACATGTACAGTACATGTACAACACGGATACTGGTTCATGTCCATGTGTACATGTACATCTGAAGTGTTCATTACACAAAGGTGGGCATACAGTACATTTAAAAAATGTATTTTGGACTTTCATCATATTAGCACTTTTAAGTTTGATTAATTGTGATTAAGGACTTTTAAGGTATTTAAATATCAAAGGATCTACATGTATGTATAATGTAATATTGGAATCAAATTAATGAATAAATCTTCCTAATGCCTCGATAAAAGTTATTTCATTCACCTGTTACGAATAACTATATTTCAATAGTCAGAATGCAAATTGCTTATTGCATACATTAATTGTTACTAGGGAGGTCTTGTAGAACAAGCCATAATAATTGTCCTACCTAACAACACATGTATGAAATTTTCATTCTGACTATTGAAATACAATTATTTGCAACAGGTGAATGAAATAATTTGCAACAAGGCATTTAACAAAGATTTCGGCTTTAAATTTGATTACATTACGAGAATGGCCTATTTCAGCAACCACAGTCAATGATTCTAGAAACTGAGGAAAATGTAAGTTTGAATTTGAAGACTACCTACAATATGTAGGACACCAATGCACAAGGCATGCACCGTCCACAATGCAACATGACCATGAACCGTACAAAGATATGGTGTCATCAAAATACCTAACTGAGCTTGTTAAAACCGGTCTATCCCGTCTAGCGGACGGATGGGCGACTGGATGTTGGTTGCTCCCTGGAGCTGAGATGTCTGCCGAACTGATATCTCAGCTGACATCATCCCAAAGCATGTTAATTTGATTTGGTGCATCCAACGGCACGTTCACACATGCCCCGGTATACTGCAGTGTTTTATAAATCATTTCATAAATTGTAAATGGATGGCGAGTAAAGATGAAAAAAAAGGTTGCATGCAACAAAGGTCCTCCCGTACTCACTATCTGAGTGTACTTGTGTTATAAGATATATCTTAATGTAAAAAGAATTAAGCTTACATCTTTGAAGAAATAAAAAGAACCAAAAAACAGCCCAAGTTTACTGTGACATATGTGAATGAACCTGCAGGTAACTGAAAGAAATTGATGCTCCTTCATTGAAGCAGCGTACTCTACATTAAATACATGTTGTATAAATGCACCCACAAATGGCTCAATCACATCGCTCTAGGAGGATCGATGGCTTGCCCTAAACTTCACTTGAACCTTGCACACATTTTGAACTACTGGCTAATTTCCTAATAATTATGATACCTAATTAAGATTCAAAATAATGCTCAGAATTATCTAATCTGTATTTTGTAGTTCAAAATTATACCCCTTCCTAACCTCACTTGAACCTTGCACAAATTTTGAACCAATGGCTAATTTTCTAATAATCATGATACCTAGCTAAGTCACAAAATTATGTTTGGACTTATCTAATCTGTATTTTTGTAGGTCAGGATTTGCTCACTTCCTTTCTTAGGTACCGTACAGTATATAATCTCCCACCAAGTTACACCAATATGTATGCAGGGTGCCAAGAACCTAGACATGAACTCTTGAAGTTCAAGAGGTTACTCCACTCCAAGTGTGGCGGATAAGATGTCCTGTGGGATGTGTGTGAATTGAACGTTTTGTGCAATTCACAACCTATATAGATTACAGAACTTACTTCTTCACACCTTTAAGTACATACGGTTTGGAGCAATTATTACATCAATTTGTAGGGTAGTGGATTGCTTTTGCATTCATGAGGATTACTGGAAGAAAGTGAAGGAAAGAAAGAAGCAGATTCTATACAGAAGGAAAGACAATAAAGAAAGAAAGAGAGACAGAGAGAGGGGGGAGAGACACAGAGAGAGAGGGAGAGAGAGAGAGAGAGAGAGACAGACAGACAGAGAGAGAGAAAAAAAAAGAGAAAAAGAGCTGAGGTGAGAAAGTTCTGTTTCTCTATCATCATTCTCTAAATAATCTGCAGTTTCTCAAAGTACAATTATAATTTTCAATTTTCCATACATACTGGTAATTTGAGACTTTTCATGAATGGATATATGCCTACACTCTCACCCTTTCAGTTCTAACTGTACAATACATAATGGGGATGGACCTACGATACATGTATCTGGGTCAGCATACTTGTATATTCACAAGGATGTGGTGTGCTATGCGTGGGATGTTTCACATCAAAGCCAGATGACATCTAGAGTAGTTTCTATCACGAGAATGGGAGCTTCAATTCAAACAAGTTTGGCTAATACAAAGAGTATTAGAGCAAATACAACCACATGTCGAGGTAAAGGTCGATACAGATGGCAATGCAACAAGTAGATCATGTGCCATTCATACAAGTGAAGCATATGGATTGCCGGTGTATGCATAGCATTACGGCTTATCATCAGTTCCCTGGTTGAAGTGTCGGCAGGCAATGTCTCGAGACATTGGCAAAATGAAAATGACATTGTGAGAAGCACACAATGCCCCCCCCCCCAAAAAAAAGGGAAAACTGGATAAATAGAACACTCTGTCTTCCATAGTAACCTTGACAGTGGACCCTGTGCTGTTGGAGCCTTGCTTTCAATCAGTGTAGGCCTGTTTATACTTTGATCTAGTCTAAATACTCCTCTCAGACTCTGTAAAGAGAGGAAATGTGTTCCAATTTGTTTTTTGAGGATATCATAAATCAAGGCGAGAAAAACAGAAAGGTTTCAGACTATATTTCCTCCTTCAGACTGCCAAAAGTTATGGCTTACAGATACAGAATAGAACCATGGACTTTGTTGTAGTATGTCCATGTTAGCTTAAAATGATCTTGAATTCAGAGGAGTCATCGTAGCATAGTGGGTCATTCACTCGATTTTCAATCAAATGGTTGAGGGTTCAAATCCTAGCATAGCACCAACATCCTTTGGCAAGTCATTGATCCACATTTGCCACTCTTCACCCAGGAGTATATAGGTATCTACATGTATCTAGCAATGCAAGGATAATTAAAAGTGCAAGGCCCTCAGGAGGAACAGCACTGATACTGTTGAGGCTAATTCCCTCTGTTTAAATAAAATCAATATTTTTATTATGACCAATTAGTTAGTGCACTAGTGCCTCTGACAAAGGCACTTACTTGTACATGTATCCTCATTAAGCGCTATAGATACAAATGCAACTTTTTTCATCCTCCTTGGATAGGAAATTTATGAAATTTATCTATTAAAAGCATACTTGCTCTGGTAGCAAGTCAGATAAAATTATGACAACAGTCATCATACAGTAGATCTGTTTGACGGAGGTTGATGGACTCCACATGTGACCATCCAGTCTACCACAGCAGCAGGTTACAGGAAGCTTGGTATCCGATTGTCAAGTTTTCAACCATCACATGACATTGGGTGTGTTCAGGGCTGGCTAGGACACAATCAATATTGCACTGACCTGTAGGCTTATTGATAACATTGTTTTGTTTGGGAACTTAAAATAGATTGAACGCAAGGCACTGAAAGCAGTCTGGTCTAGAGCATATCTGGAATATCAACACTACACAAAAATATACAAGATGGCCCCAGTGAATACGGTTGTCATATATATGGAAGCCTTGGTGAAAGACTGTAAATTATTCCTTCTTGAACTTCTTGGACAGGCTGCAAGAATGGTCCCATGCAGACCTTACAAATATAAAGAATCCACAGTAACGGTACTCAAAAATATGCATGTCGGCCTAAATTTGTCTTGCTTGTAAATGTAATTGTAAGAACTAAACAAGAGCTGGGGCCCCATTAAAGTATTTTCCAGGTAGTGTACCTACAGTGTATGGTTAGTACAAAGCCTCAAATATAATGAGAGTCTAAATTTAGGTCATATATCCTGAAAGCTGGTATTATTGAATCATAATTTGCATATACTGCTACCAAAAATGCAAGATTGATAATGACCGAGTAATCGTACACACAGCGAGACACACATAATGTACAACC